AAGTTGTATGCCCGGCAACCTAAGAAACATAAATGAGTCAGGACCGTGAATCGAGCTCCACCGGAAATCCAACTCTTTACTCTGCCAAAGCTCTCTCAAATGAACTCGCTCTCAAGTTACAATTATCATGTACAATCATGTAAAATACAAGGTCCATTGAATACAGAACAAATGAGGAAATGATCTTCTAAGTCTGACGAGATCTCTTCGCCACGAATGCTATAATAGGTCTACAATCAAGTACAAAAACGTACATAACGCTGAATAAAAACTTTTCTTGTCCATCTTTCTAGTCCCCACATGACTTTGTTGGAGCTGGCAAATCGCAAGACAACGTCCTGTTGATGGTGGCCGGCATGGTTGTCCAGCCCGACACCATTTCTCAAACTCAGGGTGTGCCTATGATTTGGTACAACTAGTTTGTACACAAGTACGTTACGTTCAAATATAAAAACGTCTCTCTATCCATACCCGATCAACCATCTTTACCTAACTTGGAAATTCAACCCTAGTAATATTCAGTGTTTAGGCAACGTTGTTGACAAAGGGGCTGATTTCTAAACTCCGAAATCATGCAACGTTGTAGACGCAAGACCGGGCGGCGACTTGAGCGCCTCATTTTTCCAAATTTCGTTCATTGCAAACAAACTCGCCCTCAAAGGACGCTTGTCACTACCCTCAGGTAAATATATTGACAAAGCCTTTGAATCAACAGCAGACGATCAAATGAGCTGCCAGGTCTAACGAAATTTCTACACAACTGAAATTATCATAGGTCTACAATCAAGCAATCTCCACTTGTATCCAACCAATATGAAGGTCGTCGCAATCTCCTTGGTCGTATCGGCTACTCTTGTAATGTCTGCATTCGGTGCACCCGCAGCCGGGTTCCAAAGGCCCCCAAAGTGAGTTCAAAATCTCCAATTTTGTACCTTTTGGATATCCTTGTCTCAACTCTCATTCCCATTCCTTTCTCAAGCTCCCATGACTCTTTCTGTGGAATTCCTGATGGTGATCATGCCAACTGGGTCAAAGATTGGGGAACAACACACTTCTGTTGTTTCCCGAAGGATGGTTCTGCCAAGTTTGAATATGGTGCTGGGAATGACAAAGGCGGAATCTGTTGGGTCTCTTCTGGTGCTGGATTCAGTGCTTATCAAGGTTGCTGCAAGGCCCATAATAACCGTGATGGGATTTGCGCCACTTGCTAGCGATAAATTACTAGCTTTCACACCTTCGTTCACTTGGTGCTTGTTTCTCTGTATCTGTGCGTGTGTGTCTGGGTTGTAGTTTTTGCTGAACTTGCTTCAAATATAAAAAGTATCTCCATACGTTCTCGTTCCAGGATATGTTATGCGACATGCGAATTGGACGTTTCTGCTGTCCTCTCCTCAAGACATCTTTAGATTACTTCCACCAAAAGCGAAAATAGACCTTGGTAAGTGCAAATGAAGGAGACATGCAGATGCGTAGCCGTACACTGAGATGTCGTGTGGCTCTGCAAGGAAAGGCTGGTCTTTCTCCATGGTGTAGCTCTGAACTCGCCGTTCCGTGATGGCCTGTGATGGAAAAACATACATGAACTGAAAGAAATATGGAGTTGGACGCAAATCAGATTTTCTGCACGTTTCAAAGACTCGGACGTACTTGATATAAAAGACTTCAGTATTGTAAGGGTCTGTTATCGATTCAATAAGTGTGTGCCCTTATGCAGTGCTGTCTTGAGAGCACCAGCAGCTGCCTTCCAAATGCCACCAAAGTGAGTCAACCCTCCAATCTTGTGTTTTCCGACATCGATACCTTAATATGTATTCAATCTTACACATTTACATCACTTCAAGTGCCCTTGATTCCTTCTTTGCAATTCGCAAAGAAACAAACAACGTTCTAAGTTGGCAAAAAGATTACGGCACCACACGATACTGCTGCTTCCGACCGGATGGTTCTGCTAAATGGAAAAAGCTGGTGTTGGGAATGATATAAGTGTGGATCTTCCTGGAATCTGCTGGGTTTCTGATAGAGCAGGATTTAAAGCCTTCTCTAGTTGCTGCAAATCCCATAATAACCGATGATGGGATTCAAGCAAATTGAAAGGATTCTTTAACATATCTGCTCAGACTTGCTGAGCGACATGCTTCTCTGTGTGATGGCGTGAAATATAGAAACTTAGATGTCTCCCTAAACTTGATGTGATAAAGGCGTAACACCACCCTTTCGCTCAAGACCTTTCGTGAATGCAAAAGTTGAGCACTCAGTTGCAGCGTCATAGTCAGCTGATATAAGCTGAACCTCTCCTCACCTTTGTTGAACTTCCAAACCGATTCATTGACGTTTGACAACGAAGTGAGACATAATGTGAGCAGTTCTCTTAAGAGAAACTAGCGGTCGCTCTACAGTCATAAAGTCAAAATGAATGAAATGTAACGTGAGAGATATTGAAGGGTGTGCTGCAGTCATTGGAAGTGTCTTTAACGTAGCTTTCGATGTTTGGGACATTGTTTCAAAATCTCATCATGAGTTTGCCAACCAACGATGTAACTGGCATTAAGAACACGTCGACGTGCGTTTCAAATTAATATGAATATCTCTATCACTTCATATAGACAATGAACCTATATAAGACTTTGAACCTTGAAAATTTGCGGTTAAGCTTGATGACCATTAATCACGCATCGGTTCAGATTCAAGGAATCCAAGCACGCTGTCGATGCTCTCAACGTGACCGTAGACACCATCTACTCCTATCGCGTGGCTGCCCCCAGCATGCTTAGCTTAATACATTTTTCAGCGAAAACTTAAACAAGCAGGGGCTTTTCTACATCCACGAGACGACGAGTCATTAAATCAATCAAAAGGAGCAGAGGTACATATTCGCAAATAATATCCACATCGATTCATCACGCAAAATTCCACATCGAACCACTCTAACACGCCCTCTGTAGTTTTCCCTTTTAATCGTGTTTGCCTCAGTTTCGGAACGATGTGGAAGACCGCTGCCATCGTTATTCTATGCCTGTCTAGCTGCATCAATGCCATACCAGGTACGTGAATCTGTTGCGATGCGCTTCCTCGCCACCCAGTACATCGCTGACCAAACATCGTCATCATTTGTCGTTTGTGTCTAGTTGTGGTGGAGCTAGCTAAAGCACCGGTTCGTGCAACGCCTGCAGCTACTCCTGAAGCTACCCCAGCTGCATCATCAGCATCAGCTCCCAAAGTTGGAAACCCTGTACCATTGATCTCGATGTGCTCGTCGCCTGGTAGGAAGCTTGAGCTTGCAGCTTGAGCTTGATATTTTCAATGTAGTTTCCTTACTGATCGCCTTATCTTCCGCTTTGCTATCTTGCAGGTCAAGTCGCTTTAACGTTTGATGATGGTCCATACCTGGTATGCACTGGAAACTGTGTTTTAAACCCCCTCATCGATTCAGCCTTTAAGATTCCTTTCATTGTTTCTAGTATACCACTCAAGTAGTCAACTTTTTGACCAATCTCGGTATCCATGCCACCTTCTTTGTCAATGTAAGCTCCCACCATCGATCTTGTTGGAAACGGTCTTTACCTCAAGGCTAACGCCTGATTATTCAACAGGGTCAAAATTACGCAAGCATTGACGACTACCAAGGTGCCTTAAAAGCCATGCTTAGTGGTGGTCACCAAATTGGTTCTCATACATGGTAAAAGAAACCTCTGCTCAGACGGATTGCTCGGCTTCTAAGCAATACCCCAACCACTATGTAGGAGTCATCCAGATACCCCATCACTCTCTGACGCCGCATTCACAGACCAAGTCACTCGTTTGGAAGTTGAGCTCAAGAAGCTTGTTGGTATTACCCCTGCTTGTAAGTGATTGCATGTGAGAATATCATTAGGCCTGTTTTTGCACCAGACTGAATCACTAAGCTCCATCCACTCGAATTTGCAGACTACAGACCTCCATACGGTGACATAACGGATGGCCAACGAGCCATCCTCGGTGGGTTGGGATACCATGCTGCCATCTTATGGAATGTGGATACCTTTGTACGTAGCCGTCGCCTTCCTTCTTTATCTCAGCTTCTTCATTTTTTTCGCATCACCACTTACACACTCCCCTCTCTCTCACCACCAGGACTACAACCACGCAGCAGCAACAGAATCCAACATCCAAACCTCACTAAACAATGTAAAGAACGGCGTCGACCCACAAGGATCCGGCTCATCATACATTATTCTAGAGCACGATGTGCAGCCTGTTACGGGTGATATCAGCGCAGAGAGTGGGTTTGCTGGTGGTAGTTATTTGTCGCAGGTGGTTAGTTACTTGAAGGGTAAAGGGTTGAAGTTTGTTACTATTGCTCAGTGTGCGAATAAAGGTGGTGCGTACAAGTGAAGAGCTTGAGCTGGTATGAGGATAGTGGTGGTGATGAGTGTGTATCTATAAGAAAAGAGAGAAAACTGGGGAGTGGTATCTATTTGTGGGATGTCTGAACAAATATTTAGGGACCGGATGAAAAGAGATACTTTGGAGGGAGTGACGCTGATACCTGAAGCATATTTGATATGCTGTAACTTTACTGACAATCATCGGCTGTGCTGTCTCCACTGTTATCGTTTTTGTGTCTTCGTCATGTTATTTCCGTCAAGAATACAAACATAATATTTAATCTAACCTGGGCAGGTGTGCATCTACTGTGCTGGTTAAGGCTCTTTTGGTTTACTCGCGCTCTCCCTTTCTTTTATTAACAAGTGTTAATGGGAAGGTTTAGCTCTGCGAACAAACGACAACCGAAGGTAGTGTACACGAGGTCGTCGTTTCCAACCTTATACGGTTTTCGCACTCAAAGTTGCCAACATTCTAAAATTGTACTTATCCTCTCCTTGCTAACTATCTACTAAGTTTTTATGTTATTCGTTTCTTTCTATCTGCAAATCCACAAACACACCAACTCCCTTTCCTCTCTGTAAATACATGATGCAAAAAAGATCTTTTGAGGTCATTTCATTCCTTCCTTTTACTCTTTACTTTCGAGGAGTGTTGATGCTGAGACTTTTCAATCTCTTCATCATGTCATCGATAGATACATCCACTTCGTCAACAGTTTCATCTACTTGCCAATCATTCGGGTCGTCAAACTCATCACTGGATCCATGATGACTTGGTGGGACAAGGCGATCTTTCGTTTTTGATGTTGGTATGACAGTAGTGCTTTGACTACGTTGAATAGGTTGACGTGGGGGAGTGGCACCAGGAGACATGGGTGATGTGATCCAGTTACTACCAACGGTCTTGGTTGGTGTAGTTGTTGTTGTTAATGTTGTTGTTGACATAGAAGGAATACTAGTGCTAGCAGTCTTGGCTTTACCATTGCGTATCACCTTTTTGGCTTCTGCTTCTACTTCCTCCTCAACCATCATCGTATCGATGCTTCGAGCACTATTACCATGGTTGGAGTTACAACCTTCATCTGATGTAGGTGTCACCATGGATTGTCTGCTCGATGATCTTGCCGATGAAGATTCGACGGTGTCATCAATCAAGATACCGAGACGAGCTTCCACTTCTGGAGGAATTTCAGCGTCCGGGTCCCAATGGAATGGTATTGGTAGACCTTTTTTTGAAATCATGAAATTCCGACCTTAGTAGATGCAACAGCAATTTTTTTGGAACATCGCACTTGACCAATACCTGCACGAGACCTTCCGTCCAGATAACTGACTGCATGATCTCGAGCAGTCACAGACGTGAATAATATAAATACAGTAGGTTCACCAAATTGTTGGACTTCAGTAAACTCAACCAGTCCTGATTGCCTGGCAAGAGCATATGTGATGACTGATTTGTCCTTGTAACCAAAGACACATAGCAGCTGGTTGGAAAACGCCTTGGTTCGAAGCGCCAAGGCCTCTGGACCAACACTTCCTTGTATGAACTCCGCACAAAAGTTGGTCAATAAACTATAATATGAAAGTGTGTGAGATTCAGGTCTGATGAGTATATAGAAACGTCTTTGTTTTGTACTTTATAGAGCACGCAGCAGCTTCTGCATCTTCTGCAGTTCTGAAATCCAATCCGTTCTCATTCAGGACGTTGACACCTTGAAACCTGATATGTTGTGAGAAAGGAATCAACATAGACATTCGTGAGCACTCCCGTCTATACGTGCATGCAGCTTGTTTTGCGTCATCAAATTCAGAAGATTCGTACTAACATGGAAAAGAATCTGATAGCAGCCTTCCCCGAAATGACCAAGTCTTGAGGCAACAAGATACGTAATCTTGTTGAAGGGATTTTTCCAAGATCATGATTCTTCAATTGATGCTTGGTAGCAACCAAACTCAATTTGATCTTGTTCTTGGTGATTGAGTAGGATTCTGCGACTCGAGCAGATACCGTATCCTGAATAAAAAAAATAGCAAGGAGAAACCCCTAATGAAACGGCAATTATAATACTTACCCAAAAGTGAGCAAAGATACGTGGCGAGTCTCGATCTGGCCGACCTTCGAACGATACTGGGCAATGTGGAGGATTTCGATGAGACACAAGCCCCATACCTTTTATCGTACTTGCGACTTTGGCAAAGCAAAGTCATATACATGTATCCTTACCCTTGCGGAAGCCAGGAAAACTCAAGAAGTAAAGCAAAACTTGCTCCGATGTCCTTCCGTCAGAGAGATCAGGCAAGTACAAGGTAGTCGCGAATCCAGTTTCCAGTCCAGCAGCATTGATAGCCTTCTATCATTACAGAAAAAGATACATTAACATTCATCCATCGCGATTCTAGCCAAACTTCACAATCTCACTCACTGCCTGACGATGATAATACGGAGCCAAATTAGTCACATAAGATATATAATCGAAAGCGAGTTTGGCATTATCATCATTCTGGAACTTGATATTGTAGCCTCGAACTGACGAGTCGACACCGACGAAACCTCGCGTATCTGCGAAAAGCATTGCGAGTGCACCGAGTGTGATGTATGGTCGTCGACATACGAAGAAGGATGAGGTTGGTTCTTCATCGTATGGAGTCCATTCGATTTCAGGCTGTTCTTTGCCAGTCCTATAGACGATTGTGGGATGATGAAGGTCAATGAGAGGTACAAGTGCCATATATTTTTAGTTTGGTGTTTCTGAAGAAAGAAATAGCAAAATGTGCATTCATTATGATCATAATAATCAGGCTGCATCATAAATCGGCTCATGTCACTAGACCGAACTACCCATACAACCAACAATCACATGTCTACCAAACATCACTTCAAACACCACATACCATCGGTCAGGCCTAGATTGAAACCCCTTTGATTTGAACATCTTGATGGCTTGACGTGCATTGTATTCACTCTAATCAAGACCCGGAATTGAATGAGCTTGGATCACAAAACACTCATGTGAGGTTCAAATGTTGATGAAGAGCACTTGCATCAAAGAAGACAATGGCAAAATTGGTAAAGAACCATATTTTCTCAAATCCAGGTAGACCTCGAGCATATCCCAGTATTTCAGCGATGGTTTTTCTCGTGACGGGTTTGTCCAGAATGCATTGTTTGGCAACCTGTTCTTTTGTTAGGATTACCTATATGCGACGAAGAGATTATTAGAGATAATTCATTTTATTGTGCTTAAATGAGCGATGAGCTGTGTCTCTTACCATGTTGTCTTCTACTTCTTTTGTACAGTTGCTCCAGTTTCCTGAACAATGTGTGAAATTACAACAGCGCCTTCGTAAGATGGAGGAGCTGAATATGACGCGTACCAACTGCTGGGAATGCAGGCTTCATCAGTCTATCACGTTTATCTAGCTCATTGGGTTCGAGCTTGCAGTCAAACAAACATGTCCTTCCTAAACATTTTTTTTTATTATGTTACAGAGAGTTCAATATGATGAAGATTATTACATGCGATCTTGATTCTTTGACGAGAAAGATACCGATGCTGCTGAGGCCTTGTCACCGGGATACGACCGTTGTGCTTGTCCAACTCTAGACTTGAGTTGAGCTTGAGAGTAGAAGCTGTCCTTTCCAGACACAAGCTCAGCACGTGGATCCAAAGATACGTAGTCGTCAACTGGATTTGACGACGAAGAGGAAGTGAGTCTTTGTATGCAAAAAGAAAAGACCATAAAATTCTAAACACACCTTTGGGTTCGTAAACATTAGCAACTGACTTGTTTGCAACAAACTTGGCGTTCATCCAGCCTTCATCGTCTTCGTCCTCATCTCCAGAAACATCCCAATCACGACACGATTTACACTTCTTGACACCATGCAAATCACACGTCCATTCTTCATCTTCTAGTTTCTTCTTCTTTCTTCGTGCCATCGTCTCGTCTCCTTCATCATCATGACCAACAGCTTCTTTATTACTGCTGCCTTCCTTTCGCAGCTTTTTCTGAAATGCAATCAGTTTCGCCAATCCATCTGCACCCGTCCCACCCTTCTTAACAGCAGGACGAGCTTTATCTGCATATTGAGCTCGTATCTGATCCACCATGGATTCAGGTTTGGAGCTTGTTGTTACTGTTGTTGATATAGGTGTTTTACCAATCTGTTTGATTTCAGACCGAAGCTGCTGGATCTTGTCACGTATTCCTGACCTAACAATAAATGCATAAACGTGTCAGTTATGAGTAAGTCTTGCAGTCAAAAAAATCCAAATGGTTTTGTACTGAATTGACGCCTATGGCTCACTTTGCAGTTTCACTTGGCATTGCAACGACAGATGATGGTTCAGGTGATTTACTATTCGCACCACGTTTCCCTTCATTCACATGGCTAGTCTTGCTCTTCTTTACCACTTTACGTGGCCCCGCGTCATCTGAATCACTATCATCGTCATCATCACTACTATTCTGCTCTCTCCGTTTCTTTATTGCTGGTCTTTCACTCCTCTCTTCAGCCTTTTCACTAGGAGCATTCTTGTTCAAAGCTTCCAAACCACCAGTATCTTGACGAATCCGCGGGTCATCAACGATCACATCATGCATACTCTTCACTCTTCCGAATTCTATATTACTATCTCCAGCTTGGTCTTGCTGTTCGTCGTCTGCAAACGACAAGACTGCTAGATTCTTCTTCTTTTTGGTCTTTGGTTGTGTTTGGGACTGTTGAGCGGATGCAGCGGCTGATTGGACTTGAGCACGACGTTCAGTAGCTGTTATTCGAGGTTCTATGTCGTCGAATGGGTTGAATAGTACTTCGACAGATATTACTTTGGGAGGGTAGAGTGGTCGTTCTTGTTCGTCGACATCTAGTTCTCCGATTTTGAGGACGTTGTATAGTGTTTCTCCAACCACCTTTGTGTGTGAAGTAAGGAATATTGTAAGTTAAATGGCCTTGTGCAAGTAAATGGTCCTACAGAATGACAGAGCTGTAACCTTTCCGAATAGCGTGTTCTTCTTAAACAGCTCATCTGCACGATCCAATGTGAAGAAGAATTGACTCGTGTTATCGTTGGGACCCGTGTTGGCCTATTTACACAAAACGATTGTTGAGCTTTCAAGGATCCAGAGCTTGTAGCGGTTGTACTAAGTGTCTCTTTTTTTACCATTCCAACAAATCCACGACGTGAATACTTTAATCGACTGTGGAACTCATCTACAAACTTGAGAGCAATGTATCAGCGACATCTTGATCAACAAAGGGAACGGCAACATGATTGAACGTACTGGTTGACCATAGATTGACTCTCCACCCTCACCAGTTCCTAAACAGTCAAACATCAGCGTCATTGATCCAGACATCATACTCCCTTTTGCAATGAGCTCATACCTTTCGGATCACCACCCTGTACAATGAAATTCTTGACAACACGGTGGAAGATTGTATCATCATAGTATCCTTCCATACTAAACGAGTTTGATGTCAGCTCCAAATCCCTTTCACCAACCAATGTAATGCGCGAACAGCAACAATATACCATAGTTGAACAAAGTTTCGACACGTTTTTGGAGTTTCTTTAGACCATAGTTCAATTTCAATGTCGCCCATTGTCGTGTGCATTACAATCTAAGTATGGATTTGACGGTAAAAACAAAGACCAAGGAACAAGCAAGGAGATGCCAACGAGATTAAATGGATCTTACCTTGCCCTGAGTAGGCGGCTCCTGTACGTATGCGTACGACATGCTTGAAAGCTGTTAGATTTGAACGTCAAGATTGGAACAGCAGAAGATGCTACGACCTTTGACGAGTGTGGATAAGAAGCTAATCGAGGAAGGTATGCTATTTTATACGCGTTTGACACCCATCTACCTCTTGTCCTTGCTCCTTTCCTTGTTAGGTATAGCTTCAAAACGCGACCAAATATCAAAACCGATCTTGGCTTAATAGCTTCGTCATGAGCGCAGATACGAGACGGCAGGTGCTGCGACTATACAAGGAGGCAAGTATGAAAGCTGTTTATTGATCTCCTTTTCCATGTTTCTTGATCCGCAATGTTGACAATTCCAAACTGACAAAACATCCTCAACTTTGACCTAGTTGCTATACGTTGGCAAGACATATCCAGCAGGATTCGACTACTTCAAACCAAAGCTAAGAGCTGCCTTTGAGAAAAAGAGACACATTACTAGTCCAGAGGACATTCAAAAGGGCATCAAATTGGGAAATTACGTGTATAAGGAGCTTGAGGCACTGCACTTCCTCAAGAAGTATCGGACGATGAAGGCGAGATATGGATGATTATTCTAGTCAGGTAAGCGTGTTTGAGTGGTCCTACGAGTGCAAATGCTGAACTAACAAACTTACCATCCAATTCTCTTAGTCTCTCTCCAATTCATATGTATATATTCCCGTCATCAGGATACGTAATATTTATAAATCTTAAAGTTAAATAGTTATCTCATGGACAAGGAATTTGGAAGCGATCTAGTGGCTGGATTTACGTTCCTGATTCCTGATCGATTCCCAATTCAGCGCGACACCCCTGCCCCCAGTTCCAAAGAATTCAAGATATCCAAACTCGACATATACGCCTACTCCGCATCGTCCTTTCGCCTGATCTTCGTGATCTAGTGGTTTCTCCCTCAAAACCAGGAGTTTGGCTTACGGTAGCAGATGACCATTTGCCTTTCGAATTTTGAGGGGTTAACCAACCAGCTTCCTTCGGCACAATCTCTAACGTTGCGCTCATCTGCAAAAGAACATTGATTATAAGAGGCATCTACTACTCTACCTTGGACCGATTGATACGAGAGATCTTGTGTGCTCAACATGACCGCTTTACAAGAATTTATCGAAATCACACGGAACGGTGACAAAGAAACCATCCTAAAAAAGTTACATGATAACGTCATTGGAAGTAATGTAGTGTTGGAAACATGTTTTGGTAAGGGATTGGCCCCAATGGAGATGTTGTAACTCTCTCGCACACGAAATTGACACAATCACATCTGTAAATTTCGTGCACCAGGTCCAAGGAAGATCATATACTCGGATTGGATTGCATCTGGGCGATCTTTGAAAATGATTGAAGATTTCATGCAGGTACGTCACGTACAATACAATAATCTCGGAGGTTGTGTCAGCCTGTGCTAAGACAATCCATTGGTGTGTAGGCTCAGGTGCTTCCATTCTATGCAAACACACACACCTCCGCTACGATATCTTCAGTTGTTACAAGTGATGTAAGCCGTATCTATCGAATTGCTATCGCGTTGAGCCCTGGACCTGATTGTGCCTTTCTTTGGGGATGTGTGTAGCGACGAGAAGCTGCCCGTTCAGTAATCAAGAAGGCTGTAAACGGAGGTCCCGACACTGCAGTCATATTCACTGGGTCTGGAAGTACAGCTGCTATAGCAAAGGCTGTCGACGCATTGAATCTTCGTGACGAGTCGTTCTGGATTCAGGTCGCCATCGATCGTGGTTCAATTTCGGAAAAGAATCGATTGAAGAAGGAGGATAGGCCCGTCGTGTTTTTGTCTGTGCAGGTACATTGTCGATTCTTGTGCACTCATAAGTTTCTCCTGATCAATTTTTTTTTGTTGCTCAGGAACATCATTCAAACACACTTTTATGGCGAGAATCCTGCGCTGAAGTCTACGTAGTGGACCAAACAGATGATGGCGCAATCGACCTAGTAGATCTGGAAAAGAATCTCAAACTCTACCGAGCCCAGCAACGCCCCTTAATGATTGGAACTTTCACAGCTGCATCGAATCTCACCGGTTTGCTGAACGACACCAACAAGATATCAGTCCTGTTACACAAATACGACGCACTAGCCTTCTTCGATTACGCATGTGCAGCTCCCTATGTGAAACTAGATATGCACCCAGATGCTCTACATTTGCCGGAAAGTGATCGTGATTTGGCGTATCCAGATGCTTTATTCATATCCCCGCATAAGATGCTTGGAGGGCCTAGTACGCCTGGGCTGCTTATATGTAGGAAAAATCTGTTTGCCTTGAGAGGAAATGTACCAACTGGTATGTGTAGCTGGTTCGCCGCCCTTTTTTTCGCGATTGCCACAAATTCACATTCTTTTTTCATAGTTCCCGGAGGAGGCACCATTGAACTGGTGTATGATTCCACGCTTACATATACGGAAGATTTGGAAGGTCGTGAGGAAGGAGGAACACCGGCAATTGTTGATTCGATTCGATGTGGTCTAGTGTTTATGGTGAAAGAGGCTGTCGGAACTTCGTTGATACATAGTGTGGAGCAGGAGACGTCAGCGTTGTACGGTCCAAGGCTACGTGCTATGGAGAATGTGGATGTGCTTGGTCAAGTAAGCATCCAAAAAAATTGTCTGCAAATACCGCCTATGTTTCCTTATTGAAGCGTTTGTTGCATAGGATGGTCCATTAGGACGATTACCTTTATGGTGCATTCGTATGAAAATACCGGCTGCTGTTTCGCGACGACTGGGGTATGCGAAAGATCGGGAAATGTATATACATCACGATGTTGTGAGCTTGCTTCTGAATGACCTGTTTGGTACGTTTTGTTGAAGCCCCTCCAAAAGCCACAAGGAACTGAAATCAGCTCCTTATAGGCATACAATCACGTCCAGGATGTATATGCGCAGGACCACTAGGATCTAGACTAATGTCAGTTCCACAATCTGTACCTCTCATGGATGCCGTATTAGGAGTCAACAGACACGACAATGGCTTCAACCGTGGATACCATTGTGGAAATGACGCAATGTGTCATTCCACCCTTGGCCTCCCACAATCCGCTGAATCCTCGGACACACTAGCAGATATTGTAGTGGAACGAGCCAAGAGTATGGACGCTTCTTTTGCTACTCAAATGGGCATTCGCAAGAGCATCAGTCTAGGATCTACTAGGCCTCTTGCCAAAACACCAGAAAAGAAAATTACAGAAGCTAGAATGGTTAGACTATGGGCTCGTCTTCGACGTCTGACGAGAGCTAAAGAAGCATCTACCGTACTTGTAAGCATCTCACCAGCTCAACCGACAAGTATAAACCGAAAGCAACCACAGTCACTTGGTCCGGAATGGCATCTCAAGCTTGGATATAAACGATTATACCTGTTTAAACTGGGATTTACGAGATTCGCAATCAACTACTTCCAGAGTGAAGAAGAAGCCGAATACATCTTCAAAGCTATCGAATGGATTGCCAAGAAAGGATGGGCTATGCTACCAGCATATACCGTAAACCCGGAAACCGGTGTATGGAAACTACGGACAGGTGTACCATCCACGACAACCATCAAGGCCTCCGATAGCACAGTAACATTGAATAATCCCGAAGTAGAGGACGAACTGCTAGCACTGTTCACACCTCTATCACCATCATCCGCACCCTCATTTGATAAATGTCTGGAAAAGGCGGATGAGATTGCGGAAAAAGTCAAGAATTGGACGAGCAGGCATTCGGATTTGTTTGAGATGGAACGACAGCGGGATCAGGATTTGTTTAATTGTGTGGAGGCAGAGTCTATTAGGTGGTGTTGTTTCCCGTCTGAGATTCAGAGTCTTGTTAGTGATGTGTTGTAAGTAATCCCAGGTAGAATGAGTTTATATCGGAGGGGAGAGAGACTGTAAAACTAGGGGGCGAGACTGTAACATTTCCTTTTAGTACCTAATAATTGAATTTGTAATTTCTGGGGGTAATATGTGTTTTTGAAACGATTTGGGATTGGTGTTTGCACAATATGGTTTTGAAATGTGGATCTTGATTAATGGCAAAGACCTCATGTCATGATTTGCTAGACTCACTGGAAGCTATTATGCTACTTTTCTTATTCGAACACCCCAAACACGCTGGTCTGAATTCTAAGCTCCTGCTGGGCTTGGAGACCCCCGTCATTTTCTGGAGCTGTAGCTGGAAAAACTTGATATTTTCCTTCACTGTATTCCTGGTGTTTGCAAAGTCAGTGACACTGTTTCAAACTCAAAAGCCCTCAAGTTTATGATTTGGATTCCTTTTATGATTTGGATTCAATATTTTGAAAGACTTATGAAGGTAAGTTCTGCCTGATCATCCACACTTCCTCTATTTGTTAAAGGAATATAAACGAAGTTCGTAGTCTGTTGTGGTGAGACGCACGTGAGACTAGATCCCGTGTTGACTGGCAGCGCCAAAGTGAATAGGATCACAGTAGAGTAGCAGGGCAAGCATTCTATTGCTTCCGAGAAACGCGGATGAGGAGTTTTTGGGCACGGATTACAACAACACACCAACCTACACTAGCAGTCCATACAACCGTCAAAGACAAACGAAGCGCTTCACAGATCCAAGATTCAAGACGTCGACCAGCCATTGTAGGTTTCTAGATACGAAAAGGGCACAAGAGCATGTAAATCACCACTTTGCTGCAAACGTTCATTTACATGCATATCCATTTGCACATGTGGAGCAGCACACACATTGTCGGAGAGTGTCAATGCCTCGTGTTTGGATAGAGAGATTGTCGGTTGTCATATTCTATTTGAAGCGCCTGCAAACGCCAAATGTGTTCTGAACAACACAACAACACAGAACTCACAAAACGAGTTCTGTGTTGTTGATGCGTGCAGTAGATAATTGAAATCCTTTTTCACTTGATTCATATTCATTTTAATTTTTTGGTCAGTCGCCTCCAAGCAAACCGGACGTTTCTGTTAATTTCCAGTCAAGTAATCGGAACAACAGACATACTGCTTGTTCACAAGAAATCATTACATATTTGATACAACAAAATAGAAACGTTTTATTATAGACACAATGTCCTTGTAGTTATCATACCAAACTTCCCTGTTCCCTTCGTATCACAAATCACTATACTACGAGGCAGTCGGAAACAGAATCTTGGAAGCGCCATGTATTGCGCTCGTTTACGCTCTATAACAGCTATTGCTTGATGGACTGCTTGTCGCCTCGAAGACCAATTTCTACGAAAATGGTTTTGGCTGGATGAAAAGGAAGTTCTGATTGTAGCGGCCAAAACCAAGCAAGTTCGAATTGAGAGTTTACCTAATCTATTCATCATAATGATGGGCGGCAACAGCAATGTCCCTGTTACTATCAATGTCAGCAAGCTGACGGGGATAGAAGGCTGTTGCTTTACTCAATCGAACCCTTTGTTTCACAAACAGCCATTCCACTGGCGCGCCTCGTAATACATCTTAATAACATTCCAATCATTAAGCAGCACCGGAGATGAGACGAGCCTGTGGAGATTGACGTCGGTTAGCTCCAGCAATTCCCGTAAATCAAAGTTGCGGCAATTGTAGCGACAACAAAACCAGACATACCTCTTGCAAGCGCAATCATTACATAGACGAGCTTGAATCGACAATAACAATTTTTTTGACGTCTAGGCAGCCAGAACCCATACTATAAGTGTTGCAAAAGAGACGTACGCAATCTACAGTAAAGCAGTCATCCAAACACGTTTACACCCAAGTACGAGATAAAAGAATCATAAACCAATGGCAGAGCACTACAGAGACTTTCGTAATGTTCAAATACGTACGTGGCAGTCCTATCCTGGCGCGATTGAGAACATTGAGATACAACTCATAGCACCAGGTGTTTGGGACAGCAAGCAAGGGCTCATTACGGTTTTAATGTAGTATTTTAACTGTTTATATCAACGTTTGCTATCTCTTATATCTTCAAGCAGAACTGTAACCAAATTCAAGACAAGTAACGCATCAACATTTAACTATTGTCGCCCTCGCTTCCTATTACAGTCCAAACGCATATTCATCTAACCATGTTCTATTAAAATATTATACATCCAACAATGCAAATAATCAACACGATCCAAACTCCTTTTACGCAAGATAATCATAATGATCGGGAGCTTCACCCGGTCGTTCGATATACCCCTTCTCAAGCAACGACTCAATCGCCTTCTTGATGGCAGGTACAGGTGGTGCAAAGCGAGAGGAGACTTGAGCCAAGACTTCTTGGACAAGTCGTTGATGAGCCAGTCGTTTTCTGGATTTCATAATTCGAACTATAGCGGCCTAAACGATATGTAAGAGGAATTTTAGAGACTTCGTTTCAGAAGCTTCTTCCTAATAAATGAGGTTCCTTCTTCATAGGATGACTCCCACCTGCAGGTATATAGCACGATCCTCATCTACAGCTCTTCGAGTAGAATCATTCTCTTGTGGTGATTCCAGTTGTAGCATTGCCGATAGTTTGATTTTCGTTCGTTTACTGTGTAAAGGGGTTATGTATGTGAGATGACATTAGGGTTTAAAAAAGAAGCGAAGGACAGGGCTGAGGATGTTTACCTTGAAAACTCTTGACCAACAGATATGGTTGCATCATCGCCCAACGCTTCAGATGAAGTTGATATGAGCCGTATATCCAGTAATGGCTAACCCATGCAGAATCTGGTTAGTAGCGCGTCCTTTTGCTCAACTGTATAAACAAAACGCTTACCTTAGCATGCTTTGACAAATCTCCATGGTTCATTTTCAATGCCTCCTTCAACTCCTTCCAAGTAGGCTTCTTTTCGTCATTGAGCATCAGAAGCAGTGACAATTGAGGCACTGAAACATTCAGTTCGTATCTCTTGTCAAATCCAGAGAGCTTCACGTCGGCTAAAAATGAAAGCCTTTGTCACACGACTGCACCTAATCGAAATGACTCTCACTCCATACTTACCTCTAGCTAACTGATGTAACCACGTCAACTTTCTTCCATTATGATGATGAATATAGAAATTGGTGAATGTTAAGACAGATCTTTCGAGCTAAAAAATGAAAGATGATAAAACGTCAATGTGCATTGGCCTCACAATTCTGCCACATCACTAAGCAACAGTTACCTCTGCCGGCAATGAAAGCAATTCAAGAGGCTTCCCAAATGTAGGCCATGATCCGGCAGTCAAAACCATCATATTGGATTCGACTATATTTGCAACCAAAGAAGATAGGAGTCAGAGGAGCAAAAAAGATCAGCCGCAATCTCGATGCTCTTACCAGCCAAGCGCACACCATTATTATTCACAAAGCTCTTGAATGTAGCATTAAGATCATTGCTAACATTCATATCTGTAAACATCCGTTGTAGTTTTGTAGTGTATTCGACTCCACATGCAACCTAACAAACGTAAGTGGGTCAAAGGGGAAAAAGCTTTGCGTACACCTGTACAATAGCCCATACTCACTTTGAGCTTTGATATCATACTAATCTCAGCCTCATCCGACACAGAAGACTCGAAGATCAACCTTCTAGCCAGCATCTTCGAATAAAACTTTTGAAAGACGTCCTTGTCATCAACGTATTTGAAGAGTGTCATCTAAGAAAAGTTTCAACAGAAAAAGGTTATGTCGTCTTTCCAGATTCATGACAAGACCTTCCAACCCACCATTCTTGATATCCTATCTTCTAATTCACCATCCGTTAGATTCGTCTTGGTCGTCTTGCGTAATATCGAATCACAATATCTCGCCAAGACTTCTGGACCTCGTGCATTAGGGTTTGATGTCGTGTCGTTTACTATTGTTCGGAAGGCCTACAGGAGAGCAAGAGCAACAGTGAGCACTTTCCAAGGAGCGTCAGAACATTTTTTCTCATGCCTTATCAATAGCAGCTATAAACGCTGCATCTGCCTTGAACACGTCCGTAGCGAATTTAAGATATTTAGAATGCAAGTCCATCAGCATTTCTACGTAATCTTTAGCTTCCTAGGAAGTGCAACTTCGCGTGAGGCGTTCGAAGGGAGGCAAAAAGGAGTAACCCATTGAGGTATACCTTGGTGACGGTGGTACCCAGTGCTGCAACCATAGCCTTCCCAACACGAGCAATATACTTTTCAAATATCTCTAAAAGTGGATCCACACCATTCGGTATCCTGCTCAAGAGGTTGTATGCCATGTTGCAGTCTATGTAGAAGGTGTTAGTGAGTGGGGAGACGACGCAAAAAAAGTCCTCCAAGAACCCGCCCCCATACCTGATGTATTCTCGTGCTCGACCATCGACTCGAAATGTGCATGCACTCGTTGTTGATGTGCTGCTATGTACTGTGCTTCGCATTCTCGTATTATCTAAAACGAGAATTCGAGGGTGAGTCCCAATCTCGAGACGTACGTATATTACGTATGCCTCGACCTATACCTTGTCATGAGACATCGCATCACAATACCGCTGATTCCTTATGACTTCTTCTTGTAGCCTTGTATTTGCCTAAACAACAAGAATGGGTTCAGCATCGAGCAAAAAAAAAAGCATCAAACGTATGATGTATGCACACAAACCTTGAACATGTAACCCGATATGTTAAGCGTCGATATCACGGTGTTCGATTCAGTTTCATAGTATTCCCGTGTTTGAGCCAGATACACATTCTCGAATTCGTTAATGTATAAATCAAATGGCGTATCACCATCGCGATTCAGTTGCACTAAAAAAACCAAGGCAAAGAGACACCTCAGGAACCGAGTTCTGCACCACGCTGACACAGCAAAGCTTCTAAAACCACATACCAAACGAATCAATAGTCTTCCTCGTAGCTTCATGCGGTATGATCTGCCCATCCCTATCTTGTTTAACAAGCGACATGATTTGCAGTATGAGTCTGTTTGCATTTGTTTTCTTGATTTCGTAGACTACACAATCTCTCCATATTGCGAATGCATGCTACAAGTGAGAACAGAGGGTTAAAAAACGCACTCTCCAAGTATCTGAGATGAGCGGCTTACCGCTTCAACAGACGGTCTCTTCCTTTTCATGGACCTAGCCGTATTATTAGACAGCCGATTCAAGTATTCACAAATCACGTTTGCGAATCTTGATGCTGTCGAGTACTTGTCCCATTCTGTGGCATACGCCGTGACTACGTCGTCAAACTGAAGCAGGTTCTAGGTAGAGTGAGGAGTTTGAGTCGAAAGGGTAACAAGAGAAGATCTGCGTAAACAGGTCCAATTGCGTAATAGACCTGTCCCAGACAAGCTTGATCCACTCCCAGTCTAAACTCACATTGAGCTGCAACGTAGCGTGTCGAGTCAAGAAATCCGATATTCCATCAAAGAGAGCTTCTGTATGAGGACGTGGAGCGGCTGTACACATATCATAGACCATTTGAAACCTATTAATTTCATAATAATATCATAGTCAGAACAAGAGTTTCATCATGTTCTCACAAAACACCCACAAAACGTTGCAATTGGATCTGCTTGAATAGCAACTTACATATCAATTCCCGACACATGGATATTATTGAATTCATACATATTGGAGAGCTCCTTGCAGAAATCGGGAAACACGGTCTCAAAGACCACCTTCTTTGGTCTCAGTGACATCTTTAATCGTATTTCTGAGTTTTCGAGTTTCGAGGATGATGACAGTGTGGGGAAGCTGTTCTGGCGCAGAGACTGATATGAAAGGTGAACGTGTAGAACGATGTGAGTTCGTGATTGCCGCGTCAGATAGCGCTATTTGCCCAGACAGATCCAACTGGAACCAATTCGAGCAATTGCAAAGAAATCGTTTCTATAGATGCGATTAAAATCTTCGTAGTTTTATACAAGTTTATGGTTTTTTGAGCGAAATAGCGAGGGGTGCGTGTGTTTGTGTGTGGTTTTGGTGATTATAGCGGATTATAGTCCAAGTTTGCGTGATCTCCCGGTGTTTTCAGAATATTCCAATTTTTAGTAGCGCGCTGCATTATGATTTGGAATCCCAGCCGGAAATAGCAGCAAATTCCTATTTTCGCCCCTACTTCCTGGTGCAAACTTCTCTTTTTTTGGGTTTTTGGTAATAGACTTCTTGAAGACTTCCTATTAAAAAGATATCCGTCTGAGTACCGTATCATCATTTTGTGGTAAACACGCGAGGAACACGTAAGACATACCAATAGACTCAAAACATGTCATCGTATCTCCTATCATCCTTTTTCGACGGCCGAGCCTGATTCTGCCGTGTCTGCAATCCCAAGTATTCTTCATCAATGGCACCCACACCAAACTAGATTGGTTCATGTTGAGTATCACGTGTGAAAACGAGGAAACAAACAGCTTTCATTTTTAAGGGAAAGCTTACAATGTCGTTTTGGTCGACACGGGTACCAATGATTCTCGCTCGAACTGCACTTCCAGGCCCAATAATCTCGCCATCAGGCTACGTTGGTAGTGTGTGTGTGAGAAGCTGTAAACTTGTAACAGTCCAACCAACAAACGTACATTCTTGTAGACTGAAGTGGTTGTTGAATTATCCAGCTGGTAGCTTTTCGGAATATGCTAATATAATTGGGGTTAGAGAAAGGGAACCCAACATTCAATCAAATCCACATCTACCAGCTCAGACACGAATATGTTCAAAGGACCGATCTCCATAAAGAATCCATTCTTGTTCACATTAGTGACAACTCCATCAACGACTTCATTCTTGAATGGTTTGAGTAGAAGAGCGGTATACGGTATTCGGAATTCAGCAAAACCTGTAGCTGGGACTAGGACACCAGCGCCTATTTCGTGTATCTCCTGTACCATGATGATGTAGCCATATCGACCAGAGCAGGTTCCTTCTACTTGTTCTTTCAGTTGTTTCTCAATCGAGACTTTGAGCTCACCCCGAAAGTCCTTTGGATGTATGTGGAGTGTATGAGACATGGTTCGCTGTGGAGAGTATGCAGAGAGTGTTAATTTGATGATGTGTAATGGAATGCAATGACTGATGTGGTGATTGAGGACAAAGGCATGATAACCCCACGCAATCCCTGCAAACTACCAAACATCGAGTTTTTACCAGTATAAACATGGCGAGAGGCGGTCCGCGCTTGAATTCAATCCAATAGCGTATAATCCAAGGATATTAAATTAGGATGCGCTGTAATCTAACTATAATTCTCCCTCCCCTTGCTTCGTCTGGCGTAGATGAGAATTGGTCGTTGATGTTGGGGCAATCAATCCTGGTACGGTCTAGTATAGTGGTGCCTGATGATTACTAGAATACGATAGATATTCCATGCGTAGCGAAATTTACAATGTCCTCGTGGACCAGATTGTTAACCTAATGCACATAGACACCATTGAGCATTTTGCAAATGAAAAATGTAGACTGCGTGCAAAGAGAAAGTGTCTACTTGGACTCACAGACTAGTTGGTACTAAACTATCTTTCAATGCTAAATGGTCGACTAGAATTATTATTTACGGATGCGTTGATGCCATCACTCCTCGTATCCGCGCAGTTGCAAAAAACGTAGAAAACGTGAAATCTGCGTTCAAGGGCATCTGTCAAGTTTGGAAACTGGTTGATAGCTTGCATCTCTGTATAAAATCGCATCTTTTGGAATCGACCAAGTGTCAACTATTATGGATTTGTTGAAGGACTTCTTTATTGGAAGCCATCAGAAGGCACGTCAAGCATGTAAAATGAACCATTCGCTTGATATTATCAATCATTTTATACGGGTTTTGAACTCAAAATGACTATTGCTTGAGTCTCTTTTTCCGTCTTTCTACAGGACTTGGTCAAACATCACAAACATGAGACAGCGAGCCCAGCACCAAAACATCATCAATATCCCACTCCAGTACCAGTTACAGTCCATCCAAATGTACAAGAAGCATGGCAGGAAGCTGGTGAATCTATCGAAAGTGCTGCAGACATCACAAAGAAACGTGCTGTAAAAGCTATTCGTCGTGGTATCCCTGCGGTTGAAGCTGCTGTCTTGCAGGGTATCCGTGAAGGTGCACTTGTTGGACAACAAGCTACATATCAAGCTAGAGAAGGTGCTCATTATGCGGTAGACTATGTCGCTGATGAAGCTCATAGTCTCCACGAGGGTATCAAACATGGAGCTGAAATTGCTGCAGACTATGTCGCAGATGAAGCTCATACTCTGAAACATGGTGTTGAACATGTCGCAGAGAACGTCAAGGATAGTTTTGAACATGTTGCAGAGAACGTCAAGGATGGTGCTGCAAAAGTCACCGATAGTGTCAAACGCGGCATGAAATCCGCACTCGGCACTGAACAACACGTCGTCCATGAGCTTAAAGAAGAGCTCAAACACGAAACTGCCACGATATACGACACCATATCACGCTTCTTCTCCCGGGAGACTTGGTTTCCACCACGAAAGCCGAGTGTAAAAGTGAAGCCGTCTGGTAAACTTCCTACTACCGGTACTCCTTCGCTTTCTCGTCCCGATGTCACAGTTGAACGATATGGACAATGGCAAGGCATTAATCAACAAATGTCTGAACATATCTATGTCAATGAACCACGAATGATGATTCATCGAGAAGCTACAGTCAATATTATGCCGAATACAGGCAGTCTTAATAGAGGTGGTGCTGGTAGTGTCATTACTGCTGCCCCTGCTCCTGTCTCTGATGCTGATATAATATCAGGTTCCCCAACTGCTTCGGTCACGCCTGAAGCTGCTCAAGTTCGTATTGGTTTGTCATCAGCAGTCTATGGTCTTTTACTCATTGTGGCCTACTTTGTATTGTCAAAGTGAGTGTGTGGCTTCACACGAAGCATGCGGTCGTCGTATGGTGCAGCTTTTTTGGCTCTCGCATTTATTGCGATTCCCTCTGTAGACGTGTATGGAATCATCGACGAGCTACAGGAGTATTCGTAGGTGATGGATCATACGAAATGGCTCGTCAAGCCATGAAGATCGAGTCACAACGAAGTACTCCTCCTACTGCTAATACAACAACAACTGAAAAGCACAACAACTCGCCACCTGGTACTCCTTTATACAGTAGTAGTCCATCTCGTGCTTCTACAAGTGCTGCTTCTATTGCGATGCCTGTTAATGGAGGTAAGCAATTTGAAAGTTTGCTGTGTGCGTAAAAACAGTCTTCTTGTTTTCCTTCTTGTTTTTTCAGTCTTATCACGATGTAGAAACCTTCACCATATGCGAATAATGAACAAGGATGTCCGTTACTTGAAGCACGCTTACTGATAACTTTTCCCCAAATTTTAACAAACCTAGCCAAGGACAGACAACACTTTCGTCACCTAGCAGCTCTTCGACGCTCAATCGATACAGTATCCATCTTTGCATCGAACGCAATTATCATTCAACTTTTGATCTTGGTACTGGATGTACTACAGGCTCCCGGGTATCTCATGCATGGCATTGGGTGTTTTGGATGTCTGGCACTTGCTATAGGTGAGGAAAGGGGGAAAAATCGTACAAGCACGACCGATGTTATACAAACTGATCACCTCAGTTTCCCATGATCATTTCACGTTTAGGCTGGTTTGATGATACTGATGCACGAGTAGCATCCACGTCTCTTGTTGTCCTGACTGTTGGTGTTGGAGTGGTCTGGAGTGTCATGTTTTTGACGGGTGGTATTGATTTCACTCTTGTGAAACTTGTATCGCGTGAGTTGTGAAAGTCTGTTCTTTTGTATATGTTGCTGTAGGGTAAATCTTGAATAGATGCTTCTCATGCTCGTAACATGGTTGTAAATGAAGTCGTCTTGGAAATGGTCCGACACGCACGTTGTATTGGCACATTTTGAGCATGTCTCAGTGAACGTCAAGGTTGTCAGGGATGGTGCTGAATTGGTGCACAGAAGGTCGACGACGGTGTTGTGGCACGTTTTGCTGAAATACGAACTCAAACATGAGACCGTCAATGGCAACACACGGTTTCCACCGCAAACCCACGGTACAAGCGCGAAGAGACTAGGGAAAAGTCCTGCTGCTGCTACCTCGTTTCCACCTTGCTAGAAGTCGATATCACAATTGAAGGTATGGACAATGGGAAGGCATCCGTCAATTGGTGCCTGAACATGTCTGCGTTAGTGAGCCACGAATAGTGATTCATCAACAAGCTAACGCCATTGCCATGCCGAGTACAGGGAGGAGTACAAAAATTGTGGTGGTACTAATGTTCCCAGCTCCTATATCATCATCAGCAACTTCCTCAAGCCTCTCTGTGGTTTATCTGTAAGTCTCAACGAATTGCGTCCGTTGCAACAAAATCGCAAACCAAGCCGACATTTGATCACTCTATAACTCTTTATTTGTTACTACTGTCTTTACTCCTCATCCATCTCACTGTTATCTTGCTCATCTTCGTCTTCATCCCTCTCTGAATCATCATTGTCATCATTGTGCTCCTTCAGTTGCATCTCATCTGCAGCCTGTTCATGATCAACTTGACTAGCTTCTTCCCGCTCCTCGTCTTTTAGCTTCTTGCACATATGGTTGTACTTCTTTATATGTGCCATATTTGACCTGGAGCGGCACTCTCGACCGTACCAACAATCCCTTCTCTTTAGCAATGTTGGCGGGAGAAGATTCTGATGTTGCTCGTAGTACTTTTGCAGGAATATAGACAGAACTCCGTTTGCACAGTTAGTGCATACTTTTGAGTTCCTTTGGAGCTTTGTAACTGGTTGCCACTGTACCACTGTAGATTCAAAGTGGGTTGGAGAACTTTCGTGAGTTTCACTATCACAATACATTCACAGAGAGTCAACGATATCTCAAGTAACTTACGATAAGCTTGTGGTTCCAAAATGACAGATTCCAATTGCTCATCAAAGAGCTTATTCAATACATCACCTCGATGAGCCATGAGGGTATCGACCAAGAATGAATCATACGTATTCAACGACTCGGTTGGTATAGATTCAAATCGTTTCCTGTGTTCCTCGAATGGAACTACATCGTTGGGCTTGCATTTGCAGCAAAGGAAGCAGTATTGGGTGTTTCGCACCAATACCAGATACTGCATTTTAACTTGATCTTCGTCATATACAATATACTATACGAGAACGGAAAGAGGTTGGCTGTGAGACATCGAAAGCGCGTTACTCTACTAAAGGACCATACCTCATTGTACGTCAAGACTCGCTGCTTTTCCTTCCCATCCTTATCAACTCGTAATTTCTCTGCTATAACCGGTCCTTGCGGTACGGCAACACCAGTCTTGGAATAGAACAGTGTCTTGTTGACACTGGGACCTTCTTTTCCCAATCCTTTCGTCGAGCTGAATCCATCAGGAGCTCGGGTCAAGAACTCGGATTCTTCGAGTTCATACGATTCTCCTAATGCTACATCTGCCAGAAGTAAACCACCATATGCATCCGTCTTGCCATCCCAACGATTGTTCTGAGCATAACCGACCGCCTTACAGAAGACGTCCGCGCAATAGATTCCTTTGCCAAACATGTAGCCTGATACAGCACTAGAGATGTTGATAGTAACGTGAGTGTATAATTGACGCTTCGCTCACCAAGGGATGCTCGATCTGGTTACCTTTCTACTGGAGCAACTCGTAGTCCCTGAGACAACATTCCAATGAAATTACCCATTCCACTACCATGCCACAGCAACTTCCTTCCACCAACATCCCTAAATCTTTCCTCTTCATCTTTTCGTGTAGTTTTGAAGGCACCGACCAAATCGTAAGGTCCGAGTCCCTGAGATGTGGTCAAGATATAATCGTTGATGAGTTTGAATTCCTCGGCTGTGGATTCAACGGGCGTTAAGCGATTCTTCAGTGCAGAATAAACATAATCAAGTGGGTTGATTTCGGTAGCCTTGTGGCTAGCTGCCAAAAGTATTGTCACAGCCGAATCAAGGAATCGGAGTGCATTCACCTACATGAACAGGAATAAGTAGGAAGTAGATTGCATGTTTGTTGGCTTTGCAGAAAACTTGCATTCTGGAACTCCTTTGTCAACCTAGCAAGGAAAAATATATAATTTTAGTTACAAGACCTTCAGAAGCGACTCCGACAACTTACGTAGGCATGTCAAGAATAGGCTTAATACCATATCCATTATCAGCAGCAGAGGGAACAAGCCGATAATACTCATTACTGAGTTCGACAATCGTATACTTGATCTCTTTCATGACCTTGACATCAGGCAAACTTGACTTTTTCCTCAGCTCCTCCATTCTGCGTATCTCGGTGGCAATGAGAGTCAGCTTTTCATAACCACTTTGAGCTACTTTGTGGTCAATGTTTCCCAAAGGAATGCTGGTTGATATATCAGCAGCGATTCGATTCAGAGATCCAACGTCAGTAAATATTTTCAAGATATCTTGTAATGCTGGATGCAGTTTTGATGGAGGAGTCTTGGACCAGTCGAAGGGTTTGAGATCAATCTTTTTACGTTCGACGGTTCGTACTACTTGATATTTCCCTGGACGGAAAGAATCGTCTGTATATCGGTCTTCCCAAACTATGCCGGCCTTGGATTTGAAGACCTGAATTTGAAGATGGTGATGCTGAGAGTAGTTCTCATGACAAACTATGAAAGAAACTATTCACCTTCTTAAACTCTTTGATGCACTCTTCACGAGTTTCATACGGTGTTCGTTGAAACATCCCAGTCTCGCCTTGAAGAATTAGATAATGAATAAGCCCTTGAGACGTGAAAATCCAAAAACGAAAGCTCACCAATTCCTCCCCATCTGGTCCAAAGCAAGTAGATATCCTGTGCTCGATTATTGATGACACTACATTTATAAAACACATTCATTCCAAAGTGCCCACGTTCCACATCCGTCTTTGTCATCACAATATCGTACGGGCCCTCCAGTTCAGTTTCATTCTCGTAGACGACTTCGGCAGTGTCAGCAGTGAGCTGCAAGTTACTGTCCAGAGCGACTTTCCGTTTGGCAGCAGGTATATATTCAGGATTCTCAGCGAGAAGTTTCCTTTCTTCTTCCAAAGCTTCTTCGTCAGCGATGCGCTCCAATTCTCTTCTACCGAGCTCAGCGTCACCGAATACATCTGGACCATCAGGAATATCCACATGAGACATGTCTTCTCCTACTAATTCCGGCAACATGTCTTCTGGTAGTGCTGGGGGTGGATTGCCTTGTCGTTCGAATAGCAAGTGCTCGTCCCATATTCTTGACGAAGCGTGAAGACGAGCATAGTCTGAAGGCAGCCAGCCATAATTATCTTCCTTTTGTCCAGCCCTTGGACCAGCCTTGGCCATGACAAGTTTTAGCATCTCGACATTCTCATACGACAAGATCTTTCGTGGTTGTACTATATGATGGAAGACATCACGACCGTGGATATCCGTCTTGGTCAAATCTACTACATGTTGACTTTTTTCAAGGAGAGTAGTCAGAATATTTATACTGTTGATGGCTACACATTTCATTACAGATGTCAGACGATTCGGATTGGCTACTGCACTCGACAAGAAATTCGGATTGGCTCCTACTGCGAGTAAGGAAGCTACAGTAGCTCCATCGCCCTTGTCAATGAAGATGTCTAGCGGTCTCATTCCGGTTTGCTGGTCCATAATATTTGGATCTGGTCGTGCAGCATAAAATTCCTAAAGCGGGGAGCAATCAATCAATTTCAACCATAAGAAAATCGAGACTGATGCTTACAGCTTTCAGATCAGGCATCTTATTTTCGAGTAGAATCGTTTGGAATGCCGTTCGTTTAGATTTGGGATCAGTGGCGTTTACATCGGCGCCCTTCTTGAGCACAGCCTGAAAAAGGACCAAATTGTTAAAAATGATGACACGTTTGAATGCTGCAAAATCGAAATGCTTCAAACCTCGACTTACCTGGACACGACGTTGGTCATTTCGTACAAGCAGAGTCTGAAGCAGAGTCCGATGACTCAAAGGGTGAACCACGTCTGCATTGGCACCATGTTCCAACAGTACATCAAATATGGATTTCTTATCCTTTTCAGCCTGAGGTTGGAAGGCAGTATGAAGAATAGGATGCATAATGGCAGATTTCTTGACAACTTTGTTGTCCTTGTCCGTTTCTTCCCATTCTACAAGCGATGTTTCATTAAGCGGTGCTTTCGCCTTGGCAAGCGCGACCAATACGTCTTCAAGTTGCTGGGTAACGGCCTTCATGACAGCAGTTACGTGACCGTGGTCTCCATCAAGATCACAAGGCGCTGATTTGTTTAACAGAGCTTGGACAAACTTGACTTCCTTTGTATCTACAGCCAATCTTATAGCAGATGGGACTTTGGCGACATCAGATTCGTTGACATTGGCACCTGCTGCTAATAGAGCCTCTACGATCTTGAAATTGCCAGCGGCTAGAGCATATGTCAATGGGCTGTTTCCTGTACTGTCGACTCCATTGGGAGAAACATCATGGGCAAGTAGCCATAATGCTAATGCTTGATGTCCATTTTTGGCGGCATAGTGAATCGGTCTTCGCGAGTGTGCATCCATGTCATCAAAGGTAACATGTGGAGAAATAATATCACATATTTCGGCTCCATAATCCTCTGAAGCTACACGATCAGCAGGTGCGTAGTCGACAAGAATGTGGAATAGATTTTGACTATGTTCATTCGTCGCCGTTAATGATATTGGTAACGCTTTGCCGATTTGCAGCAAGGCTAGATGAAACTTTCCTAGAGTTGGATTGATGGGGATTGTGAGTATTTTGTAATGCCAAACAAAAAAAAAAAACTCTAACATGTATGCTCACCGGCTGATAACTCGTCATGAATCGCACTGAGCAATGGCAAACCCAGCTCCACAATCAAGAAGGACATGCTCATGAAGCTTTTAGACAAGCTGTATCTGAAGATGGAAAGCTTTTCACCAGATGGAAGGCTCATCATTCCTACGATTTAGATGAGAACACAATGAGCATTCGAAGCTCATCAAACACTCTACCAACGCAGTCACTTACGATGCACATTTGCACCTCGATTTGCTAGCATGACTGAATAGTCCAAATGATTGAAAAGAAGTCCAATTTCGAGTGCCGACTGGTTTTCTGAGTCGGCAACATCAAGCCTGGCCTTGCGATCAAGCAAGTACGAGGTAGATGTGAATGCTCCCAGTCGAGCAGAATAATGAAGTGGTGTACGACCAAAACTACAGAGAAACAAAACGTCAAATCAAATCTACCAGGCAAAATGAAGACTGATTGCATACCCGTCCTGTGCATCCACGTTGATATTGGGCAAGTCGACTAGATACGACACAATCTCGATGGGATCGCCTTTAACGATATCTTTAGGCTCTTCCCATTTTTCATGACAATACAATGGACCCAAGTCTCGTTCATCGACTGGTTCTTCGACGACGACTCCATTCTTGGCTGCTTCTCTTGCTTCTGCATCAGCCATGCCCTTAGCATGACCATCGACAAACCAAGCAGATACTTCTTTGTCAGTAATGTCAAACTTTTCCAACGTCTCTTTGGTTTTGCTCTCTCTTTCTTTACGTTTAGCGACTCTAGCATTGTACTCGTCATATTTCTTCTTTGCGTTCAGTGATGTCGCTGTTAACGGAGTAAAGCCGAGATCAAAAAATGCGATATGGAGAGGTGTGCGTCCTTGCGAATCTATAGCATTTACGTTTGCACCGTGTTGAATCAACAATCTCTCGACTCTGAGAGACGTATTGATTTCTGACTTGGATTTTTCTACTGCTAGATGTAGAGCGGTCGTTTTGGCCTGGAATGGAGAAATGTCAGAGAACGTAGACAACAAGCACAACAGCCCCGCTTGCAAGAACTTACGGGATCTTCAGCATGCACTGAAGCATGAGATCTCAAAAGAGCATCAACCACACGGTGATTTCCAATTTTCACAGCATGATGCAGGACCCAAACGCCATCAGAATCTTTTACATTGACTTCGACATTTCGTGGACCACCCAAGAGCAGACGGACGCAATCTAAAGAATTGGCTTGGATAGCTTCCATCAAAGCAGTGCGTCCAGTTTTCTCTGAGACTATGTTTGGATTACCACCAATATTTACCAGTGCCTTGACGACATCTGCCATTCCGTGTTGACAAGCCAACGTGATGGCGCTTAGACTGTTCTTGTTTACTGCATCGATATTCAACGCGATAGGATCGTCTTCAGACGCAGCGATAACCATAGAAGCCATTTTGCTGACCCCTGAACTACAAGCCAGATGAAGAGCAGTGTTTCCATCATGGTTTTGTTGAGCTAGATCAACTTTACGACTTAAAATCACTTGGAGGATTTCTTCAGATCCAGATTCTATAGCCCTCATAGCAGCCGAGAATCCATTGTCAGTAACTATATTGGTGTCTGCACCAGCATCAACCAACATGCGAGTTACTACTACATCTTTCGAGATTACGGCATGTAGCAAGGCTGGTATTTTATCTTTTCCAGCTTTATCCAACCCGGTCGATGTCTTTACATTCGACACCAGCTTCAACATCAGTGGTCCACGATGCTGACGGCAAACCACAAGAAGAGGCGTTTCGCCTGCTTCATTTGATACCGCTGGATCAGCCGAAGCTGCTAGTAAAGCATCTATAGTCTTTTCAGCTAGATCACGAGCCGGCAAAGCTCCAAATCTAAACTTTTTGGCAACGACGGCCTCTTCATCTCGAATCTTTTCAGGCTCAATCGTGCTGACAGCCAGCAGCAATGCTGAAGATTTAGTAGTATCCGCTGGCACGTCTGGATCACAACCATGGCGGGTCAAGAACTCGACAAGCTGATATCCGTAATGTTTTGAAGCTATATGAATGGCAGCAAATCCAGTATAGATTGGTTTGGGAGTGCTTTTAGGCTTCTTCTCAAAACCTTTGGGCAACTTGACTGTGGTGCTCAAGTCTAATCTACAGTAGGCCAAGATTGGTCCTACTAGATCACAGAATATGTCGTATATCGGATTACAATCAATGATTTTGGGTGGTGCGGTCTCATCTTCAACAGGTAGCGGCTACAAATTATGAGATGTTGTCAGCTGAAGAGAAAACTGTAATGTTAGTTTTCAATGGTTGGCTTACAGTCTTATCCCACCACGGCCGTTGGACTGGCCTAGCCTTGACTCGATACTTTTCCTTCATGGTTTCAATATTTGACGATATTTGCATGACAGCTGTTTTCACACCCAGCAAGATTGGCGTATATCCATTGTCGTCGACTTGAGCAGCCTATTAAACAACACATATATCAGCCACCTAAGCCACCAAGAATTCTGAATGCTCATAATCAAACGCTCATACTCACCAAATCTCTAAGCTGAGCAACAGGGAAAGTCTGAATCACAATCCAAATTTCCTTCATTACCGCTACAAGCCGCTCTCTCTCCACGGCGTCATTTTCAAATTCTCGAACTGAGGCACTGATGACACCAGCTTCCTTCAAGTAATGATGCAGGATGTTCTGGTTTGCCCCAAACGGCACCGTGATATCGGCTTTATGGTTGAGCAAGTATAGAGCAATAGTGTGGTTTCCAGATGACAAAGCAAGATGCAGCGCACTCTTCCGATCTTTGCTCAGATGGTTTACATTGCAACCTAGGATTATAAATTTGTTAGTGTTCTGAGTTCTACTTAGAACCGAACACAGTAAAATAAACCTCGTTGGAGCAGTAGTTCAGCCAGATGTACAAACGTCTCCCTCAAATCCGCATTCTTGAAATACGTTTGCTCTGTCTCTGGCTCTTCCATACTTGCATCAGGTTCCTTCATCGTAGTATTCTCGTCACCATTCTCTTCATCATCATCATCGTGGTCGTCTTCGTTGTCGTCCTCATCATCATCTGAGCCTCTGTAACGACTCGGCTTGGAGGCTCTCGCGACCTTGGTTGTGCTTGTAGGTTTGAGACTGGCTTCGTCGATACTATGGTCTGACATGGATGCCAGAAAATGGAGGGCCGATTCACCATCAGGTGTCAGCAGATTCGGGTTGGCGTTACGTTCTACGAGTAGTTCGACCTTGCGGACTACACGGCGAGCTTCGTAGTGATTTGTTAGGTTGGCCTTCATTGCTGTGTGAAGCATGGTACAGCCTATGATTTCTCAAGAGTTCGCGTAAGAAGATTGAAATCAGAGTTTTTCTTAACACTAGGGGAGGCATGCCTTGATTATCCTTGAAATTCACGTCAACGGCCTTGGAATTCAGGAAATACTCTACGATTTTCATGTGTCCCTTGGCATCAGCTAAAAAAAGCATATTTGGCAGCACTATCAGTAATCGTTGCTGTGATTCGAACTTTTAAGTCCTTACCAGCAGCGAGAGGTACAAGCTTCCAACTATTTTCTGCATTCACATCCGCCCCAGCATACTCTACTAGTAGGCGAACCATTCGAATCCAACCATACGCTGCTGCATAATGCAAAGCCGTATTCTTGGACGTATCTTGAGCATTCGGATCAACACCGTTCTGTATACAAAACACAGCAATGTCGTAATGTCCATTCTTAGCTGCCAAGTGCAGAGCAGTTCGACGTGACCGGTCCACGTCATGTAAACTCGAGCCGTTCTCAGACAAGAATTTAACTACATCAAGATGACCGCGCATACAAGCTTCTAAGAGTGGAGTGCGCTTGTTTTCCTTGTCGACAGGTGCAATCTCAGCCCCGTGGTCTAACAACTGTTGGATACACGCGAGGTTTCCGTAATGAGCAGCAAAGTGTATGTATGTGAGCTTCATAGATGTGAAGGGGTCATTGATGTAATCCTTTACTGGCACATTTCTAGCAATGCGGAAGAATTGAGTATACAAATAGTAAACGTGATATTATAGTATGCTGAGCCAAACCTTAGTGCACTGAGAATCAACGGAATGTTATCCGGGCGTCCATAGCGACAAGCCAATGCCAATGGTGTAATTTTCGTCAGATCGGGAGACTCACAATCAACACCTTTTGAGATTAGAAACTTGAGCGCCTCCGTAGATTTACTACCAGCGGCAAAGTGTGCTACAGATCTTCCAAGATCATCCACATGGGCTGTCTCAGCTGGCGTCAAGAGACTAAACAGCTTCTGCAAAAAGAAGGTATCTGGATTTGCAGCACTGAAGTGATATGGAGATACGGAAAAGTTTCCTGCGGCCTTCTTTAGCACATTACGACGGTGGATGCTGTCAATCGCCGAATGGTCTGTGCCGAGTACATGGCCATGATATTCGTTAAAGCCGTATCCGATACCGAGAAGTTTGACCAAATACGCGGTTATATCTATGTTTCCACTAGCAGCTGATTCATGTGGACCCCACATTTGTACACATACTTTGATTTGGGGACTGGTCAGCATCTATCAAGTGAAACAGTTACCAATGCTGCGTCAAGACGGTTCTTTTAATGCGAAAACTTACCAAATAGTCAATCATCTCAGGGGTAATACTACCATGACGCATGGCATCCTGAAACGCCTGCTCTTCAGGCCTAAACCGTGACCAAGCACGCTGCTTCGGATGCAATATATCGTATGGATCTTTATCCATCCGTCTATAAAACGCATCATTGCCTTCACGTCCACCACGAGATGCCTTTACAGTTCGAATGCCTCTCCCATAAGTTCTATGAGAAACCTGGCCGACTGTCGAGACACTATAGTAATTCGACGGTGGCTCTACTCGTTTCCCTTGCTGTCGTTTGGCGGGATCCATAAGGGCAGCAGCCGCTGCTAAATCATTCTTGACCATGGCGCTTCTGAGCGCGTTTAGATGGGGGCAGTCAGCTCGTCCAGACCATTCAAAGCCAGCCACGTCTGATAAAGAGTTGACACAGGCATCCAGTAGGACTGTGTCATTTGTTTCTATAGCCCGAGTATACTCTTTGGTTGAGCATATCATACAGCACGCGGTATCGGGCTGGTGTGGATGTCTTTCGTCATATTCAGCTCCACGCTACATTATAAAAAAATCAGCGATGTGAAACTGAAACCCAAACGGAACAGCCTGCAACGCACCATATTAGGCAACTTTGCCTTCCCACGAGCCTTAACACGCTGCTCAATTGCAGCCTTATCCTCCTTCTTAACTCTAGGAGCGCGAGCAGCAGCCTTCTTCTCCTTGGGGATAGACGGCACTCGATTCAACGAAGCAGGCATGGCCGCCTCATCACCACCGTCCTCATTCTCCACACGTCGTTTCTTACGAGTTGCAGAGCCATCTGGCCCTTTACCCTTCGATCTCTTGTTGGACGACCCAGCTGGAATATAGTCATCATCGTCCTCTGCAGACTCTACCTCGACTTCGATTATATCGTCGTCTTCAATGATAGAGTATTTCCGGGTAACGACAGGACGACGACGAGGTGGGGTAGCCATTTCTACATCCTCCCGTTCGAATTCTTCGATGAGGTCCTTTTCGGTATCGGCTGCATCAAACCACTCGTTCTCTTCATCGCCGTATCCTGCGAATTTTACATAGTACATGCGCTTGCCCTGAGAAAAAGGATAAGACGCGTCAGCATCAAGTAGGATCACAAACAACTGTGTCATAGCTTACCTTGACGAGTTTAGTAGCAACGATCTTTTCCGCAAAGATCTCAGGCTCTTCTTCCTCTTCGTCCTCTTGCAGATTCTCTTCATCGTCAACCGGCTCTTCGTGTAGTTCACGCTCTTCTTCTTCCTCTTCGTCGATAATCTCGACGGAAGGTTGTTTTGTCCTTCGTGTTCGTGTTCGTGGTTGTGCTTGTTGCACGGTAACTTCAGCCTCATCATCTTCAATAACAATCACTGGAAGGCCAGCTTCAGAGGGATGTTTAAATGGGCTAGATGCAACACTTTTACCTACATATACATTTGAGTCAGTTGTCAAACGTCGGAGTTGGAAATACAAACCAAACAACTACGTACCACGAGTAGTAACGGTTTTCTTGACACTTGCACCCCCATTCCGTGTATTTCTACCTCTATCAGGTGATGCGACATTGCTCCTTGACGAGCTTGCTCTTGATTTCGTTGGCGTCACAGAAACCAAGGGTGCGTTGGATGAAGTTGCTTGACCAGTAGATGAACGCGTCTAACCAAAAGAGGAATTTAGTTGAGAAGTACTGAGATGCAGCGAATATGCACGAAATTATTGCTCGTACAGATGCTCTTCCACGCCTAGTCGCCGTTGTAACACTGGCCTGCTTTTTTGGAAATTGAATTTGATAGTGCGTTGTTAGGTGCATGCATTCGTTTGCATCAATCAAGCGCGTCAGTTTACCTCAATAGGGAGTCTCCCCATCTCCTTCTACACTTGGTTGTAGGGGTCCAGTTGCTGTTGTTGTGTGTGCGATGTGTTGTATTTTGCAAGCAACACAGCCTCTTTGTTCCGCCTCAATCAGTAATTGACGTATTTTCTGTACAAGTCGTGATATCTTGTCTAGAGCGATCGCTACTGTGTACTCTCAGAAATCTCGTGTTTTAAGTTGCTTCGAGCAATAGCAACACATTGAACAACACAGCTTGAAAATTTTCAGGCTAATTTTATGTATGAATACAAGAATTGTGACAAAAGTTTACGTTTCGATGAGGCCATACAGTAACATCCCAGTCTTACGGCGACTGTGTTGTTGTCGTCTCCTTCAACTCAAGAAACTTGATGGTTCTCTCGTTGTTTGGAGTCAGTTTGGCATAGTGTAATGCCGTCTTGCCTCTCTTGTTCTTCACGTGGACATCCGCTTTTCCACGTTCAACCTACATGTGGAACAGTGGATCAGCACACAGTCGACTTTGAAATGTTGGAATGAAAAAGGACTTTACCAAGAGCTCCACCAGAGTAAAGTCGGCATTTCCAGCCGCTAAATGCAATGCCGTATTCCCAGATTGTCTAGCCTGCTTGTTGACAAAGGCAGCGACATTGTCCGGTGGCAAATGATCAATCTATCCAGGCCAGCAGTCAGTTTGTTGGGCTCACGTTTTCCAGCCTTCGACGGCGCTACTAGAACTTACCAATAACGTAGCCACCTCAGAATTATCCGCCTTACGAGCAGCAGAATGCAATGCCGTCCCCTCCGAGTTTTCAACAGTGATATCCGCACCAGCGTCCAACAGCACCTGGATAATCCCGACATATCCCTCGAACGCAGCTTTGAACAAGACCTTTTCTTGCATCTCACGGGCTTTTTCAGGAGCAAAGTCTGGTATCACTGGAGCATCTCCAAGCAACAGGATTTGATCATTGCTTGGCTGAATTGTAGGTGAAGAAGGATCTTCTACTCCAACGTCCACGGTTAATAATCCTATATTCAAGTGTTTGGGATTAAAGTCTACAATCCTGTGTGTGTGAACAATTGTTAGGAAGTTTGAAATGAGCTGGAGAAAGTGCAGCATACTCAACCTGTAAGCGAGTACAATGGCATCTTGTGGCGCCGTGACACCGCCAGGCAGTATAGGCGGCATATTGAAAAACTCGGAGATATCCCGTATGGCCAATTCCACTTCAGCAGAATCCGAAAACAGCGACAGCGCTTCTACTACATGTGGCGTAACACTACCGTTTCGTGGTAACCGATCTATTCCAGCACGTCTAGCATACCATGCAACATCAACCTCCACAGCACTCTCGCCCTCGACCCCATATCTCACCATTGATTTCCAGGTATCAACAAAGCTCTCCTGATGTGTTGACAGCAAGAGTCCAGACATGTCGTCGTCTCGACTACATTTACCAATATATCTCCAGTCTGATTCTAACGGTACCGTCATCGTGTCCTGTCCATGAAGCCAAATATATAGCGATCGACGAGCTGCGAGGTACCTTAGAGCTGGTGGGAAATCTTCAAACGAGATTTTCAGCTCTCCGTTTTCAAACTGAGGCGAAAAGTTTGGAGCTAGGAGGTGTCGTAAATCGCAGACTATGATTGTAAAGTAGCTCCAGAACTGGATTATGTCACCGGTGGTGGCTTCTGCGTCATAGAAATTGGTTGTGAAGAGACGTTGGAGGACTGGAGCTTGTGCCATTTCAAGCAAGCCGTCGAGTGTGTATTCCTCGAAACGTTTCAGCTTTCGTTCTACTTCTTCGATGTGTTCTTCATCCGCCTGTTTGACATATTTACTTAGTGTCTACAATGATACAAAGCAAGACCAAATCCCCCAAGCAACGTACCTTGACTGAATCCTTGAAACATAAAGCCCTGAATGTGGATGATATGGTATATACTAACGATGCTGTCCACGACAGTGTTGGGATATCGGATGTGGCCAATACTGCCTGCAGTAAAGCCAATGTCTTTTGCCGTAATGACTCGGCGACGGATTCTAGCCGTTCGAATTCACGGCGTCGACTCTGACTCGCCGAATCTAGCTCTCCAAATCGAGCTACATCCTTGGAAAAATCTCGGGCACCCACAACAAGCTCTCCGACACCCCAATTGAATTGTTTCGTGACGACTTGTTGAATGTCTCCAAGCACGGTCTTTACGGTTTCTATATGCAGATAACATGTAAGTCTGGATTGTACGTGATTGTTTTGTATATGCTCAACTTACGAAGCTCAGCATTAATCTGCGAGATCTGAGTGATAACCTCGGATATCTGCTTGGTTATCGTAATTTTGTTTTCAATAATCACAGCTTCCAGATGTCCGAGTCCTTTAGCAATATTCTGACTCGCTGGGCCGAGCTCTCGTTGAACTTGCATCAGCAAGAGATTGTTTCTCATGGCGAGTTCCAGATTGGCTGAGCTAACTACCAAGCTAGAAAGACCAGAGAAACTGGATGGGCTCGCTAAAGAGTCTTTAACAACCACAGCCCCGCTACCAGTGTAAGGCACTAGACTATTATTCGACGTGCCGAATGACTGTGATTTTGGCACAAGACGTATTAAACCACCATTGGAAGACACGACAGCCAATTGTGTGCCCTGTGCTCTTTCCTTGTCTAGCGCTCTATGAGGCCGCTCTGAATTCGTGGCCGGGTTTGCGACTGCGGCATAGTAAGACCACGCCCATCTGGCATAGTCTTTAGCGGAATGGTGGACCTTGAGCACTGGTATATCTTTTATATCCTTGGATGTTGCTACTACTCGAGGCAGATCGTCCACAATCTCATACGAGATTGTTTCGACGTTTATCCGCCAGATTTTACCGATGGGCCTGAGCTTTGCTTGACGTCCAAGGAATGTCTCTGAATCTATGGCTGGAACTGCATCGTCGGTTCTTACAAGAGCGACTGTGCCGGGGATAAAGTATCTGATTGGGGAAATCGCGATAGAGCCGGCTGTAATCAATTCCACTACAAGATTTTGCGCATATTGGTTAGCTTCACCGGCATTTGCGAGCACGCAGAAGGCATTACCTGAAACATTGGGACTCTTGTTAAGTTTGCTGAGTAAATCCTGGTAGGTCAGACTTGCGACAGCACCACCCTCAGAGTGACCACAGAATACAATATACAGCTTATCATTCAACTTTTGAAGATCAGAGTGGAAACGTTCCTGCACCCAAGTTGTAAAAATGTTCGCAAAGAACTTCAAAGTCCAGTGGAAGCGACCCATTCGAGCCTAGTAAAGTAACAAGGATCTGAGCAATGGTCGAATGCCAAACAACAATTGCGCATTAGCTTACAGGTGTAAGACTTGCGACCCAACTGCTTTCATCTGCAGCAGCTCTTGCGACGAAAAACACCCAAGTTTCCGCATTGTGTGGCACCTTTACGGATACCATTGAGAATCTCGAGTAGAAATCGTGTTCGGGTGAGCGATGCGTGACTTTGATACCCCATTGTGGTGCTGATGTGGCAGGGAAGTGTGTCACTAAATCTTGTCCTAGCACTTGCGCAAGCAGCTCAGGAGATTGCAGATAAGCATTGATATATAGATCACTAGCAAGCTGGCTGGCGATTGCAATCCGTAAGAGGTTGTCGTTGTCGTTGGTCATTATATGACTGTAATAGTGTTTGGATTGTGATGATATCTAGCTCTACTTTCAACGTGGATGACAGTCTAGCGGTTCCTGAGCTGGATAATAAGGTCTAAAGCAAGGAACGCGTAGTCCACGATGTCTGAAGCAGCGAGCAAGTGTGTCCTTTACACTCCGATCAACAAAGAGGCTGGTTGACTGGAGCTGAAGAGATACACGAAAGACATCTTGCAGGTTGATTATTGGTTGATCTGAAATATTTACGCGTCCTGACGCGTCCTTGTGATCCTCATAGATGTTGCCGACGAACCGAATGGCTGGTTACTGTTGATTTGGCCGACGAGCTTGTCCTTGTTCCGTTTGCAGATGAACAGGCCTTGAATGGCAAGGATCAAGACCAGACGTATCTATAGGCTTTAATATATAGTTGCCAGTACTGTTACATATTGTCTTTTAACCAAAGAATGGATCGGTAAGTGCGATTCGGCCCATTCAACAGTCAGCACGTTTTCAAGCTCATGAACAACATTCTTCCATTTACTAGCACACTAGTCACTTGGATAGCCGGACTTACCACGATTGGCACCATTGCCTTCGGCCTCTACTACATCGGGACTCCTGAAGATGCATCACTACCCCCAGATCCAGTCTTTATTCAAGAGCATTCAAAGATCATCAAACTACACCACAACATACGAATCGTATACAAGGCTCATAAACTAGGCCATGATGTGCCTCTGATTGTCTTTGTGCACGGACTGGGTGGCAATCTGCAGCAGTGGGACGAACAAATGATACACTTCAACGCTATGGCTCCCGTCTTGGGTATGATCCACTCGGGTTTCTTTACATTGATGGGAAATCCCTCTCTTGACGCCATTGTGCTTTAGGCATGGACTTGGTTGGACATGGACGATCTGAAAAGTGCACGAATCTACAGCACTACAAAACATCATATATCGCAGACGAAATAGTGCATTTGATCAAGTCGCATTATGGATCATACCAGAAATTCGTGTTTATTGGGCACTCGTACGGATGCTGCCTTCTTACATCGCTGCTCTCGAGGCATGAGGATATCAAGTCGAAAACACTGGCCGTATCCTTCATTGCACCGAAATACCAACTCACTGACAAGGATGTAAAGGCATTCAAACGAGCTATAGCCACGCCCTCGTTTTTAATAGATATAGTCAGGTGGTTTGACCGACGTGGTGGCATACACTCTCACTCTGTAGAAAGAGTATTGGCTTCAGGTAACGCCATGGAACGTGCACCGGCCTCTGTCGTAGACGTACTCACCCTCATTCGTGTACTAGGTGCATCTACCGAACTACGAGAACGTCAGCTACGATGGAATAAAGCCAACACAACAAGCACAGTCAAACGCTGTGCCGCGGGATTGGAATGGGTGACTGATGAAGACTATAAGGAACTCAGTCTCCCGCTGCTGCTGATTGTGGGTGAAGACGATCGTGTGACTCCCATAGACAATGTAGAGAAGCTGTATACCCTGATATCAAAAGTATCAAAGCTCTGCCCTGAGCCCTACGTTGTTCCTGCCACAGGGCATTCTGTCATGTGTGAGAAGGTGGATCAAGTGGCGGCGTTTATTAGGTACGTGGTTGTGTACATTGCAGGTGCTATGACTTCAGAGTATCTGATATTGAGCACTTTCTAGTGGATTCTTGGTTGACGAGTGCAAGATTGAGTCAATGAGTCTCAAGGATCAGATCCTAAGAGATCAGCGAGTAGCATTTGAGAAGTGGTCCCTCAAAAACTATGCCAAGTGGTTCAAAATCCAGAACGTTTCTGCTTTGGTTGGAAGATCGGTATACACAAAATGTTTTATATATGTATTTGAATCTTCTTGTACCAACACTCTCCATATCTTAGCGATTCAGAGGCATGAAAGTCCTCAAACAAGACGACGCCATACACACTCCGAAACGCCTCGCACAAGACTACCCACAAATCTGCGGCCTCATCGATATATCACTCGACGACCAGCCGCCATATGATATCGCAGACTTTGCAAACACTGGCATCGAATACATCAAACTACCAACAATATCAAAGATACCACCTGCCAAAGAAGAAGTCGCAGCCTTCATCAAAACCGCCCGAGCCTTTTGGAAACGTAAACCGACTTCAGAGTTGGGTGTACACTGCCACTATGGATTCAATCGCACGGGGTTTCTGATTGTGTCGTATCTGATTGAGGAGGACAAGTACAGCGTGAGTGACGCTATAGCTGCTTTTGCCGCTGCGAGACCTCCAGGCATCAAGGTATAGCTATACGTAATAGCTTCTAATCCAATTCTCAAACGCTCACAAGTCGTTCTCGTTAGCACCTGCACTTCAAAGACGCCCTCTACACACGATACGAGGCTCCATTAGCTCGTTTGCATCAACATACGCATCCTCATGTCATAGAAGCAGATACAGTGCTCGGGAGGGCGCTGTCTGACTTGGATTTATAAGGAGAGTTTGGGGTTACTGGGGCTGGTCGAGTTAGCAAATCATTTAGTTTTTAATTATATTACAGATAGTCATGTAGAGCTGCATTAGTTTAACAATGGTCATCATTATGAATGGAGATGGTTGTGGTTTGACATATTGTTATCGACTCAAGCGGTTGGTTTCTCTGGTTGGTGCGAATTATAGTCACAAATGAAGAGCTTTCTTTTGTGCCAGGATTTATCAAAGGCTTCAAGGGACTGAAGTCTAAAGATTGTTGCTTCTTTTCGTTTCGAGATTTCACGCCAATGTTGAAACGACGAAACGCCGATGTATGACATACAGCCGACGAAGGTTTCGCGTAGAGTCTCTGTGGTGCAGAAAAAAAGCACACATACATTCGCCAAATGTCTAAATGCTAACCTATGTCTAGTACTCTCATTTCACAAACCTAATCACAAATCTACAATCCCTCCCCACAACAAGTATACAACAACCAATATTCACATCTCATATACAAAGCGCATCTCAGTCGAAAAGTGCCTTTAAATCCTCAAGCGTCATTCGAGTATCTTCACCAGCAGTGACGGCACCAGCGATATTGGATTTGCGTTCTTGAATGGCGAGGATCTTTTCTTCAAGAGTTCCTAAAAGCGAAAAAAGGCGGTCAGCAAAGCTATGAATCCGATCAAACAGACTGGATGAGGCAATACCTCTAACAATGAACCGTCGGACTTCAACATTCCGAATCTGGCCAAAACGATGTACGCGGTCCATCGCTTGATCTTATGAAAACAGTTAGCTTGTAAGAACCAGAGCTTAAATTAAGTCAACACCATCAATTTGAAAAGCAGACACTGAATATTTTACCTTCGACGGCCCTGAATAAAAAAACCAGAAATGCAATCAACGACCATGACAAAACACAGAATCAATTTCGTTTCGCTTACCGATTCCACCACGGATCAAGCAGTACAACCTGACTAGCCACCGTCAAATTCACTCCAACCCCCATAGCTCTCAAACTGGCCAGCATAACAGTAGGAGCGTCCTTCCCATCATTCTGGAAGCGCTGCAACACTTGCTCCCTCTTCTTTTGTGATACGCTTCCATCGATACGACACCATTCAATCCCTTGTTCGTCCAGTGTTTGTTCCACTAGATCCAGCATGGATGTGAAGAGCGAAAAGACGATTGTTTTTATGGGCGGTGTGTCATCTTTTGGTGTGGCTCGTAAGAAGGAGACAAGAGCCTTGATTTTGGCGGATGGGCGGAATGCGACTCCTTTTGCGAATGACAATTTTACGGTGGTTTGTTGTAGTTTTGGTTTTTGGGTGGATGTCTTTTCATCGTCGTCGTCGTCTTCAAGGTCATCGTCACTATTACTATTGTTAGCATGTTTGGATGAGCCAGGCATGGTGATGGCCTTAGTAGTCTTTCGTAAGACTGAGAGCAATTCTTTTTCAGAGCAAGGTTTCCGGCATGTAGGGCATTCTGTGGGTTTGCCTTGAGCTTCACCTAAGCGAAAATTGAAATTTAAAAACGAGTAAATTTCATTATCTTGCAAAACAAGAATTGCTACCAGTGAAAGAGCAAACAACTTACAACGCTCCATATAATCAAAAAGACAATCACGACAAGCCGTATGCAGGCACGATGGTATAATAGTAGCAGCGACAATAGTATCCATGCAAATAACACATTCTGTATCGACTATTGCCTGTTGTTGCAGCTCCTTCATGACTGATTCCATATATGCGGTCGATTCGGTCCCAGTTTGACAATATTGAAGGACGAGATCCTCCATTCCAATCGTTTCCAGCGTAGTCTTGGCAAATGCAGCAACAAGGAATGGATGGTCGCACATTTGCCGTAATCGTAAAATCATCTATATGGAAAATATTTAGAGAGGCGAAAAAAAGATGCTAGGATTGCGACTTTATATGAGCTGACCTCAAATACGTGTGCATATGTGTAACGACCATTGCCATCATTAAGCCGTCTCTTTGAATCCTACATGCGACAATGTGTCAAAACAACCCTCAAAAGCTTATACTTCAAACAAATCAAGCCACGTACCTTCAACAAAGAATCATAAATAATCTGCTCATCTTTACTAAAGTCCAGATACACGACTTCGATATTCTTGGGCGGCAGTTTGACAATAGAACTACCATCAGCAGACTTTTGGTCCTTGGTTCGTCTCAAAAAAATGGGTTGCAAGATAGCGGTTACGACTTCCAGGGCTCTTACATCCTTCTTCTCGAATGGCAAAGATATAAAAGACCTCCAGAAACTAAAGTTATCCCACGGCGGTAGTTTGAGAAAGTTGATCAAGGAGTACAGATCTTCAAGTTTATTCTGTATTGGTGTTCCTGAAAGAATGCGAAAAGAAGTTGTTAGCAGCACAATAAAAAAATTCAGCAAGCGCGACAAGGGAGGATTGCTCCACCGGACGCTATCTCTATTTACCTGTAAGTGCCCATCGACGCTCAGCTAAAAGCCCACAACACGCTTTTGACTGTCTTGTATTTTGCTCCTTGATGAAATGAGCTTCATCAAGAACAATTCGGTACCAAGTAGTTGAGAATAAAGGCGATCCTTCCTTTTCAAACTCTGATCCAACTACACCATATGTCGTGATAACAACAGGCGGCCCTTTGTCGCCTCTCCTGAACATTTTCTTGTCGTTGAGTGTCCTGTTGCTGCCATAGTACTCTTCGACAATACTTGAAGCGGGCACTAACAAAAGAAACGTATAGTGAGTCTAAAATTTTTGGCATTGGGTAACAAAATATACTCATTCTACAATTCCACTACCTGAGGGATCAGTTCTAAGACACTTGAGAGCTTCTTGTCTCCACTGCGCAAGCACAGATAAAGGACACACTATCAACGTTGATCGAATTTCTTTGACGCTTCGTCCAAGAGATGATGATGAGCCGGCAGTACTGCCGCTACTGCTCTTCAAAGATGGTAGTTTAGGATTCGTGTGTATCAGAGCCTGACATAGACGCGAGAGTGCGTCTCAATGCATGTAAGTATATACAGCTAAAAAAATGCACAAACACACCCAATGAATACCAGCGTTTCAATAGTCTTTCCAAGCCCTTGCTCATCAGCCAAAATTCCTCCTCTCGTCCTTTCCATGGGTACAAACTTGATGGAAAGCTCTCCAGTGTACGGGTTCATATAAAATACTTGATCGGTTCCTAAGTTATATTTAATCTTTTTTAATAGCGAGCAAAAAAAACTGAACCTACATACAAATAATCCATCACGAACCTGGAAACACAAACCTCCTCCACAACGGACTCAGAGGCGATGTTCCTTTCTGATCCTTCCCATCCGCCTCCATCTCCATCATAACCGCCAGCGCCTCCTTCTGATACGGTCTCAGCTCAACCTGAAATCCATCCGCAGGCTCACACTCAGACTGCGGACGATCGTACTTCTGTGCCTGTTTATATATATTCGTGAGATCGTTTACAGTGACTTCAGCTCGCAAGTCTTCATCCTTGATGGCTGTTGATGTAGCATCATCGTTCTCAGAGGGCACGTCGGCGGCAGGCACGAGTCCTATTTGAGCGAATACCCACGTCAAGGCTATTTTACGATCCTTGACTCGTTTCTCGTCTTCTTCGGTATCTCCGAGTGTGGCTGTTTCGAATGCTCGACGTGTGAGGGATACGCGAGCGGATACGTAGAATTGGGTAAAGGTTTCGAGTTTGTTGGGCACGTCGACGATGCTGGCTGTGAATGTAGCCTAAATGTGGGTGAGTGGGAGGTGTGAGTCTTCGATGCAAGATATTATCGCTTCACCTCTTCTCGTTTTTTTGCACATGAACTCACCAAACCATTATCCAACAATTTCGTGATATTGGAAGCCCAAGACTGATCCGAAGCAATCTTGCCCACTTCTCTACGAACTCCCGGCCTTTCAATCTTGTTGACTCGTACAATCGTGTTTTGAGCTTTGACCGTGGTAGGTCGACCTGCTGAACTACTACCACCACCACTACTGCTATTGGTGCTAGATTTGCCCAATTTCTTGGTCGACGTTTTTGGTAGAGTAAGGGCCGGTTTCGGACGTTCGAATTCCACCACATCGGCAAAGGAAACGATGGTGTTTGGATATGATTTCACAGTTGATAGGACAGGAATCACGATCTCTATAGAAACAAGCGTGTCAAACACAAAGCTCTTAAGCAAATATAAAGATCACTCAACATACCTCCAATAAACACAGGAAACTCAATCAGATCAAGCTCATTAACATCCACCACCATCGACACATCAGGCTCGACACAATCCAGCTTGACTCGTTTACTGCACCTTTCCAACGTCGATGCAGCCCCAGTACGTCCCGATACAGGCAAATCAAAGAACGCAGCAGCACATCGTTGAATATCACCATCATACTTCCTCAGCAATTCATTCAGCACTGTATCTGATTTAGCATCGACACCACAGAATTCACGTAGTGTAGAGATTGCAGATATGGCGTCTACGTCTATAGGTTCGTCAGGGACGTTGACGCTACTGGTATCGTCGGAATCACTAACTCGATCAATGTCATCTTCGTCGAGGATTATACGAGCTCGTTTCGACATTTTCGTGTCTGGCTCGGGAGTGTAGTCCTCGTCTAGTGGATCAGAGACCATTTAGGATCTAGAATATATAATTGGATAAATATGAAGAGGGGTGTTAACGGATGTAGCAGGTCTTCTCTGTTGTCATTTGATGGAAATCGATGAGCGAAGTAATGAACAATAGAGTGACTTGAGTGACTGGAGTTTCTTGCGACGCGACAAACACGTATATGCAAGTATTGCAACTATAATTGTACGGGAATTGGTGTCTTAAGTGTAGCGATCCGTATGGGAAAATGTGATTAAATCTATAATCACTTTACTTGAAACGAATTTTTTTAGCTTACAAGAAAGACCACAAGAGTTCGACTTGCACCACGCATCCGGCTGCTTACAGCATTGACATCTGCACTGATTTCCACGTAAGAATGTACCTTGAATCACCTCTTTTGACACTGTCGACATTAATGACATTTCAAACCCAACCAAACACCTAACCACACTCCCACCCCCTCACAAATCCAGACGCCATGAACCGCATCACATCCCAAATCTCACGAATACGTACATCCCTACCACCACATCCATCACGATCATCCCATCTATCAAACATCAGATCCAACATCATATCACCACCATCGGCAACCGCAGGTGAAAAGGCCATTCACGAAAAGCTGCTAAAGGCGTTCCAGCCGACTAAATTGGCTGTTAATGATGTGTCTGGTAAGCTGAAGAGTCGGGGGGGCGTCAATGTTGTAAACAGCAACAAAAAATCCTATCTTGAAAGATGGCTTCAACGAACCCCTTTTAACCGCTTTCATGTACATGGATAGGCGGTTGTGGAAGCATGTATGCTGTGCTAGTCGCGTCGCCCAAATTCAAGGGTGTGTCGCTAGTCAAGCAGCATAGAATGGTTACTGAGGCTCTTCAGGCTGACATTAAAGAGATGCATGGGATACAGATCAAGACAGAAGCATCATCATAACACATTACACATCTAATTCTTGTAAAGATCTCATCACATGAAAAAGGCTGCACAGTCAACATACGTCCTCTTTCGCGAAGGTTTTTTTGCCTGTCTCTCAAATTATGATTCTTTATGTGCAATGACTACGATACAAACTTAAAAACGCTCTCTCTCTTACTACGAATACCCATACGGGTCCGTCAACAACCTATCGAAATCCAACAATGGACCTCCACCAACTACGCCTCCTCCTGGACTTTGTATAGGTTGAGATGGAGTCCCGATTCCATTAGTAGCACCATTACTACTATACCCAGTATTCTTTAACAGATCTCGCACCATATTACCAAACACTCCTATAGGTGCATTCGGAATCGATTCCAAGCATTCCATAACTGCGAGTATCTGTGTCAGATGCAGATGCGCTTCTTGCGATCGTCCCAACTGAGAGATATGTGCCTATATTATGGGTGATTATATCGTTAAGCAACACACGCAAGGTGCAAAAAAACGGAAGGTTTGCTTCATCCAGTAAACTCACAGTGGTGGCTGACATTACTACATATATCAATCCCGGTAAAAGACGAGGAGCCATTCGTTGTTCAAGAGTCACTTGAGGTGCTGTTGATTGCACCATGGCCATTGCATTCAATAATGTGACTACCCGGTCAGCATGAGCAATACAAAACGAATCAAAGCGATTCATAGCAGCTCTTCTTGCAATCACATTCGATGTATGATACATGCAGTGCTAAAAAGGAAGAATAGCTGTGAGGAAGAGAGATATGATTGTGGTCTCAGGTTGGACGCCCAAAAAAAAACTACTTGAGCTCGGATGGCACCGGTGACAATATCACCCAGAACAACACAACACTTACAAGATAATGCCTCGGAGTAAAGAAAACTTCATCTTCATCAGGCTCACGTAACTGAGCTGGCAAACTCGTAATCCAAGAATCAAATCTCTCTTCAGCATCCTTCAAAAACTCCTCACTATTAGGTATCCCACCAGCCTGATTGGCAACCTTCACTATCGATCCCAAATCTCTAGCTAGACTCAACATTGCTGTAAGATAAGCACCTTCATTGGTTGCTTCAACGCCCCATCCTTCAGGACAGGGAACATCGACATCATCTTGTCGAATGAGTAACGGGCGACCTGTAGATGCTGCATTCCAAGCATCGAGAAGCGTACAAGCCCACCATGCTCTTCTCATAGCATCAACAGTCATGGCATCGAAACGAGCTTGTACGGATGGGTTTGATGGGAAGTAATGTGGGAGGTTACGATGAAGTCCCAGTTCTGAAGCAAAGAAATTTGATGGTTAGCGATGAGGGAACGCATATAGAAAGGTCAGTCGATTCTACCTTGCGCCATTCGTACAGCCATCCCCGTAATCTTCCATGGCCCTGCTGGTCTTCCTTTTACTGAATTACAATGTGCTAATAGACATAATGCTTGTACACTAGCTAAATGAGGTTGAGTTATATGTGACAAGACGAGTGTATATGCTCGATCGTAGAATTTTTTGTGGAGATGATAGGCAGAGACACCCGGAAACAGTTCTATGAGTTGAGGAAGACATTGGCATCCGACTGCGAGTATGGCGTTCAAAACTACAGTTGATGTCCATGCTGCGGGCGTTTTTGATAATCGAGAGGCGAAGTAGTCACGGTTCAATACGGGAAAGTAGGGATGGATCTTAGCAAAGTATAGAGAGACTAAGTACGAAGGGAGGACTTGTCAATGAAAACGCAAAAAAAACCGATGAAAACAATCGATTGAGTCGTTTGCGACATACTTATATGAACCGTGAGTTCTGGAGGACAATCAGAAGGTGCGTCAACTACAGGCGGCCATACTACAGGCATCTCTTTGGTATCTGCTGGTATTGGTTGTTCATGGATTGTCGGTCTTGTTTCGGGTGCTCTGGGAGGCCCACCAGCTTGACGAGTCCAAATATTCTGGTTCTTTGCACTGTTGCTTTGATATTTCCTCAGCTGACTGACGAACGCTGCAGACCGAAAGAGAAGAAGAGTCAGCGAAAGCTCCTAAAACCTCGAAGTGTGCTCTTACTCGTGCTCTAACAAAACAAGGAAATTAATATCTCGCATCTGTTGCTGTTGTCTTCACCAATTTCGATTCTTACTCCATAGAATTGATAATTCCTAGTCTCAGGATCCTCAACTAGAGTCATAACTTGTTGACGATCTGGCCCTGATTCCGAAGACGAAGCACCTTCAGGCCCCATATCTTGCGACGCATTCCTGGCACCCTTGACTCCATTCGATTCGCCATGACCGTTTGCTGCTGACGACGATGATACGACCATATGAACTAGTCTCTCAATATTTGCGATTCGATCTTCGATATTGCTGTTGGCAGCAGCATTACCAGGTGACGCATGCGATGATGAAGAAGAGGCAGATGGCTTTTGCGCTTGTTGTTTTGTTTTAGGAGTTGGTGCCGAGTAGATACAATCCAGGTTTGCAGTCTTGCATGCACTATCGATGAGGTTTGGTTGAGTATGATGAAATATGTTTTGAAAGCTGGTGTGATTGCAAGATTCGATTATGTGGCACCCTTCACTTGACGACAGGGTCAAACTAGGACAAGTACCTGCATGGTCTTTCTCCAGTACATTTGATTCTTTTACGTCGACAGACATCGCAAGCCTATAGGTCGAACGGGAATCAATCAGATCCGAGTTCATGAGCTCTTGACCCAAAACAGCTGATTTACCTGAGTGATTCTGGCTCTTTTGCGAGTTCCATCTCCGTACTCGTCGAAATCCATGATATGCAAGAAATACTAGTCCAAAGCGTTCTAATAGTAATTGAGTGAGCTCAGATATGGTATTGAATATAGGTAACCTAGTGAAAATCCCATACAGTTTCGTCGTATTTTGATTTGGGGTTGTTCAAGGCCCCGGAAGTGAAGAAGAGGATAGATGTTGCAAAAGGAGACTGTTCTCAGTCTTCAACTAGCATGGATCCTGTATATTAAGGCCTTCCGCCAGCTATTTGAAGTGGCTACCCTGTGATGTCAACCGTTCACGTTGAAAGTTGAAACATCCGAATAGTGAGCACCCATACTGGTGTACTCTGATACAGGCATTTTCGTCATTTTCGACGTATTTACACGTGCCTGACGCGTTCATTGCTGTCTAAATAAGTCCTCGAGTTCTCTCGTCTCTCCCTATCTTCTGCAAACATCCAGCTTGTTGGGTTTAAGGACTGGAGCCAGTGAATCTCGCTAAATATTGGAAGATCAAGTTTTAAACGTTTGATTTAGAGGTATGAGTGTGGAAAAGCATCTGGTGGCAGCACGTGTCATGACATATCGCAAGAAATTCAAAACATTTGACTAAAAACCCCCACAATCCAGGCAATGGACAATTTTACTGGCTTTCCCACCATCCTTGGCATCGTATACGCTGAGTTCCATGCCACATTCGGTCCCAAAGTAACATTCGAAGTGCCTGAAGGCATCATGACTAGCAACAATCCCAACTTATCAGGCAGCCTCACCATCAACAGCAACAACACTCCCGCATCACCGTTAATGTCTTCCATCCATTCGCCACTCGCAATGTCACCTACATCATCGCATTCGCCTACTCTCGAACACGTCGAAAACACATCATCTAACAGGGACGCTATCACTGTCGACTTTGATTCATTATCCGAATACATAATCCCTAAACGAGAATTGTTTAATCAGTTACTGATTGTGTCGACTCCCAAGTACCGAGTTATTGGACACCCGATATCTGTCGAGGGTGAAAAGTATCAACGGAATGCCCTGCTCTTCAATATGTGCTTTGTGTTGGCTGGAGATGCTGATACTAGTGCTCATGAGCCGGTGGTGGCTAAAATGGCTAGATTGTTGAGGTTGCTGGAGGTATGGTGCTTGTATTTGAGCGAAAAAAAAGGTGTCAGACGAAGTCTGACGTGTAGCTCACCTCAAACACTTCCCCTTTGCCATCATGTAACAGGTCGAAAGCGAGTTCTTGTCAAACCCAGACACAAAACAAATGTTGCCCAACATCATGGAACATATCATGGAGGGACTCAACTCCTATTTCGAGTGTCGTATACCAATAGGTGAGCATCTCCAAGTCGACCATTGGATACGCAAAAAAACTAATGCCAAACTCCACAGGTCTTCAAAACGAAGAAGACATGATCAGCGCAAACACCATCGACCTCAAACTCTTCCCACGATACCCTGAACCACCTGTAATCCACGACTACGAAGTACCAGTCTTGATCATTGACCTCGTCAAGATCATGGAATATGAAAAGTCAAGAGACACGTATTGGGATTTAACGCTTCAGAAAGTCATTCCTCGTATCGATGGGGTGTCTCATGTCCGTCGTATAGCCGATTTGGCTGATGTTGCGATTGATTTGGTGAGATTGTCTGTGCAGCATCTCTTGTACGTATCCTTGTCTGGTTTAGCAGTCTTACGGGTGACGAGAGCTGATGCTATGGGTGACTTTGATAGGTACTATGGGTGTGTGAAGATGGTCGATATCTTCCAGGTATTTCAACCCGATGTGAGTTCTTCTCTTTTTATGCTTGCTTTTCAATACACCGTCACGTTATTAGTTCTCAAACATATACGCTGTGACCGGTGATGTCAATATGATGCTAGCCAAATGGAGCTTCCAACAAGACTGCTTGAACTTTGTTACTCTACAGAGTATGCCAGCTGCCTTGCAATATGTTTTTTGCACGAGACAATCCCAACTAACATCCTTTTAAATCCACAACCTCAGATCAACAACAACCAAGCTTTGCATCTATATTCCGATTATATTGTGGATTACGGCATGGGCTGACTGTCCGTGAATGGATTGAAGAGAATCGAGTCGCTGAAATCAACATTGACATTAGGTATACACGTCTCACCTTTTTTTCGCTTCGTCTTCACGTGGCGATCTCGATTCTGGATCGTAACAGTATTATCCTATTTTAGACGCTTCTTTATATATGGACTGGTCAAGGGCTTTGTGTATCGAGTCCACAGATACCCGGTTTGGACATCACTCTTGGACGATGACAATAATAGTAACAGCAACGTTGTCTCGACACCATCTGCATTTGCTATTGATCTCATACCACCCAAGATTCAAAGGTATGGGTGGTCTTTGTAAGAAATGCAAACCAGTCTTATGGGCCGGTGACTTCTCAACTTTTTTTCCTCATCTGTTAGGTTGTTGGATGGAACACATCATTTCGATGACTTGTGTACCAGATTATCATTATCTGCGAGGGAGCTGGAAGAGTTCTTGGCAGGAGTGCCAGTCATTTGCAAGTGAAACTGCACAAAGTATAACTCTATACGGATGAAGTTGAGTCCAAAGCCGTGCAATATTGTAACATAGTTTGACATTACTAAAGTTATTATCATTGGCATGTACAACAATGTGCTGTTGGTATTGTTGATATGTATGTGTTTCACGGTGGGGATGTTGAAGATTCTGAGGAAACGTCTTGGGACTTTTGCTTTTGTTGCACGCAATCAGGAGCTGTATCCAGAGAAACCCGTACAAGGACCTCCTTCAACAGAGCCCGGATATCAATATTGGAGTTGGGTCCTGACGATGAAGGCATCATGACGAGCAACAATCGAAATTTGTCGGACAGCCTCATTATCAATGTGCCGTATACCTTTATTATCACCACTGATCATATTTTCATTCGCCATACTCTCTAACTCTGGAACATGTAGAGAACACCTCGTCAAACAGGAATGCAATTTCAGCCGAGTTCCATTCATCATGATTACGAAAACGGGAATTGCTTGATCACACATTGATTAAGTCGACTCCCAAGTATTGACTTAATGGAAGATCTGTCGAGGGTGAGAATTATCAAGGAAATGCGTTGCTTATCAACGCATTGGTTGGAGATGCTCCAGCACCCATGAACCGGTGGTAGCTAAACTGGATTGATGAGGCTGCGTGAGGTAAATGATGTGAAGTTTGTGTTGCAGCCAAAAAAAGCCGCTTTAGCAGATGGTTTATGGGATTCACTCACACAAACCGCTTTGACATCTCACTATCACAAGACAGGAACGAGGTCTTCTCAAACCCAAATACCAAACAGAGGTTGTTTAGCGTTATGGAGCATAACATAACTAGGACTCAATCACTATTTAGAACGTGATATACCGGTAGGTAAGCAGAGCAAGATAGCATCAGCAAATCTTCCGATGCAACAGAAAACAATCCTCGTATCGATGTGTGTCTATGTCGGTCGTATTGCGGATCTGCTGGTGTTGTTGCTTTGGGGAGATTGCCTGTGCAGTAACCCGCAAGTTGCTAGTCTTGGTATCTAATTGGTTGAGATGATTTGATAGGCATTATGGGTTTGCCAAAATTGTCGTTATCTTACAAGCAATCCCTGATAACTCGCTTGGTTTTTTTGGTGCTGGATGCTCAACACAAAGTTGCCTTCTTAGCTATCAAATATATGGTGACGGCTGATGTCCCTATGGTGTTTGACAATGGTGCCAACAAGTCTAGCTGAATTTGGTTGTGCTCTACCAAGTATGGTACCCCTTCTCCTGATGTTTTTCTTTGGCATCAATTATCACAACTCACAACTCACGCACGACCTCAGATCTACCACAACCAGATCTTGCAGCTCTAGTTCGACTGTACTGTAGGCTACGGCATGGATTGGCTCGTCGTGAATGGAATGAAGCGAATCATGGCGTTAAAATCAACGTTTAGACTTGAAAGTCGTTTTGCTCTTTTGGTCAGGTACTCAGTGACCATCTTACAACTATTTACCCGCTTCTTCATATGTGGAAGGGTCAAGGGCTTTGTGTACCGAGTACACATTTACACTGTCTGGACATCACGCTTGGCCGATGACATCAATAATAACATTAACGTTGTCTCGATCCCATTCTGCATTTGCTATTGATCTCATACTGTCTAATACTCAAGGGTATGTGCGCCTTTGTGGAAAAAGAACAAAACTAGAGTTTTATATCATGCAGGAATGTCGCTTCTTTTTGGATGTGCAGGTTATTGGACGGAAGCCCTCGTTTTGATTACCTGCTGCATCAGATCCTCATTATCAGTTCGAGAACTCTAAGAGTTCTCGGCTGGCAATGAGACTGCCCAGAGAGTCAGGTTCCTGTGTGTTTTCTTGTTGAGGTTGTCAGTGATCGTGAGTATGGTTGAAGATACTCGTCGAAGTAATGTACTGTAGATAGCGTGGCATCTTAATGTTAATGTTGGCTTATTATTTCAAGAGGTTCTGTATTGCTGTACTCCTATGTTCATAAGAATCACACTCGTGGCGTAATGACTGTTAACCATACATCGAGCACGCGTTGCTTTCATGCATGAAGTCAGTTGCGAGTGCATTTTGGTCATCTTCTTGGTTAGCTCTGTAACCGTTTCTCACTGACATCATCATCAGATTATTAGACGGTTTCTTAGAAACAACGACTTTCTTATCGGCGGTCGCTGCCAGAAGAGACGAATTCCTAAAGCGGAACTACTTTAAGAGCATATTTCTAGTCTCCGACACATTCGCTACGAGGTACGTGGGTTGCGTTGTCACTATTTTTTATTTTTCGTTGCGGCTGCAACTTTGATCACTTATTAGCCTTCTGCTTAGGAACAAGACCATTTGCAGTATTGTCAGTCATCGTATCATCTAGCACAGAACTGGACTGGTCGACTTGATCCCTCATTGGCCCTCCTTCTCCGTCAAAGGACAAGTCATTACAACATTTATCCCTGACATCACTTCATCTAGCACGTTACCGGACTTAATTGATCTCGCGCAATGGAATCCGTATCTGAACTTCCGGCATTAAACACCGATGATCCAACGGCTCTTCAGATTCTCGCTCTCTTGCAGGCTGGTGGTGAAAACGTCCAACCTGGGCTGGAGCGATTGCTGGCATATTACACTATGGAAAGACAGTCAAAGAAAACGAAACGGGCAAATCTGACCAAGATAGTCGAAGATCGACAGCACCAACGCCAAATCCAAGAAGCTCAGTTAGCCTATATTAGATCCCAAAAGGCTTTGGCATCAGTCTCACCAACGACATCATCAAATCAACTACACGGCACTCTGAAAACATGTGAAGCTTGTCTACGCTTGTTTTCAGATAATAATCCGGCTGTCCAATCGAAAACCTGTAATACCTGTGTCGTAAAGTACTCGTATTGCTTCTTATGTGAGTCGTATCGACCGCTGGAGCTCTTCCCAACGAATAATACCGGCCATTGCGTTATACAGAAGCCGCAGTATACCAGCTCAGAGCAGTTGAGGTTTGCTTGTCGAGAGAATCGGGAGATGAGTAGTGAGGAGTGGAATTCGTTTAGAATATTATGTATGTCTGCTACCACCTCTTTACACTGTCGTAAGTCCATGGTTGTCGAGTGATCCTTTTTTCGCTGGTTTAAAGATTCTCACCTGGTTTCTGCTTAGATCCACGTTTAATGGAGCGAGATGATTCAACTCTGAAAACATTAGATGACATACAAGGGCGGGTGTCTGAAGTGTGGGAGCGCACACGTATTAGTTTGCAGCCTTTGCAGTCGAGAGATTGGGTCGTCAAGTACACAGGTATCTTGTGACGTTGTTCGTCGAGTAGTCATTCCAACAGTGATTGACCATGTTTTTCTTTTGTTTAGCATACTGTTGGGTCGCTGCCGAAGAGACCAATCCATACTTGACACCACCAGCACCAGAACTCCAGCAAACGGCGTCCCCAAAATCCGAAGATGGGACGGTTGCGATGGAAGTCGATACAACCATCGTAAAAGTAGAACCAACATCAACGATAGTAAAACAAGAACCCACCACTCATCCGATAGACGACAAGACACCAACCCAACTCGCAGCATGCCTCTGCTGCACTTACGATGCGGACGACGGGACAGTATATATAACACACCAAGTGTGTTGGCTTACTGATCTGCTAGCACGAGGCCTATACAGAGAGTTGTTTAAACAAATAAGTGCTCAGCATGCTAGGAGGTCGTTTTCTGTTAGCAAGAACAAACCGCTACAGCCTAGTACTGTGTATTGTTGGGGTGCTGTGAGGGTTGGATCGCCGATGCTTCATGAAGCGTATAAGAGGTTGGGGTATATGGAGCTGAGGGAGGTTGCTGATAGGATGCCTGGAGTGGCTTACAGTGTGGAGAAGAAAGTGAGGTCGCTGCCACAAGCTGTTCATGGGCCTTATATAGTGTAAGCATTGTTGATGGATGTTTAGGTGCTCTTCAGAGATAAGTTAGCTAGCAGCGATAAGTTATCTAACCATGTATTTCTTTTTGTTTCTTTTCGCTTAGGTACGTCGCTGATTTCGCTACACTGATGAAGGACAGGACAACTCCCAACTTTTTCGGTGCTTGAAAAACAATCACATTTTTGTAATTTTGGAGCCCAACATTTTAGTTAATGAAAAGTCTATTATTTTCCTCATCAAGATAGACTATAGTCTTTACAAGTTCCTGTTCCCTCAGCACCAGGTTCAGTCAGCTCAGCTGTTTATCTTCATTTTCGAATCAGACCTAATGAATGATCATCATTGGGAACTTTGAGGCCCCTCCTCTAGTAAATGTGTGATCTACTAGTCTGAAATGTGACGAGCAAAAAGAACCAAAAGTCAGACCTAGATAACACCAACAAGACGAAAGCTAGTCACGACATCTCAAAGTTGCGGAATCAAGACTTGATATTGAAAAGCTTTGAGGCCCATCAGACAATGCTCTGGCTCTGGTTTCATTACAAATTGTGTTCAAAGTCGGATTGGTTTGGCCATCACTTGGGCTTGACATTATATTCTCAGATCCAAAGATGACAGACCTCGAGCAGGTATAAGACTTCTCATTACTGAGAAAAACCACTACCAAAAAGGAAAAACGGGTTTGTCAGTCTTCATGATTGAGCAAATAAAAACATACAGTTGGCATGTGATATGTCACGAATGGACGTTGACTTTCGACGTGTCATGTATATACCTCACACGTTCAATTTCTCATTCTTCATATGAGCCAAATCGGGACCGTCGAACAGTTCCTTGAAGCAAAATGACCTCTTCTCCAAATAATCAGCCAAACCATGAAGTGCTGTCATCATTCGGGCTTGACATCTGATTCTTCAATTCCCCAGATATGCAAGAAAATACGTACATTCGAGCCCTCTCAAGACACAAATCAAGTCTCTTAAGCGTGAAGATAGGAGAAGTCAACTCTAAAGGGGTTGCCAGGTTGCCATGCATGTTGCTTATTTGACTTTTGCCATGGTTGATTCTCAGAAAAGGTCATTTATCATCGACACATCAACACATAATACATGCACATTTGTTTTTGTAGCATCCTCGAACGTGATTCTTCCATCATCTCTTATTGACAGCAATGACAGCAAATGTTGATATACCTTGGACTTTCCGTTATGCGTGCAGTCTTGTATAGTAGAAGGAGACGACGTTTCTAGATTGTCAAGTGAGTAACTAGCTGCCTTTGATCGCTGATAATATCGTTGTTGCTCAACGTATCGTTGTTGTGAGTCTTTCTGACAGTGATTGGCCAACGTCAACCGTACAGTCAAAGATGACGATCTCAGAACAATAAGTACTCGCTTAATAATCGTGAATTGCATGGTCTTGCCTTGCTGGATATCTCCAAGGTTGCTTTACGCGATGGTAGTAGACTTTGAAATCTTGGAAAACGTCAAGGGAAGATCACATTTTTTTGTGGGGCCTAGAGCGTACTTTACGATGGTTTAGCGCGTATGAAAAGCAGCTTATCAGGATTTGGACTCTGTTGTACTAGATCCCTGCTTATATATGATTGTCGGCTCGGTTGTTCTTTTTTCGTTGGCACGTTCGATAAATGGAACTTTTCCATGTCATCGACGCACAAGATAATGCGTGTTTATTCTATTTATTCTTTTATATTGCCTCTTTCCATGCGACCTTTCAGTTTTTCTCAAATTTTTGTTTCAAAAGAAGTCAAGCACACCAGTTTCCAGAGGCACCAGAGTCAACGATTCTGGTTTAGAGGCAGATTGAATTGCAACTTCCACGCTACTCCTCAACGCATCACTGGACTACGAGGACGATGACTTGCATTTTCGCAACCTGTCGAATTGAACAACAAGTACGCAAACCAGGACACAGACAACAGAACCACTCCAAACCAATCTCCCTCCAAACAAATATCATAATGGCTTAATAGACCTTGTCTGGAAGGCGTTTCACACCATCAGAGATTTTTCCTTCTGGTAATTTTGCATACAATCCGTTCAACGAATAGGATCGTGCACGATTGCCGTAGGGACAACGAGAAATGTGAGGTACACACTCCCGAGGTGAAAATCATATTGACGATCTCTAAATCTACCCTGCTGCCCTTCCGATATTTTGCTCAACCTTCAATCGTCCCTAAAAAACGACCCTGGAAAGCTACTCCAAAAATGCATCGATACCATCCCTCATACAAAGAAGCAAACCAATCTAATTTATTTAGACATTTTCTTCTACAAAGGTTCCTGGGGTGGTCTGTTGGTGAAGAATTAGTTTCTCTTTTGGACAACCAATTGTAAGATTCAGGCCATGCCCGTGGCACCGTCGCTTTCTGCCAAGTCGCTTGAGATCCGCAACAAGTCATGCGAAGGATCGGCTCTCGCTCCATTGACTCGTGAAGACGCCTCTGCTGTTGGTAGTTCATCAATACGAGAATCGAGAGTCGCTTCACGGACAACAGACTCTGCAAGTGTTACAGATGCAACTACTGAGGAATCAATATTTGCGATTAGAGAAATGGTATGTTCTGGGTGGGTTTACTCTGTCAGATCGAATCATAACCAGGTTTTGTTTTGGTATATACAGGTCACAAACCATTGGCGTCTTGAAACAATATTTACAGGTATTTTCACATCTCATTTGTTGCCCAAAGCAAACTTTCTAACGCTACAAAAATACAGGCATTTCGTTGGGAGTCTTTGACACTTTCCCACCACCACCTGGCAACATGACTCCCCTGGAGCTCGCCACGAAACTAGACTTGGATGAATCGAGATGCCACCGACTGCTACGAGCTCTATGTTCCGCAAACGTCATGACGGAAGCACCTGCAGGATTCTTCCAGCTCAACACGACTGGAAATCTGCTGCGAAAAGAAAATGCAAACTCGATGCAGCCCTATCTGGTTTTACACTCGTCAACTCCCATGCGAAAATTGTGGGAGGTGCTGCCTGATGCATTAAAGAAGAAGAATGCAAACAAGACTACTATGGAGCTGGCTTATAAGGTCAAGGATCTTGCTGAATATACAGCCAAGAAGGATATGAGTTATGAGAGTGTTGTTTCTGGTGGTATTGGTGCCTTGCTCAGAGTGAGATTGCCTTTTAAGCATTGAAATAACAAGAAACTAACTCCATACGTTTTTTCTATCATAGTCCGACAATATGGCAGGTCTTCGAGTTTACAGTTTCGCCAAATTCGCCACCGTGACAGATCTGATGTCAGGAGACGGACGTCTCTTGTGTGAAATCGTTGCTAGATACCCAAACATGAAGGGCATCATTCACAAACAATCGACTTCTCCATGGGCTAAAGACTATGGACCATCCATCTGGCCAAAGAAAATGAATTTGGAATCACGAGTCACTGAAGTTCCTGCAGATCGATTTACTGGTGCTAGTATAGTACCATCAGACTGTTATATCATTCGAAGAGTCAAAGTTTACTCTGAAGCTCGGGTATGTGGCCTTACCGCGAGAGTTTGTTTTTGGTTGGCTCGTGGAGGAAGCAGACAACGGTTCTCATAACAATCTCCCATTGATTAGATGGTCGAATGCTTCAAAGCAATCCACAAAGTTTCACCAGCTCATGCCAAACTCGTCGTCATTTCTCGGCTACTACCAATATCCTGCGAGCAGGATCCACACGGCCTAGCATTGCATGATGTTCATATGATGCTGAGCTCAAATTCACGAGACAGAAGTTATACCGAAACAAAAGATTTGTTTAATACGTGTGGATGGAAGTTGAATTTTGCTGATGAGTGGCTAGGAGTCACGACGTTGGAGTTTATTAAGGCATAAGGGTAGAATTTTTCCTTTTTGCCGAAAGCAGTTGTAATATATCGAAATCCAACCAATTACAAAGCAAAAGGAGAAACTTTACTAGCAAGGAGGTTGTTGCTGACGTTCCATCAGTTTTCGTACTTCAACGCAAATTTCTATCCAGTACAAGAGAGATTACGGAGGGCGATTTGATTGTGAATTGGGACACGGATGTACTCTACTTCTAATTAGAGGCTCCTTGTATGTCTCGGGCTTCTGGGAATCGTTGTCTGTGTCATGAAATCATTGCTGGAAGCACTATCAAACATGGACGCAAACCAAAATGCACACGACACCTGCCTTCCCAAAGCAGTGCCTTGGTAAGAAGAACAGTCATACAATGCCATGGGCTCGAATCCTTAAAAGACAACTTCATACCATCAGACATTGGATATTTTGCATAAAATCCTTCCACTTGCAAATGCCAAAGTGCGCAATGGCCAAATAGTAACGGGAACTCTGAATGGACGTACCGAAGTCCTTTTCACCTAATCTCTAGTATAAATCGCACTTTGGAGGCATATTTTCCGAACACGAAAGTTTCAATCAGCACCCTCAAAATCCCCACTACAAAGACGGGCCTTCTCAGCAACGCTTCGAATCCGTGATCATCTCGTAAAGAAAGGGAGCTTCAGCTTATCTCTATTTGAAAAAATAAAATATAAAAAATTTGTCTGATCTCTCATAACGAGTCTTCATTTGGAGGTTGGGACACATCTATCAAAACCCAACATAAATGTCTATACCACCTACTTTGGCCTTGCCTAGTCCCACGGCGGGAAGACGTCTTACCATGGTTGGAGATGCAGTCAAAATTCCAGAAGAATCCATTTTTGCTATCAGAGACATGGTTACGAACCATTGGCGACTCGAGACAATCTTTACAGGTAAGCTCTAGAGCATTTTTTCTCAATAAATGTTTAACAAACTCAACAACCCCTAGGCATTTCGCTAAACCTCTTTGACACGATGCCACCACCACCTTGTACTATGACTGCCACAGAGATCGCCACGAAACTAGATTTGGATGAGTCTAGATGCATCAGAATCCTGCGAGCTCTATGCTCCGCAAACGTTTTGATGGAGGAGCCTGGAGTAGCCTTCAAGCTCACCACTACGGGAAATCTATTGCGCAAAAGCCATCCAGACTCGATGAACCCCTATCTCGCATGGCAGTTATCAACTCCAATGCAAAACTTGTGGTCGGCGCTGCCTGAAGCGTTCAGGAAGAAAAATGCAAACAAGACCGCCATGGAGGTGGCTAATAAGGTTAAAGACCTTGCTGAATTTACAGCCAAAAAGGACAAGTCGTTTGAGCGTGTCGTGGCTGGCGGTATTGGTGCCTTGCTGAGGGTGAGTACTGTGAAGTTAAAGTTAGAAGACATCGAACAACGTGTTCATGAATACCAGAGACATTGAATTGTCACTTGGAACTAAAGCTTCTCGGTTTTGAACCAATAGTCTGACAATATGGCAAGCCATCGAGTCTACAGTTTCGCCAAGTTCGGTACCGTGACAGACTTGATGGCATTCGATGGACGTCTCTTGTGTGAAATTGTCGCACGACACCCAGATATGAAAGGCATTATTCACAAACAATGGCCCTCTCCATGGGCCAAAAACTATAGACCTTCCATCTGGCCAACGAAACTGAACTTGGAGTCGAGGGTTACTGAAGTCGCTGCTGATCGATTCACGGGTGCCGGTCTCCAACCGTCCGACTGTTATATTGTTCGACGAGTGAAAATATACGATGACCAACAGGTATGCTTCATCAAAGAAAAACGTTGATTGTTGAAGCGAGACCGGACTAGATTGTTAAAGAACTCTTTGGTTTGTTACCTAGATAATGGATTGCTTCAAGGCAGTCCACAAAATTGGCCCTGCACATGCTAAACTGGTCTTTATTTCAAGGCTAATGCCTCTATCTTCTGAACCGGATCCGCATGGATTGGCATTGCATGATGTGCATTTGATGCTCAGCTCAAATTCAAGAGACAGAAATTATAACGAGACTAAAGATATGTTCTCTTCATGTGGTTGGAAATTGACCTTTGCTGACGAAGTACGGGGCGTCACGACAATGGAGTTTGCCAAAGCATAGTTACAGAGGAGGAATTGCTATCCAAATTTTCAATTGCTGCAAATAGGAATATAAAATCGTAGTGCCATCTAGAGTGTTTGCGAAATTTTGTTCGAAACTCTGATTCTTCAGCTCTACATGATTTTCTTGCTTCCCAACTAGCGATCGCTCCAGTTTCGAGATAACAAGCCTGACTTGAAATTGACACGGAATTTCTTTTCAGTATCCGCTTCCATGCATCCATGCGCCTGATTTCTTTCGAGTCCAAATCCCCATGATTGTCACCAAAAATTATAGCAGACACGAGCTCACATCCAACCGTTGAGGGCTAACCGAATCCACTCTAGCATCTTCTTATGGAGCGAGACGATGGATCCAGCGTGCCCTTTCCTCTGCCACCTCAGCAGTCGGGAGAACAAGAACTTGCACAGCTGATTGTAAACTTGGTATCTGGCCCATCTCCAGAGCAAACATTACAGAGTCTGCTAGATCACTTGTCAAATTACAGAGTGAATGCTAGTACGAGAAGCCAGACGGCGCAAACTGCTATTTTGCTGGCTAAAGTCAAACAATTGGAATTGCGGGAACACCTTGCAACGATGAGAGGCTCTGGGACGTATTTCAATGGATGTAAGTGGCGGGATCCGAGGACGATCGATGTAAGACTATATTGAAATCGTTATCTGCTTGTAGTTCCTGGAGTACGTCCACCACCACCAGTACAACAAAGCACTATAGAGCCAGTGCCAACCTGGTCGTCGTGCCGAGCTTGTCAAAAGATACCTGTACAAGCACCACAAGTACTCTGTATGAAATGCATATTTAGGTATAGATACTGCCAGCGCTGTCAACTAGACCGACCATTTGCACTGTTTCCATCCTACGATGATCCAACAATCGACATACCAACATCATGTATAATACCGCACCCACCGATATACCACGAAACACAGCTCCGCTTCCATTGTCGCGGTGCTCGCATTCTGACACCGTCAGAACAAACTACCTTTCGAACGTGTCTCTCTGGATCGATTTTGACGATATATACAAATCCGGACGTTATGGAGAGCTTTGACGGCACGTTTTGTTCTGTGGATGTTGTGCATAATAGATTACAGACGGTGTTTCAGTCAACGCTGAAGGATTTGCAGAACCCTTCAGCTGTGAATTGGGCGCAGAAGCTCGTTACTTTGGCATGGGTTGATGGAGGTGGACCAGATGTGAATGACCCTATAACGGACGAAGGTAGTGTTGTCTTGATTCTGACATACGAGTTTCAAAATAATTCTCATCGAATGTCTGAAAATTCGTAGATTCACTAGCACTATTCACAAATCCATTCCCTTCGAAACCGAAAATAAATCCAACTCTACCACTCCTGGATGATTTAATAGACGCTCAGCTAAACTCGAAAGGACAGCTAGTAGGATTCGTAACATCAGCATGGGACAAGGACGACGGGTCGATATTTATTAGCCATTTGCCATGCTTTTCGCAAGTTACCATTGGAAAGGGACTATTGGGTCAGACTCTTAGATATTCGAATATTCAGGCAGAGCAGGAAGGAAGGAGGAACGTGAGAGTTGTGTGGGGAATGGTACGAACGTTACTCAAGTTTGAAGGGAAATTTTTTGGGGCGATTGTGCCAAGTTGCTCACATCCCTACGTGTGGACATATTAGGTGAGAACTGCTACACATCATCATCACACTCTCTTCCAGAAAATCGGGTTCATGGAAATAAGTCAATTCGGCACGATGCAGCCCGAATCTGTAAGTTGCCTTCTTGGCGCGACCCTTGCTTTGGAAGGAATGGTTTAAGAGCTTTGTTTTTGCGAACTCTTCTGATCTACTCTCGTCGTTTGCAGGCTGATATAATACGGAAGAAAGTTCGATCCATCCCACAGCAGCTTTATGGACCTTACGTGACGTATACACTCTAAGTGAACTTCTTTCGTACGAGATTGGGTTAAACTAACACTCTGTCTTCACTTCCAGATACTGTGCTGATTCTCGTCAATTTTTGTAAAAATGGACTTTCAATAACATTATAGACCGATGACGTGAGATTCACATCTTGTAAATAAATTGTGACATATCCAGCCTGTTTACTTCCAATAGTGGCTTTGTCAAAGAGTACCAAGTGGCAAAAGAAAACGAGTAACTTGTTGAACTATAGCAGCAGGCAGGCGTCCTTACAGAAGAGTAAGGGTCCCTGCCATACGCTCCCCGATTATGGCGCGGAGAGCAGCCTGCCATAGCTCTGGCTCGAATTCTTGTATGAAATTTCTCGAAAACTTCTTGAAATACCTGATGGAGCGTGACTGAACAGAAACTGGCGAATGACAATAGGGCTGCTCTGAGTGGAAGGGCTGGAGATCGATTCTCGTAGCGCATAAGATCCTTTAGATATCAGTTCTAGCTCTATGTGAGCGACCGGCATAAGATAAGAAGGGGGCGCAATGAATTGACGCAGCCACAGAAAAGGAATGATGCTGTTCCTTGCAAGAAAATATGCTGATTGTGTTTAATGCAATTCTATAATTGCGAAAAAGTCCATTTTTTCGTCCTGCGAACGCTAGTGGTGAAACTTTGTTAAAACGTTGAAATTAGAAGTTTTTGATTTCATTGACATTGCGTACTACAATTTGCAACAAAAAGTACGTAGTAAGCAAGATGGATATTTGACTAACCTGAGGGCTTCAATTTGATAACCTTTGCTTTCTTCACCCTGTGTCATATCCATCCGCGTCAATCACGAAAAACCACGACAAACTTTTACATTTCAAGTTATGGGAGCAACTCTAAGTACCAACCCACCTCGACGCGACGGTAATATGCCAATTTCAGTATTTACTCGTTAAGCTCAACTAACCCTTCTTTTTCTATAGTACGTCACGAAGACACCGATGAAGCCGTTCGAAACAAAATCACTCCGTTAATCAACGACGCATCAAGAGCCTTCATCTCGTTACGGAAGTCTGCTGAATCAACCAGTAATGGGATCAAATCGTACTGTTATGATTTACAACAAGTGGCATCATCTGCTGAGGTTGCAAACACGTTGTTATCAAGTCAGGGTGAAACGAGTTTGTCTGAAATACCTCCCATACCAAATATTCACGAAACTGATGTAAAGTACACGTCGAGGCATGAAGAGACCGCTAGTAATGTCACTCGAACGGAAACGAACGACAAAAATCAGGCTGAACAAATACCATCGACAAACCCTTTACAAGCACTTTCACAAAACCAAGACGATGACAGTGACGGCCTAGACGATTTAGAAATTGATGAAACGCGCCTCTTCCCTCCAACAACACAACCTATCAATCAAACTGTAACATACAACGCCGAAACAAGAACATGGGATAACACCAGCAAGTCAAACGAAATGGATGACGATTTATGGGGTATAGATGATGTGTCTCCAACATCACGGCTTTCCAAAGATTCGGCAATTGATGTGCTTTGCGCTGGATTTGATATTGATGTGCTTCAAGTTGTGTTTAATGGACATGAGATACGGCATAATGCGTTTGCTGAAGGGAGAATATTGAATGATCGAGAATGGAGAGCTGGGAATGGGTGTACGAGGAAGGAGTTGTTGGAGGTAAAAGTGATGTGTCTGAATTTGTTGAATTCTTCGTACTCATACTTTCATTTTGGGTTAGATTGCTGCGTCACGGATACCGAGTAATCGTCCTGTGCAAACCATCGGCATAGACTGACCCGTGTAAACGGTGTCACATCCCAATATAAGGAACCTTTTTAAAGAAAATGATTTCATGTTCATGCTCTATATTTGTCCGCTAAAGTACAACGATTACAACGGTCGAGAAAGAATGAAAATCGCCCATAGCTGAAAATCATTTGATATTCAAGCATGGTTCATAACCATCAAAAGGTGCGGGTAAATCACCATGCACAACCAAACCCCGTGGACAGACAAAGCTAGATTCCCAAGAGACAGTGGGTGTGAAGTTGGGACTAGTATAGTAGATACATTGTTAAGTAGCTGCAGATGTTGCAATACCAGCAGAGCTGACAGCAACAGGCAAAGCGACGGCGTTGTTGACTGTTCTGACGTTTCTGCAAGGACTGCAGTTTCCACCAACTTCGGTTGGATTTGGACCATATACGGTAATTCCGTCGCATTGAAGTTGGTCTGGCCTGTTGTAAGAAGTGGCATTGTTATCAAGACGGTGTTTAGATTGTTGGTGTCGCAAAAAAGCAACAATATTCGAAAGCAACATGTTGAGGACGACGACATGCATTACCAGTTGACTGAGAATTTAGTGTTGGATGCATAATATGCACATCGTGGGACCATATATCCAGATCCCCCTCGGTACACGGCTTCTAAGGCATTGTCACCATCCTTCCAGCAGTAGGACAGACAATCAATGGGACTCCAGGATGACCAGGGCATGATCCGTTTGCTAGAGAGGACGAGTTCGGTTGACTCGTCGTGCGGATATGAGAGTTTGGCTCTTGCTTACCTGAAGCAACAGAAACCAATAGCAAGACGACAAAGATACTCATTTTTCGTGTGTTGCGGTTGTAAGAGGATTTTAGGTTTTCAATTCAGTTGGAGGTGAGAGTGGTGTCGTCCAATAATCTCGAGGCTGCCGTTCGATTGCTTGAAGAAACAGCTGATTGACAGGCGTCACAGCGAGGCGTTACATAAGAAACCAAAATTGCCATGTCATCAGCAATTCAAGCTCCATACACCTCCGTATCTCGTATCAAACACGTGCACAAAGTGTTGATTTTACAGCAGTGCAATCCACGCGGTCCAAATCGAGGCAGAACGACTTTTGGTACCCTGGTGCATGTTTCAGAGACCCCACTGGTCCAACAGTAGATAGAGGGGACGTTTAGAATGTGTATATTCCTTCATGTGGCCAATACCAACGGCATTCTGTAACTTTGTAGCTCGGAGCCCCAATACGCATTCTACCCATTCTATCTAGAGCCCAAATACGCATTGTGAGAAGACAGCGAAAGTCTCGACAAGCGACCATTGGAGGACGTCCACAAATATGTATGAGTTGGATTAACTGGAAGGTTGATACAGTATCACAAACAACTATGAAGAATGGATGGAGGCCATTGCGGTAGATTGTTGCTATTTTTTGACTTTTAGAATGCGTAATGAAACTATGGAGAACTTGATACTCGAAGTGTTGATTCAGTCTCGACACGTACTCCAGCGGTACGAAGAGTAAGAAACAGTGAGCTGCCAACACTGTTTTGGAAGACTTCGACACTTGGCGTATAGTCCAACGATTTGGAGGCGACCACTTGATCCTCTGCAAAAAGTATCTGCAATACTTCGAAACTTGTTGACTTGTACTGTAGTCAGGCCGTTGTCTCGTCCAGCGCCAAAATCGATCAGACAGAAATTCACCGCGACCTTGTAGCTTCCGTTGGCCCACGTTCGTGTACTGATAAGAGTTTTAGCATCAACTAGTTCACAAAGTAACGATGAGGTAGTTCAATGCGTCCCCAACGCGTGATCTCTTCTCGGTCTTGAACTTTGATCAGCAACTGGAATGTTCATAGAAAACATAGCAAATCAGCATCGATCGGTAGCAGAGAAGAAAGCCATGGCTGCCGACGCTCCAAGACCATCAGTGTACTTAATCCAAGACAGAGCTTTCATATGGGATGCACAATGTAAGCTCATTTTGCGGTTTTTTCTTTCTTTGAAGCAAAATCAATCACGTTTAAGCTCACTGCACCTTACTTTCTTAGCTGCCATCATACTGCGCCGTGACTATCGAATAGTAGGAGCACTAGTTGGCACACTGCCTAGAATGCCTTCGCAGAATTGGTTTATGGGATTGCCGATTGAATTGTCAATTGAGGAGGTCTCGCTTCTCGTTAAACGAGGTAATGTGAAGTGAAAATTTATCACGCGAATATCGTTATATATTCTTTATTTCGTTACTGACACGTTTACTTTGAACCTGAAGATGTTATTGATTTGGTTGATGATGCATCTTGTTTACGAGAACCGACAGAAGAAGACATGGCGGTATTAGAGGCACAATATCAGGCTGAATACCAAGTATATGCCGCCCAACGAGCTAAAGTTAATGAGTTACGGGCTATACAGGGTCGTCAGATGGCTGCTAGTAGAGCTCGGACTAAATCCTCAGAGGAGGCATCAAAAGCCACTACTACTATACCGTTTGACGCCGAGGATGCCGATAACGGGAATTTTTTTGCTCCTGTAAAGACAATCAATACGACACCATCACAATCGGATGCAATAGAAGGCCCCGAACAGCAGCAAAACGCAGCACCCACAACACCCACATCACCCTCAAGTAAAAAACCCTCCATCACACTCCCACCACACCCAATATCCACATTCACATCCTCAATCCGTCTCCCATGGTTCAAACCAACACCACTCAACAAAGCAGACATACCAGCACGATACACAACACCAACAGTCACATCCAAAATATTCGAGGATTTGTGGAATCGAGGATATTTTATGTCGGCTGGGTCCAAGTTTGGTGGGAAGTGGTGTGCATATCCGGGTGATCCGATGCGGTATCATAGTAATTATGTGCTGAATTTGTTGGATGATGTTGGGTCGGATATGAAGGAGTTGGTTGCGGGTGGGCGTTTAGGTGGTGCGGTTAAGAAACAGTATGTGGTGTGCTCGTGGGATGCTGTGAACGATGAGCCGGTGTACTTTTGTGTGGAATGGACCGGTTGGATTTGACTCATTACAAAGTCCAGAAGGTGATGGAGAACAAAGTCACAAATGTAGGATAGCAATGAAGACAGCTCGCAGTTGACAGATAGTAATATAAACATATACATAATTTACAAAGCAACAAACAGTCTTCAAGTTTTTTATGCAAGTTTATATATTCGTGTGATGACTAGTATACAAAGAGAACCACAATCGCAGTCTGTCCAAAACGGTTATGTGCTCATGCGAGTTTCAGATCATCAGGCAACCTAGGCAGCAATTGATGGAATACCACTGATGATGTCGCTACGTTTGGACTGCCAATTAAAATCTATGCAAAAAACGATTTCTTCAGAGGAAGGTCTTTACAAACCCAAGCAACCCCCATTCTGACAAACCTCCACATCACGTTCACGACCAAGCTCTCGTAATTCACGAGCCTCAGAAAACGTCATTCCTCCAGAAACGAACACAAAGATCTTCTTGTACTGAGAAGGATGTGGACGACCGCCTCCCACAAGCCTCCTAAATGTTTAAAATGATGAGAACGCAAAAAAGAGTACAATTGTCGTTGAAGCATGATTCATACCTGAATCCAGAAAACACGTTTCCCAAGGTACCACCGTATGGAATATGCGGCAAATCTTCAACCTCACTAACTGCACTTGCTCTACTGCTTCCCTCACTGCCGAACGGATCTGCTGCAGCACCTCCAACACCAGGCAGCACATCCATCACAACCTGTTTCAGCAACGAAACATACGGTATTGGACTCTTACTCTTCAGCACATGTCGATAGGACGGTGTATGCAGATTCGATCTGGCAGATGCCATGGTCCGTAACGTTCTAAAAGCATTCGTGACCCATGTTTCGATATCCATTCGGACAAGTCTTGCATCGTCGTCATCTGCAGCAGTTGCACTTGCTGGTATTAGTGCTTTGATGAATGTGCTAATCAACACGAGCTCTTCGTCTTCTGGGATATCTATAGTAGAGCCCAGTAATGCGTATATGTATGTGGTGAGACATAGGACGTCTCGGATGGTGAATACGGAAGGACGTCCAGGTGTAGGTATGAGCTCGATTAGCTGGTGGAAGGTCGATACGGCATCACCGGTTTCTGATAGTGAGAGGGCGATCGTCTTTTCTATTGATACCAGCTCGTCCCATTTGGAGTTTGCACTATGAAACATTTATTGGTATTCGTGACGTGTTTGCTATTGCAAATGGTGTATACACACCATTCTTGGAATGATTCCACAGCAGCAGACAGAATTTGTAATAAGTTTCCGTATCGATAGAACGCTCGTTCGTTGCCTACAAAAGAGGACAACAGCTTCTGTAGTTGTGTAAGGGTAACTTTCCCCAAAATCTAATTCGTGACAATAAGCAATAAGCAAAAACGAAAACAACATTCAAATATGAAGATGGAGGTATCACCTTCGGTAGTTTCACATCTGGCACTACTTTACCAATCAAATCTACCAGTCTCTTCCTAACGACGGAAAGCGAGTCAGGGCGCAAAAAAGTGGGTCAGTACGAATTTGTATGGTAAATACCTCACAGCTACAAGTCCATCTCTCTGCCCCACCATAACTAGCGCTGATATCAGAGCCACCGAATCTGGATCCATTCCATGTGCTATACTAGCACGACCTAGACTATTAGCTCCATCACCACACAATGCTTCTGGATTTATCGATAAATCCACTGATCCAGAAGTCACTCGTGGCAACAACGAATATGCTTGATCCAGTATATTATCAGAGTGCATTGTTGGAGAAACCAAATCAAGAGTCTGTTGCAATTGGAGTCAGCAATGATTATAGTGGATAAGTGGCTGTTTTGGCATTCGGTAAGAAGGTAACACTTACTCGATCAAACAGAATCACAGCAATTCCATTACCAGAGTCTCTTCTTGGTGATGCAGCTGAACGTGAGACAATAAAACGACCAAGCTGTCGAGATGTTTCACCTATCATCAGTGTTCAGCAAGTGCAAAAATAAAGCTGAGCAATCACGTTACTACACTACCAATAGCGAATATCTCATCGCGTAGGTGCGATACATCAAGAAAGGTCATGAGTGAAGTTCCAAGCTGCTGTATGTCTGCCTAGTTCCGTGTAGGAATGTTAATTCAATTCTTGGGTTGAGAGTGCTTGAGTCACGAAAAAAGATGTACCTGGAAGCCTGGTTGATTCTCAGCACGCGTTGAGGTAGAAGGTAGAGCAGGAAACAGTAAGCTCGAACCAGGAAACAGCACTACATAGTCCGACAGCAACGACCACGTTAGCGGCAAATGTTCGATAGACACCATATAATCTCCAGCAAAATTCGGATCGTGTCTACAATAACAGAAAGCCATTTAGGTAAAGCTCAAAGACTTCGTTCAGGGAAACACTGCATCAAATACCACTCGAGTCGATAGATTTACCTTGCAGCGCTTTCAGACATCCAGTCAGCAAGAACACTCTCTACATGTGACCACCAACGTGACGATAATCCACCAGGCTGAGTAGTAGACGCTCCTCCAAATGGTCCAATACTCAAGGACGGGTCAGTTGCAAGTTCTTGTAAGTGAGCATCTTCAGATAGCGTAACAAACAATTTCACGTCCGTGAATCGATGTGAAAGGATGAATTCCTTGATTTCGACGTGACATTTAGCAACATGCTGAGATGTTATAATGACCACTCTTGATGGTAATGACGACCTAAAGTGTTGATGTGTGGATTTTAGTGATTAGATAATGAAGAAAACACGGTCCGAATTAATTAAAGTAGCTAAAATCTAGACTAATGATTGCTTGCCTAAGGTTGGAATCACGTTTTTCATTCAAATCTCTAATGCACATTGCTCCAGATTCGAAAATCGAAGTTATTCCTCCAGGAAGACTCCATTTGAGACATTGAAGAGAAGGCTGGTCCACTAGTAATACAGATCCTGGTAATGAAAGCCTAAGTAAGTCCCATGCTCTTTGACTAGCTTCTCTGAAATTCATTCTTGCGACAACACTTTTGTTTTTGGACAATGAACACTCCATTAAACAGGCTTTAATTGTAGACCAATTTATTAGAATCTCTTATGATAACCGCTACATTACGTCGAAAATCAAACGTCATCAATCGCTGAACTTTGGTCGAGATCTGGGCATCATTTTCGCATTGACCAAACACCCATGGGAGGCTTTTCTCAATTCATTCCTGCCCATTTTCCTTTTGAAATGCCTATGATCAGGAGGTCATGTGGCATCTTGAAAGATTCGCTGAGCAAAGTGTGCAAGGTGTTTGCACACTGCCACCTCTAGTTTGTTCACGAAAGTTGTTTTATTGTATCAAGTCAATCAACCATTTCAACTACCAAGGATCATCAAAAATGCCTAAATTGTATACCCTTTTCGTGATAATATGGCTAGCCAAAGTCGTTTCAGCATCTAGTGAGTGTGGTTATTCTTGACAAAACTTGTCTTTGTTACTCAGAACTCATCCAGCTCCCTCCCCCTTATTTCGTTAAGCTCTGCAATCACTTGCAGATTCAATTTCATTACTTGCCACATACAGCATGGTCATCGACCCTGCAACGAAACAAGAGGTTCCACAGGCTGATAGCTTGTACCATGTAGTGCTAAAGCCGGGTCAATCAGCCCCAGTTGCCTATGAGAACTTTCTACGTGAACAGCATATTCAATCCGCTTGGGTGGTTCTCAAAACCCTTCATGGTAGAACCCAGATGGCGCAGTGGACGCAAATCAGGCTCAACGAACGCACCAATGTGTATGAAACCACACCAGCCTTGCTCTACATTGATAAAGACACTGTACGATACTATCCAGACATTCCGCTGGAAGAATCAACTCAAGTCATACAAGAACGTCCCTTTGTTCGCTTTCCAGTGACTAGCTTTTTATCCAAGCCTTTGAACTCTGATCATGTAAGTTTTGCATTAACTTTCTGCTATACGGAGTGATTCAACACTCTTACTCATTTCAAACAAAACTTCAATAGAAATTCTCGGTCGAGATCTTTGACAACCTTGTGCCATTTTCTTCGTCTGACGACTTCAACCCAATGACTGCCGACATTAAGACCGTAGCCAGTTATTCAAACTCTGAAACCTCCGGTAGTGAGCCTGGAACTCCAGCAAACGGTGGCTCAGATCGACTGTTTAGTCGCGTTGTTGGCTTGTCTAGTGAATTTATGAGTACCGGTCGTACTGGTCGGGTAACATCAGGATCGTTTCCTCCACGTTTCGACGAGTGGGATGACTTTGAACCAGTGCTACAACCGGTAAACAAAAGAATACCGCTTCGTTTTACTTTGGCACCCAATTCTCTCTAACACTGCCGCTTGAATTTAGGAGAGTCCATTCGGATCTACTCGATATGATTTCACACAGTATTCAGCTGTTGCCGATAGTACGAGAACTCAAGTTTTTGAAGGAGTCATCTCATCTACACCAGTCTGGGTAAGTTGCACATATCAGGGCAAAACTTATTTATTTTGACGCACGTCATTTTCTGATTATTGACCACATCAAACGTTTCTGAAAAATTAGGATCTCTCACGGTCAAACACTTTAGGTAGACTGGGTGAAGGACTTGGTCGATTCACAGAGGTAAATGCTGCTTCAGGCCTATCGACGCGCAGAGGGAATAACCACACTGCCTCTTGAGCTATTTAAAATGAAGTTTTCCTTTTTCAACTTTGATGACATTCTAACATTTCCCACCTTGCTTTTGGGAATAGAACGAGTTCCTGCCAGGACTCCATGATGGCGCTCACACACCGGACTCCTACAGTGATTTCTCCTACAGTCCTTTTGACTCACCTGTCTTTCGACGTGTAACTCCAATGGTTGATTCTTTTCTGAGTACTGGTCAGGTATCACATTCAGAGACTTCTGGTACTTGGGAAGACCATCTATATTCTGGCCCATGGGACTCCGTAGTACATGCTGTGAGTTGTCTCATGTGGAGTTGCAATTCTTCCCTTCTCGTGGTGGCCCTTAATTGCATATTGACCTTCCGAATGTTTTTCGCCAGACGCCCCAGTTCGAACCTTCTCATCATAACCGATTCCTCCATGATACTGCTGCTTATACCCTTACTGGTATTCAAAACCAGGTGTTTGAAAAAGTCATTCGACCAGAAGGAGCACCTCAATGGGTAAGTTGTTAGTTGGGAAAGGGGAGTCAGGTTGGTGAATTCCTGTCCTGAATTTGGTATTTCTTGTAGGATGTAACACCCTCTGGTGCCAATTCACCAGCTTTAGAATTCAGTCCCGCTGAAGAACAAATTCTCTTAGAGCGTTTGGAACGCGCACACCAGGTGTTTCAAGACTTGGCAGATGGATATGCGAAAAAGGGCATCGAGCTGCCTCTTAAGGTATTCATTACTTTCATTTGAAAAGTGTCTAAAGACGTCGTCTCATCTTTTTTGCATTTAGAGTCGCCATTTCTTGGAAGGAATTGATCAAGAACTTAAATACTATCCAAGGGTGCACGATACGCCTCCTCCCGTCACTGAGAAGAAACCTCCTCCAGTCATTACGAGCAAGCGTGTGGCTCCCCCTCCTCCAGTCTTTGCGACAAGGATTGTTGATCCACCAAGGATTGAGAAGGATCACGCAGTTGATCCACATCAAGTGAGTTAACTTGCCTTTTGTTCAGTACGTGCAAGCTCTTCTTTGCTATGGGTTCATTCTCACACACGATATATTTCATTCATTAGACTGAGCTCAAGGAGTTGGTCCCAGTATCCCCAGTTGAAACCCCTTTGATCAGCGTAAAGAAACTCTACGCTACGTCTTTCATCTTGATGGCCATTGGAACTGGCATCTCACTATCAGGAGTGGGTGCTCCTATTGGTGGTGCCTTCGTCATTGCGGGTTTGGCTGTTGGATCGTTGGGTTTTGCCACTCATGTGCTGTCGGTGAGTCTTAGAATGGGCTATTGGAACAAATGTCATCCTTGTATCATTGTAATTAATTCATCTAATTCACTTTCGCTATTGTCTTAGGCTGTCATGAAAAGCATTCGTAAAGACCAAGCAAAATCAGCTTGGATTAAAGCAAACCGAGCTTCGCATCCACCAAATTCAATTTCATATGGTCACGAATATGCCGCATACGGAAATTCTTCACCTATCAACCGTCAGCCGTTAAAGTCTGGCTCGGGAAGAGGATCACCAAGAAATCGTACTCCTGTAAGACCTCATCCCAATACTCACTAATGGAAAACCTTGAAAACAGGGCTTAGGAGCATTCTGTGTGTTTTCTTTATACCCTCAATTGAATATTTAATAAATAAGATTCTTTGACAAAACTCGTGTCCAGTGTATTTCTACCATTCGTTTCACAAAGATCCAAAGAGACCATTGCTATGTGCGCTGTTATGGTACTAAATGCATTCGCGTGGACTTGTTTTGAAGAATTTCAAAAGTATCGTTTGGAACCCGCTTTCACTTGTCTCAAAGTCGATTCATATTCCAGCACACTACACAACTTTGAACCGTTGGGGGATTAGCCGAATTGATGTCCCAACCATATTGTGCAAGTGTACATGTTGTTGCACACACACCAATCACTGTTGTCCAGAAAAGTTGTTCACTGTCTCAAAGCAGAGCAACAACCATCCCAGTCACCAAAGATGTCGAAAGTGTATACAATATTTCTGATATTATGGCTCGCAAACAGTGTGGCTGCTGTCCGTAAGTGGTTTTACTACTCTTGCTTCTCTTTTCTCTTGTTGCTGCTTTTCCTTTCACTTCCATAATCTGAAACTGATATTGATCCTATCATCTTGTAGCCTTCCAATTCATTGCGAACCAAGTCTCACTATTCGCAATATACCACATCGCCAAAGACCCTGCAACAAAACAAGAGATTCCCATGGCTTCCCAGTTGAATTTTGTAGTCCCCACCCTGTCACAAACACGATCTGAAGCCTACGAGGCTTTCTTACGTGCACGCAACATCAAGTCAATCTTGGTATCTCTCGGTACTGACGTGTCCAAATGGCAAGAAATCCGACTGAATGAAGTAACAAATTCGTATGAGACTACGGATATGATGGTCACTGTGAATCATGATACTGCTTCTTACTATCCAGCCACGCCAGAGGGCTTGCCACAAGGTCACGGAGGTCGTCGTCCTGCTTTAACTTACCCTGTTGTATCATTCCTTTCCAACCCTCTGAACTCGAACCATGTGTGTTTTCTTCTGACGGTTCACGCGCAAAGTCTGAAACGAAACCAATCACTGACTTTTATCCTTCCGCATAGAAATACTCGACAATGGTTTCTGGCAGAGAAGCAAGATTTGTAATTTGGCCTGCCAGTGCGAAAGAGTCATTCAATCCAAAGACTGCTGGTATCCACGTATTTGACACCACCGCACGTTATCCAAACTCGGAAAGCTCGGACAGTGATACGGACATGCCAGAGAAGAAACGTAAAGTAGGATTGTTTAGAAGTGTAGCTCGTAGTATAAACACCTTTTTGCGTACTGCTCGTACTGGACGTGTACCACCACCTGCTCCTCCTTTACCTCTCAGTCCTGCTTCTACTGTGGAGGAGGTTGAGTTACAGCCAGTGACACAGCAGGTATCCAAAGGATAAAACTCGTTGACTTTTCGCAATGGACTATTTCTAAATTTTCCTCGTTGAATCTTGCCATTCTAGGAGAATCCATTCACTGTATTAGAACCTACAATAGAGGAATTGACTCCTCGTGCTGTTGTTAACGGTAGAAAGACCCAAGTTATTGACACGGTCCTCTCCCGTCCCATCTGGGTATGTTTCTTCAACCAACTTTGAGACTCATTTTGATCACATTCTGACTGCTTTAATATATAGGATGTAACACCTCCCGGTTCCAAAACTCCAGGCAGCAAAGGCCAAGAATACTTTAGTACCCTTGAGCGGTTGATATTGGTGAACGACGCTTTGGAAGCCTGGAAAGCTGAGAATCTCATGCGTGGAATATCTACACCCCCTCTTGAGGTAAGTTGAATGAAGATTTCTGTTTGACTTTTGGGAGACGTACCCTGATTCTTTTGCATTTTGGGTTTCCTTGAATAGAATAAAGCTCTGTTAGCAGGACTCAACGATGGCTCTGGTACACCACCAGCCTATGAGAAAAACAGGCGTGTTGGTCCATCTGGGGCTGATACACCGTATACAGATGCACCTAAAGTATGTTAGCTTGCATTGAGATAGCGTCTCGCGGGGGCTTTTTGGCTCAATTCTTAACCCACACTTTGCTTTGAATTCTCTTAGACTGGAATCAAAGGTCTAGCTCCAGTGTTCCCTGCCGAGAAACCTCTGATCAGTGTCAAGAGCCTCTACGCCACTACTTTCATTTTGTTCGCCATTGGAACTGGCATCTCACTGTCGGGAGTGGGGGCTCCTATTGGTGGTGCCTTCATTCTAGCTGGATTGGCTATTGGAGCTTGGACTCTTGCAATACATGTGTTGTCGGTGAGTTCAAAGACTAGTAGTGTTTGTTACGGACTATTTATTGAACGTCTTTGCTTCGTGAACAATAGGCCGTCAAGAAAAATATTCTCAAAGGCCAAGAAAAATCAACCTGGATTAAAGCTTATAGAGCTTCTCAACCACCTAACTCTTTTTAAATGGCAATCAATATGCTGCGTATCGAGATTCTCGACGCGTCAAGCCTCAGCCGATGAATTCTGGCCCTGGTCGAGGATCACCAAGACTTCGTTTTCCTGCAAAGCCTGATACTGGTGCTAGTGGAATGCCTTGAAAGCAAGGGTTACAGAAATTGCTTTGTGTTAGATGTTTAACCCAAATCACATTGAAATATACCGTCTATTATTGAAACTCTGTGTGTGATAATGCTGAGAATATCGTCTTGACGAGTTGGTAGACTCCCTATAGAAGGAACAGCATGGAGACAGAGCACTCACGCAGCATGGTTGGTGATTTATGGATCATATACAATTTGTTTTTGTCAGATTATTTTGGACTGCTAGGTCACATCCAAAAAATTGGTTTGTATTGACCATGCATGCCATTCCAACTTTCGATTTAGTGCATTGTCTCCATCAATGCAGTATTCATCCCAAGTGTGCAAAATGGAAATTGCGGTGTGCCAGATATTGGTGGATCGTTATCCGTTCCCAAAAGTGATGAAAGGTGTACGCACAGACACCAACTCTTTCAACATTCCTAATTTGGCTCAAGTCTCTATCAGCAAACAAGGCTCTTATTCAGCATATGATACCCCTACTGTTCCTAGCTAAGCTCGGTCTCCATGCTGTTCCCTCTATAGGGAGCCATGCATTCAGCTCAGTTGTGCATGTAAGCGACAATCGAACAAGTATGGTATAACAGCAAATTGACCTCATCTCTAACTCTTTCCTTCCCTCTTTGTTAGGCTCCATCGTTCGTCGTAAATCAAGTAGCAGAAGATTTGGCACGACGAGCAGCCGTCGCTGTATTGAGAAACCAAGTCATTGAAAAAGTTGTGCACAAAGCTCTCCCAGAAAAGTACAGCCAAAATCCTAATGTTTTGAACACGTTAACTATGGTGAATGACGCTTTGGAAGGGTGGGCATCCAAGAATCATGGGAAAGAAATCGCTACACCTCCTGTTGAGGTATGGACATTAAAGCTTGCTGTTTAGTTATCAATCCAGCCTTCGATACAACGCTTTTTTAATGTGTCGATAGAAGCGCACTGAAGGTTTAGGACAACCTAAAAAGGACTCTCATACTCTTCCAGTCTATGATAAAAATGCTGACCCACCTCAAGTATGTATCCTCTTGTCCCGTCGAAACGCTCTCAGGGCCCTTTCATGCTCGATTCTCAACACTCACCATTCAATACTCCTCGTAGACCACAATCACGGACTTGATTGCAACAGATCCTGGTAGTACACAGCCCGCGGTGTACAATGCCCGTTTCATGACTCGTCAAGTCAATTTTCTAGGGTCTATCGCTTTCTCTATTGGAGTTGGAGCTGGAATTGCTCTGCTTGTGGGAGGATTCACTCCTGCCGGTGTTGGATTAGTCGCTGCAGGTCTGTTCATTGGGTTATCGGTACTCACATGGAATGCTGTGTTGGTGAGATCTTGAAATAAGGTGCCATTTGAGCTTTTCAAGTTTTTATCGATCTGTTTTCGACTTTTTTTCACTAGTATGCTCGCACGATTCGGCAAGGCCGAGACCAATTTGCTTTAATCAAAGCCAGTATGATGCCTGAACTACCTGGATCTTCTTCATCTGGCCACTATGATGCACATAAAAACAATCTACGTCTTGCGGTCGAGCCTGAACTCATATCATCTGGCTATGGGCGAGGGTCAACTAGAGTTCGTACTGCTATTAAGACTCAGCGTGTTCCTGGCGGTAAAGGGTTTCGTTGAAACCCCAACGAAGTAACAAGAATGCACGCCGTTTCTTGAGAAAGGTTTCAAACCAACCCTTATACATTATGAATATATCGGTTTGCTCTCTTCATAAGGAAAGTCTGCGTGTGGTGCTATTTCGACATGCAGAACAAAGTTCATCAAGAAACCTCAAGGTGTGCGGTTGGTGATGTACGTCTTCTGCGGTACATACCGCTTTCTGTCTACAAGTTTCCGGAATGCATCACGATGTCACAAATCAGGCTGCAGAAAACTTGGCTTGAAGAGTTGTTTGATCTACCTGTGGGCGTCGCGCCTGAACCGATACACCCGGGCTATGGTCGAGCATCGCCAAGGATCGTACTCGTCGAACGAATCTGGGCGTGCGTAGAAAATAGACGTCGTGCGTACATGACAGTGCATGCATGACAGTGTATCGGCTTTTCTGCGTTCATTTTCAAACATGGGATAATCGCATAACAAATGCAGATGTGGACTGATTTACTTTTACTAAGTGTGTGGTATATTTGCTACATCAATTTACAAACTTAGAATATAAGCGAAGCTATATGAATATATGCAAAGCGCCCATCCTATAAAGCAAATACTAGTCCTCCTGCATAAGCAACAATCACGCCCCATCATCAGATATACAGCACGTACACACACTCCCCTCTCATACCACCCATTTGCAACACACGTTGCCACGTTGCCACCTCCAATCAACAACTCATAGCTCTACACCTGGCTCATCATCCGCCCACGCAAACCGCGACTTTCTCACATCCTTAACAATAGGCCCCACAAGAACCCCCGACTGAATCAACTCATCCCAGCAGCTTTGCGCAATACGTACAAGACCATCATTCTTCCTAGGAGACCATCCAGCGACAACACCCAACGCAACCGATAATCGACTACGCAAGTTGAAGAGCCCAGTAAAATTGACTTCAGCGGTCGGATGAGATTGACAAATAGCACCCAGTATGATTATAGCGAGACAGTATGCGTCAGCTGCGTATTCGGCATGTTGAGGTGCAGTCAACAGGTATGTATAGAATTGGGATACGATGAGATGAAGGGTTGATAGGACATCCTTGTTGTTTTTGGATGATTCGATGATATCGAGTACATGTTTGTACTCGAAGGCGTGGTTGGTGATACCGAGTAATTCGAGTAGCAGGACACGAGCGTATTGGTATACAGAGTCGTATTGATATTTGCCCCTTTTAAGTCGATGCGGAAATTTTTCGAGTGCGTCCTTATCTTGTTCAGTCAGTGGTGTATTGTGTGTCTCAATCAAGATCGAGAGACATTGACGTAGCAGTTGGACTTCGTTGGCTTGGTAGTGGATTGTTGGGATGTGGAACCAGAGCTTATGGTCAAAGTAGATAGCATCTTTGAGTAGCTTCTTGGCTCGAGTGTAGTCACCCAACTCAATCAAGAAGAGAGCGCGCCAGAAATCGAATGAGCCATAGCGAGATGAGAGGACTTTCAGTTTGTCACTAACAATGATTCGAACGAAAATCGATATTTGTTGCTAGCAGCAGGCCAAAAAACCGCTTCAAAGCATGCAATTATAGCTCACCACTCATCCAGACCTTTAACAGCAAGCTTGAGACGTTCAGTGCGAGTAAGCACTAGACCATTCTCATCATACATTGGCCACATCATAGCCTTGACCAGTGCAAGATGGAATTTGAAGGTGACGAGACGGTCTTCATGAGCTGTGGCTTCATCCGTAGTTTCAGATCCAGCTTCTTCCTATGAACGAAATAGATGGTTAATGAATCCATTTCTTGTTGAGATACCCAGGAATCCACGATGCAAAAATTGGTAAAAACCACAATAATATGTACGAGCGACCACTCACTTTACTTCTCCTAGCCCTATACTTCTCAACCCTCTTCTTCTTCTCACGCACTCGACCACGGTCACGAGGCTCCATCTCATCATTCACTTCAAACTCTGCTCCCATATCATGATCTTCCATATCATCGAGATATTCAGCCATACTGCATGGGAAGCGTGATGTAGCTTTCCGGTTTTCGTTCAAGACTGGTGTGAATTCGTTGATTGTTGATGTGGATGTACTAGCTAGAGCACGAATCATGGTTGCAGTCAAATCAGATGCTGCTTCACCGGTAGTGACGAGGTCTTGTTGGGCGAGTAGCATTGATGGGAGGCGATGTTGGTGGTCTTTGAGAATTGGGTTGTGTGGGTTGTAGACCCGCATAGACTAAACAAGGAGGAGATGAATGTGTAAGATATGATGTGATGACAGCATTGAGAATAAACATCAGAATGGTTCTTTTGCTCATACCTTTGTCAAAGCATCACCAAATATTTGAACACAAAAAGCATTATCATCAGCCAAAAGATTGAGTCCTTCCTTCCACAAGTGCTTGGCGACTTCAAATCGTTCAGCCTAAGGTGAAAACGCAGAGAAAAGTCAATAACTAAAAAAAGTGGCCTGATATTTTTGACAGCCGTTGTTTAGAGTTTAAAGCAAAAGACGACGAATTTACCTCTTCATGATCATCAATATGCACACGATAGAATGACGAGACATCGTATGCTCGGTCTTCATTCTCTACGAGGCCAAATTTGAGATGTTGTGCACCAAATGTAGGAGAGCTTGATGTAAATACAGGACAGATTCATACCAAGAGTCAAGACGAATACATCTGATTGATTGTTCCTATGAACACTGGAAGATTCTTCTGGAGCCATCCTTGTCTCCTTTTCTCTATGGCGTATGTCTTTGCGTCAATGTGAGTTTGGTTTTGTTGGAGAGTTTGGCGGAAAGGAAAGCATTCTTTTCAAGGAGACATGTGTATGTATAGACGCGTTTGAATAGAGAATCGACGGGTTATATCACAAAGAGTCAATAACTAGCACTGTGCATCAGCCGATAACAACCAAAAGTTTCTGCGTGGGATTGAGAGCTCGCCAGTCGTTAGGTATAGGGAACGCTAGTTGCAAACAGCCAGTCAACCAGCTGAAGTCTTCAGTTTCCAGTATTTTATATTTTGGGTATGTGCTAATAATGATGTTGTTTACATGACTCAGCTGCATAAGCTTGCTATACTTTCTGCGTGATTATATACCTCGACAACGGCCAAAGATAATCATATTTGTGTGTGTGAACACTCTAGTAGCGTCCCAAGACATCGTTTCTGGTAGTTTCAGCAACAGCCAGCACTTCATTGATGAGGCTTGTTGGTACATTCAGTGACTCCATGGCTTCTTTCAAATGTCTTGCGACAGCATCAAAGTGCTCGTCTTTCAAACCTAGAGATGGTGATGATGTTTAGGAGTTGCTCATGTTGGTTCTGTGGCGGTTTTCTTTCTTTTTGCGTAAGAGCATACCCATCTTGGCGTGAGCCTCCTTCATGTTCTTGCCATTGTAAGGTTTGCCACCGAGTACGTGGTTGAAGAAGGCCTTTTGCATGCCTCTTTGCCTTTTCATGTTGGTGTTCTGTGTAGTTGAAAACAAGGACGCGAGATTGTCAGCCATGAGTAATGAGTAAAACACACATCTCAATACCAGGCCACTTGCCGTACCTTGAAGAATGGTTGTAGGAGGGGATCAGCTATGACGAGATCATAGAACTTTTCGACACTAAAAAGAAAGAACTGGAGGTTAGAATACAACTGATCAACGTTTCAGAACACGATCGTTCAAAAGTGTACAGCATGACTGAATCTACAGTCACTTACGTAGCATCTACAGCAGGCTCGCCACCAATTCGTTTGTACAATGAGTCAACTTCTGGCTTCTTTTGCTCAGCACCATGGGTATTCTTGTATGCCATGTATCCAATCACACCGACGAGGCCGACGAAACCAGCCACCATAATGGAGGTCCTTGTGTCAGCATCTATTGAGGACATCTAGATTGATCAAGAGAAGAAGGGTGGGTCAGCGAAAAATCCTTTTTCAGAATTGAAAAAAGTGGAGCAAACTTTGCGATCGCTCCTAGCAACAGTAGTAGAAATGCGGTAGATGCAGCAGACGTACCTTTCGATTTTATTGATTATTCTGTACGAGTAGTGATGAAGGCGTAAATAGCAGTGCAGGTTTTATGGAAGTAGAAAACTGGTTTTGTGTGGTGGCAAATTTTGGAACGTTGACTCATCCAAGCACGGCGGGCTGGAAAACTAGTATACTGCGCGAGTCACGGTCTAAAGAAACGAACCGGAATTATTGTTGTGGAGGTTCTCGACCATCGGAATGAGCATCATGAGACTGATAACCTCGCATCTTCCCTGGTGGACGATCAATTTACATGTAACTCACGCCTTTGTTATGTTATAACGTCTAGGCGTGTGGTGGCAATGCGACAATAAACGTTCTCCTTCGTGACCAAACACGACAGCATTCACCGCTCGAGTTGCTTGATTTTCAAACTCCTACGTTGGAAGCCCTGCCCAGTTTGATCTCTCTCTCCCAAAGTATTAGTTGTGGAAGTAATACCTCCAAGCATCCTTAAGCAATGAACTATCTGTGTATAATCGATAGGTAGCATAAATCACGTAGAAAGTCCTCTAAGACACACGAGATCACGGGTTCAAATTGATCGAGAACGTTGAAGCACTTCAAGTAACAAGTGATCTGAAAGCTCACGATCTTGCTGGTCCTACAGGTCGAATTCCACACAAAATCGTTATCTCCTGAATTGCTAAAGGAACAGATTCGAGACATTCACGTCATTGATATTCGCAGCAAGACAAATTTGACTGCTATAATCTTAAAGGAAGCCAAACGACTACGTGTTATTCGGTGTTTCTGTATTGGTACTAACCAAGATGCCAATTGTAAGATCTTTCGGGAATCCGAGTCTGAAATCAACCAACGGTCAGCACTACTACCAGCACCTCCCAAGCTCCGTCTATTTATCATACTTTCACTTATATTGCTGCTGGCTGCCTTCATCGTATTGTGTGGTGGCAGCATGCAGTCAACGTGTCTTGCTTCCTCTAATATGAGACCTGTAGAGGAGCCCTGAGAACATATGTATGGAGGGATACAATTGCCGAATCTACTATATCGGCCATAGGCAGGACTTGTCTAGCACTAGTCTGGCCTGTGACTGAACGCAGTGATTGAAAAGTATCCGCTTCTGAATACAGCGCATGAGAACTTCTCACGACTCTTTATCCTGATTGGGAAATATTGGCACTATGCTGCCCCGTTTGTCATATACTGCCACGTGGTGCCGTGGTTGGAACACTGCCAAGTGGTATACTATTGTCAAACAGACACTCTATCCTCTCATCATAGTTAGGATGAGGCATGATTTAAGCCAAGTACGGGCTAAGTGTAAGCTGAGAGCGGTTATTGTACAGAACAAAGCGGTTGCCGAAAAAGTCCCCTTCTGCAGGAGTCACTTTTCAGAAGCCAAAGGCACAATGCGATGTGCTCCCTGTATTGCAGCAATGGGCTACTTCTGAATTGGGAATTGTGCATAAAGTAATTGCACTTGTGTAGAAAGTAATTATTCGTGATGCAGATGCCTGAGAGATGCTGTCGTATAATTTATACCAGCTAGGAAGCCTTGTCGCGTCATAAAACTAATAGAACATATTGACAAAAAAGCGCGTATGTTTCTAAGCTTAGATTGTTTAGGCAATTCTGAGTTCTCGAAGTTCTAAATTAGCGAGCGGCCAATCTCTTTGCTTGCTTGTTCCAAATATCAAAACACATGCTCCGAAACTTCCAAACATCCAAACAGCTGACAGGAGTGAAGATCTCAGCGCTCCGCACGCTTGATTCTCTGTATGGTAATTAAGAGTAACCATTTCGAGCTTGTTAGTACGCTCATCTTGTCTGGTAAGTCCCCAGTAATATGTTGATTTCGCATTTTTCAAAGCTGGTCGGAAAAGCGAGTTTCCAACGGTTGAAACTGAAATTTCATGGCCGCAATCTCTTTTTAATATGGTATGCTAACATGCAATGGTCTCTTTTTATAGGATGACAATACTACGCAGTCCAATTTGGCAACACATCAAACATTGCTTCTAAAACTGACCAGAGTGGCACTCGCTGTATCTTGCCAGCGTATTTGGAAACTTCTACCGCTCTACACGATCTTATTTACAAGGCTACTGGATACTGGACAGTATGTGATCTTCCTTCTGTGCCTTTTCGTCGTGGTCTTTTAAAATGTCCCAATTTAGTTGCCTATTTATTTCCTACGAAATCACCTCGTTTAGTTCTGAATTCATCTACTGCAACAACTGCTGAAACACTTTGGGTGGAGGCATACTTTTACACACGCTCCTTGGTTACCAACTCCTTGCAAGTCAGGGCGACACGAGTCTCTCGTGGCAAGAGGAGGACTTTCAGCAGACGATCTTTGCTGCTAGTTTCGCTTCTTGCATGTCTGAGGCTAAACACGACACACCCTTGTGGCGAGAGAATTAAAACAACAGACGTTCGTCGTTGGGGTACCGGCTCTCGTAGCAATGATGAGAAACCAAGGACGCTTTACCGTCTTCGGCGACTTTGAACTAGGGGGAGAGAGCAGCCAGTGCAGCCACAAGTCATTAATTTGGCTTTTGGTTAAGGATAGTCTCCTGCACAGCGTCAGACGATCTTTGACCATGGTGTGGCGGCCAACGATCCCTAAATTGTTTTAACGGTACTGCATACAATTCAAGAGCAGCAGCTGCTGCAAGTAAGTATATATCATAGTTTATAAAAATTGTAGTAAATAGTTGCCACCCTTGTAGTCAATCGCAATAGTAGTAGCATCACAACTCAGAAGAGACTCCATATTTTCATTCGCGCTGCGTCCGTGGAAGTGCCGAGGTAACCTTGAAGTCTCAAAAGTCGATTTTTTTGAGGAAGGCGTAAGTTGCGTGGATGTTTTCTATAAAGGACCGCCCATTTCTACCCCAAATCTTCAGTATTAATCAAATCTCGGAGTGGCCTTGTGGGCGGCCACTGTTAAATTGGTGGAATCTGGTTGGTCGAATTGTCTTTTCTTCTTCCTCCTTGCACAGAAAAAATCGACCCAAACCTTCCAAACATAAATGCACCTAGCAGTCTCCTATCAGTGATTTAAGTTGTCCGAGCTTTTTCAATCTACGTAGTTAGTAGTAGTCCTCTCAAAGCATTTCAGGCCCTCCTCCTCCTTTGGGTAAGTCAAAGAGTAAACTCGCCTTTTGCAATAATATGTAAATGTTGACTCGAAAAAGCGAGTTTCCAACCGCTTAATGTGATATATTCTGAAATGAAATCGTTCTTATAATATTGAAAAGTATATTTTAGCTCTCCAAACGTTACGTCTCGAATCTCAAAGATGACTTTAAACCTGCTAAACACTAACTGCCCTATGGCAATCAAACGTAAGTGAAGATTTCGAGCTCCTACCCGGAGCCACTAAGTCTTTGAGACAACGGCGAGTCTAGAGTGTTGACTTCCTTCATCCATTCTGGTAGTCCAACAATACATTGCTTCCGTTGACGCATCGGAAATCGAATACAGAAATGCAGTTGCTGCCGTTGCATGCGCAGAGGTCTTTCAAACTCTTGGAAAGGCTTCACTTATACGTGACCGATTGCATACTTGTATTGGCAAGTCCGTGAAGCCAGGAGACAAGAAGTTGTCAGCGCTGAAGGCATTTGAGGTAAAGAAAATCTTCGATCTTTGTTAGTTTCGCGTTTTTCGAAGCCGAGTAAAGCTTGGGTTGTGGATATAAGATGATGCAAGGCGTTGTTTTCAGTTGAAGCTGTATACAACTCTATGAATGCCGAAAGTCGTGTTGAGTTGAATCAACGGACGCAATGTTACATTTGAGCTTGAATACACGTCTTGAGCGCATTCTGACTCCTTCCTACCATCGAAATTAGCCATTCTCGTCAGCAGTATGGAGACAGGTAGCTACGAAAGTATCTGAATTCAAACCAGTACCATCACCTAAGTCACCTGTTGAGAAATCCCCTGTTTCTCACAAGCGAACGACGCCAGACGACTACGAACAATCGCAACCAAAGCATTCATCACTGTCTCCATTAAGTGTTGATCTATATAGTAGCAATGAAAGTCCTCCCCGAAACACAATCAACAGCCATGATGCAGCCCCTATAAAAGTACACAACAACGGATAGATGAGGCCGTCGCACGGGAGCGCTATATGTGGCTAGGAAAACTGAAGGACCAACAGGAGGATGCCTTGAAAGCCTTGGTTGCTGTCAAGATCAAACTACACGAACAGGAGCAGTTATTGCTTAAGCTACAACAGATACTCCCACCATCACCACTATTGGAACCACTTACTACATACGTGACAAATTCCGTGGATGTTTGCACACAGACGGAGCCTACACTGGATGGTGAAGAGCAGCGGCCTAGTCCTACTGCTTCTACTGCTGCTATCTATAATGCACTAATATCTACTGAAGATGAACAGTCAGCGCAACCATCATCATCATCACCAGAATCACGAATCGTAGCAGTGAAGCCCCCAAAAGTCTCTCTTTTCTCTTTTACCAAAGATTACTATAAAGACAACTACATTGAAGGCCGCAAGTTGGGAGAGGGTGGAAATGGGACAGTATACGAATGTTCTCATTTAATGGATGGTCATCTAATGGGAAATTACGCCATCAAAGAAGTTTCCATGGGTAAAGACCGTAGTTGGCTGATAAAGAGTTTGAAGGAAGTCCAGCTGTTGAATAAACTAAAGCACCCGAATATTGTGGGGTATAATCATGCTTGGATGGAGGAGAATAGGAAGACGGAGTTCAGCCCAGAGATTGCATGATATCTGAAAAAGCCAACTGCGGTACCCGGGAAGAGTTGATATGGAAAGAGCCATCAAAGGATCTATCTCCCAAAGACCGGCTGCTGCTGATTCGTTTTACCTTCCCGAGCCCAAATTTATGCCAAAATATGGGCTGTTTCTTTTGTTCGCTACTATAAACAGTTACCAACGGTTCTTTCACTTGAGTCCGCTTTCAATGATGCAAATCGCGTGACTACCATCAGAATCATGCACTGTTAAATGAGTTTTATATGTATGATGATGCTCTACTCCTCTACTATTCTACTACTCTGCTATTATTGTTTTACGAGCGACGTTGGTGCACCCCCTTGGACAAAGCTATACACGTACAAGGCGCTTTGCTATAAATCGTGTTTGGAGAAAGATGTCAGTTCTTGCATCGTTGCATCCCTCAAAAGACCACGCCCAATCATAGCTCACCTTGGTAACAGCCCACCAGCTGTTTGAATCCGTTTCAAACGCACAGAATACACTGGCTCCCGTTGATCGCTGCCTCAACGTTCTGACATATGAGCAACCAAGTTGCTTGATCTTACCAGCAGCAGACTTTTGCTGCACAGGCTGATGCACGGACCATAGCTCGAGTCCATCGCCTCGAGCCACAACAAAGTTGTGTCCTTCTATACACCACCTCACCATACCTGAAGATATAGAATGGACAAAGCACAACCCCGACTCGAACTCTTCTTGATTAAAGCTTTTTAGCTCCATTTTACCCAGTATCAGACCGCTACCACATGAAAGAATCAGCCTAGAGTGTGAGTAATCCAGGGATATTATAGGCGACGGCAGCGTTATAGAGCAGAGGACTTCCAGTGGGCGCTCTGCGTCGGTGCTATATAGGGTGATTTTGCCATCAAAGCTACCAGATATAAGGACATTGTCTGCCACTTTTAGGCTCGACACATTTGCTTCATGAAGCATTCTCAGTCTAGCGCCAGTCTTCCAGTTCCAGGCAATCAGACTTTTGTCAGGGCCTGAAGAGAAGAGAAGTTCATTCGCCAAGGCTAATGTTGTTACAGAGTTTAGATGCCCCCTCATTGTTTGTAATCGGTTGCCTTCCCAATCCCAGCACTGTATCGTTTGGTCCTACTTGTGTATTTGCGGTAAGAAGTCAAGCAGGGATTAAAGGGTGTCTTCGTATTCCGCTGCTCAAACATCACTCACGAAGCTCCCAGTTACAATCACTTCAGGCGTCCCTTCTACTACAGAGACTGAATGGCACTCCCACCACGCCAACTGCACAGGGCTGGCAAAATCCTCATAGACAATCAATGCTCTCGATCCCGTCCCAATAACGACTCGCTGTTTGCCATCCGGAAACGGCACCAATTTACTAGCAGTAACCCTCGTAGCAACACTCAAAGCCACGAATCTAGATACTTTGACTTCATATCTCTTCCATTTGTACAGCTTCTCTAACAGCGTCCGGACATCAGACCGGTAGTCTATCATGGGCAGTTTCAACGGTTGCAGGTTTCCAATATTGGCAATCCATATCGTTTTCCATGCTGATGGATCGTCGACGATAAGTTTCCACCTTGATGACACTCTTGCTATCATTCCAAGGTCTGGCGCTGGTAGGAAGGAGAGGATGTGGCAGGATATCTCTTGTGGGAGTTCAGAAAGTAGGTCTAATCCAAAAGCCCGTCTGTTCCATAAGCCTTCCTGTAGTCGACGCAGTTCTGGAGCCTACAACAGATGTAGTTGTGAATATCAGGAACGTACAAGTTCAGGGAGTGGCAACAAATTATGTCGTTCTGTTGCAAAAAAATGCGACTTGTTGATGAAGAACGACTTGCGACTTGTGTCCCATTGACTGGTTGATGTCAGCGAAAACACGTACGGAACAAAGCTCCAACAGGCCAGATAGACTATCAATGTAAAAAACTTGTAAGACAATGTCATAAACGCCAATGAACCGCTGAGATCAAGTACAAAACAACATGAACTTTGTGGTGGCGAAGTTTGATACACTCTGTCCAGAAGACACTTACAAGTCCGTACGTTCCGTAGTAGCCAGCCTAGAGAACTCACGCAACAGATCATCGGCGTCCATCTTTTGGCCGTTCCAACGCTTGCGGCAAGCTTCTTACAACGAAACAAGGAACAAGGACCAAACAGACCAGTCACGTGGTTCTATCACGGTGCTTGACGCATGTATTAAAATTCATTTATATTTCAATTACTAGATAAAATGCCATCAAATATCCCTCTTCGAAATGGACACGTTTTAATTGTTGGGTGGAGCTTCGCAAACTTCCAAAAACACCAGTTTGATACCCAAAGCTAGCGCTTGTCCAATACATTCTGTTAGGCAAAGATGAACAGATTAATACGTACTTCATTACAATCACGAGTATGTCTCCCTTCTTCTCCGTCTTATACATATATTTCTGTCTTAAATCATCAAAATCTCGCACCCATCAAACATTTCCCAGGCATTCAGCTCAACCAGACTCGCAGCAGACCTAAACAAGATCATACTCGTCGGCCGCATAGGAAGTGATCCTGAATTCCTCAAATATGGCAGTACCTCGGCTACTCCTGAATCCGAACCTGATGGTGCTCCCGTCGATACTGCTGCAGAACAACACCCAGTTGCTGGAAACGGTGATAAAGGTATATGGAAGCTCAAGGTTGTCACGAATCGAAATGTCAAGGATGGCGATACATGGAAGACTGTGCCTGATTGGCATAATGTTCGTCTTGTTGGGAGGTCTCGGGAGTCGTGGTCGCCAAAGTTGGCAAAAGGGTGCGTTTGCAGTATCGTATATCTATTATATGTTTAGAGTTCAGAGCCTTATTCTTTTACAGATACCACTTGGATCTTCATTGCTAACGTAGGTTTATTCTAGTGCTGCTGTCGTTCTTGAAGGTCGATTGGGATACTACAAGACTGATTTGGGTGGCAAGCTGCCTAATCCAATGACCTTGTGTGATATCACTGCTGGTATGTACTCGTGTGAAAACGCCCTAACGATCTGTATGCCTTACACTAACACATTCACAAGTAGACCGTATACAATGGATTTCAGATCCTAAAGCCAAAATCGTTCCTGAACATTGAATATAAACAAATTGTCATCGCGTCTCGTGTATAAAAAGAAGTCCCTTTGTTTTGAATTGGGTAAAAATACATTTCGATATAAAAGCAACAAGTTATATATAGAGGCGAGTGTTTCATAAATTGAATTCTAACAACGGTTTCGTCAAAGTGGGTTACATATCATCAGCTTGATCCTCAGCATCGAGTTCGTCCTCGTCTTCAGCATCACGCTTAGGCTGGGTACGAGCTTGAGCCATACGTTCACGGATACCAGGTTTGGCCGATTTGGCACGACTCTTGTTGTTGTTGATTGAGTCAGCTGATCCAGATATATCTCCATTGTCATCCTGCTGCATCATTTCCTGAATCTTGACGTGTCGTGATCCGACTGATCCAAAACTACTTGGTGATCCATTCGATTTCAGTACTTGGGTTGGTGCATCGTTTCCATAGTCTTCCTGGCCATTGTTGTCTTGGTATCGAGCTAGTGCGTCTTCTTCAATACCATCTGGGTGTGGTACTACAGCGGCTGGAGCAACGGTATTCTTTTTGGTCATTGCAGCAGCTCTAGCCAACGTCTCGTTCATGGATTTGATGGCTTTGGCAGGTGCATCAGGCAATTGTGGCTGCTGTTGCTGTGCTGCAGCACGACTCTTTGGCTTGGCAGATCCCATACGCACAGCGCCCACCATATTAACAACCACATTGTTACTATTCGGGTTTGTGGTCGTCGACGTCCTCTTTGACGCAACACCGAGCGATTGTCGTGACTCTGCAGATCGTTGATGGTTTTGTTTAATAACCTTCATGAATGGATTGTGGAGAGAGTATCCACCCAGTCCTACACCACCAGCACTTGACGTGGCTCGTTTCTCCTTGTTGACATTGTAGCGGACGGGAATGAATGGATCGTCGCCGGCAAGGGCGTAGCCGTGTCCGTGGACGAGTTCGTCGACTTGGCGGATGCGTTGGCCGTCGGTTCCGTAGATGCGGAGCACGTGGTCGTGAGACAGGTGCTCGAGGTGCTCCATGAGACGGCGGATAGATGGGAAGCGGGAGGGTTTTACGGCGACGGTCCAGCCCGTGTGGTAGGAGTCTCCGTTGGGGAAGAAGGTGCAGACTCGTGGTGCTTGGGTCTTGTCGCTTGATGGGCTCAAATAGAACTATTGGGTTGGATGTGGTGAGTGCGTGTGTTTGATGAAATGAGTGGAGACCGGGCGAAAAAAGATAAAATAGAATATTGAAAACATCCCTACGAGCAGCAGATTTCTGAAACTCACATTATCATTCATACTGGTAGGTGAGACCGGACTAGACATAGCACTTCCATTATACGGTCCGGAAATCTGGTACTCGACCATCTTAAGCGCATCTCGTGAACTAGCAACCAATATCTGTCCATCACGTAATCCTTGCAAGTTTTTGACTCGTTTACCAGTTTCCAGGTCATAGATTTTGCGAATTGGAGCGTGGGTTACCGGCATGACGAGAGTCACTGTGAGCAGCAACATGTCGAATGAGCGACAGTTACGTAAGTTCAGGACGTATTTTATGGCTGGGAGCTTTGAGTCTCCGTTTGCTAGTATTTGAACACGGTAGCCTTTGGACTAGTGTGATGGTATGTGTGTTAGGATTCATTGAATACAACAAAAAAAGAGTCACAGACTGATGGATAGTTCGCAAACTTACAGTCTGGGTAAAAATCGGAACTTCTTTCTCCTCCTCCTTCGCAAACTGCTGTTGCTGTTGCGCACTGGTATAGTACCCCTTCAATTTAAGCGTGGATCCTTGCACACGTCCTCCAACTGCAACCCAATGTGGTGCATTGTTACTTGCAATAGGAGGCAGTCCTTGTGGCATACCATCTTGTTGCCCCTGTTGTTGCTGATCATATGAAAATATATCATCTTGGATTGGATATGCAGCAGATTTGAAAGGTTCACCACCAGCAGCAACGTATAACCCATTATCATTGAAATCAGATAGTGAGCGGACTGGACGTCCATCAAGAGTGTATATCCTGCGTATGGCGCCTGTTCGTAGGTTTACTTCTCTGCTTGCTGCTTGTAAGAACTAAAGGTAATTGATTGTAATGGACGTTAGTTTGCATGTTCATTGTACTTGTCACGTCCTTGTGAAATTAAAAGATTGGATTGACGATGATTTACCTGCTCAAAGTTTCGGTATACTCTAGTCGAAACAACTACACGACGCCCTGGGGAGAACACATCACCATTCTTGAATACTCGTACACGTCGGGAATGAAACTCATCGACTTGAGCCATGATTTGCACGCTGTAAATTGGTTGAAATTCGAAATTGTTGCCTTGTCTTGCAAAAGACTCTTTTTTGCGGGTGTTGGCATTGAACAGGGTTTGGGTCGTGAATCAAGAGAGTGTGATGCATCCGGTTCCCAAGAGGCGTTTTGATGGTGTGAAAGTGGCTCTTCCAAGTAATTATCGTGCTTTATTGTCGCGTTTGATGTGATGTTGTGTATCGTGAAAATGATTGTAACGAATGTTTTCTGCGAGACTCAACAATCTGCCATTTTTCTAGTAATGCGAGTTTTAGCCAATTAATAAATATATTAATTTGCACACAATCATAATTATTACCGGCCACGAAGCGCTTGAACCACGCCATCTGTTCCTTAATCAAACATTGCGTATTCCATTTCTTCCCCCAGATTTTGGGACTATCCGGTCACTCACCCAAATCAATAAAAGTGCCTCTACGTACTTGAAAACCACAGCGAGAATCGATCCCTATCTTCTTCCCTCAGAGCAGCTCTATTGTCATTCGCCAAAATCTGTCCAGTCACCCTTCAACACCTATTTCAACAAGTTTTGCACAAATTTCACATAAGAAAACGAGCCAGAGCTTGCCAGGATTTTCTGCGCCCAAATCAGACGAAAGGGAGGTTTCCTCCACTGGTCTGGCTCAACAAGTCACTCGTTTTCTTTTTGGATGACTGTCCTTAAAAAGCAGAACGAGGAAGGTATTGAAACCATCTTGTTAGTTTGACCACGAAGCCACAATGGTGTATTTAAAAGTAAACTATACCATTGAATCTAAAGTATATCGGTTTCAAGTTTGTGTACATATGTGGTGTTGTCACCACCACCACACCACACTCGTTGAAATGTTCAACCTGCACCACCAGCAGGCTCCACAAACACAATCCCCAGCAAATCCCTATACCTCTGCGGTATACTACTCTTCGCTACCTTCATCTCGATATCATGCATATTAATACTCACAGTCAATGCATGACTATACCTCGTTAACGGATCAACAGTCCAATATTTTCCACTCTGTAAACTCGAAGCAGCTGTAAAAGTCCTCCAGTCCATGACCCGGAATGCATATCGTCGCTCCTCATCTACTATATCATCAGACATTGTTGCCTTCAGGTGAGCAGCCCAGACACAATCCAATGCATTCATGAACCCCCTGTTTATGCCGAGTCCTTGAGGCCAGTATGGGTTTTGGAGAGCGTCGCCTGCTGGGAGTATTAGTGCAGATGGTGATTGTGAGGTGGATGGTTGTAGGAATTTCAGTGGTTCGACACAAAGGCCTCGGCATGAGAAATCGAATACTTGGACACCGTGTTTTGCGGAGAGGGATGCGTCGTCTGGTATACCACATGATTGCTGGAAGTAGAAGCGTTTCGTGAGTGGGAGAAAAAACCCCAGAGTCTTTGCATGTAGTGTTCCATATCTCATGTTTAACTTACAGCCAAGAGCCTAGCCAAGCCTCGTAGCTTCTCAAAATCCATATTTTCTGCCACGAGCGTTTCCTTAACCGTTGGCTCGATGGCCTTTACAATTCCCAACGCTTGTAATGCTCGTGTACGTGTTGTAGCCGCGATAAAGTGTGTGGTTCCTCTCATGTATTCGATATTCTCCAAATCCAGACCCTGTCCCATCAAAATCCCAAGCGGGCCGTCTTTCCAAGTTGCCATAGCTACAAAAACAGAATAAGAGGTAGCATTTTTGCATCTGAAAGTGTGGTTGGTACGGTCCAGAGAGCTTACCCTTTGAATGCACAAATTCAGGCTTCTGTCGCTCAGACAATGGTTTAGCAGCAGAAAAGTCCAGATTTACGACAAGCCCAATAGCTTCATTCGATTTAAATATCTTTCGATCAAACCCTAACTGTCGAATCAACCTTGACGATTCACCCTCTGCAACAATCAGTGTATCGAATGGTATCAACTTTGCAGCTTGGATTCGTGCCAACTTCATATCATCAAGACGAGTAGATGCACGTAGTACAGCACCATCCATTGATGTAGCATATTCATAAAAATCGACCTTGGATTTCTGTGATAGTTTACTAACGTCCTGTTCCCCAGGCCGTAGAGATAACTCCTGAGCTTCATTGTCGGGTATAACTCGTCCTAGATTCTGTCGAGCTTCACGCTGTGGGAGTGTCCAGACTCGCCATGCACCAGCATGCTCAAGACCTAGATCTACATCAGGCTCTATAACACCACATACACCAACTCCAAAGTGGATGTCTACACCAAATATGAGTGCTGCTTTCAGTAAACATAGTTGGAGTTCTCGTGTTCCCAAGTGCAGAGGTCCATGCTGTTTGAAACCTGGTACGAAAGAGGCTAGACCGAATCCCAGCAAGTCGTCGACTGTGTTTTGCCACGTCTTTAGGATGTTGTGACGGGACAGCTCGTCACGTAACTCGAGTAGAGTTACATCGTGGCCACACAGTGCTGATTCTACAGCAGCTCGTAACCCACATGGTCCAGCACCAGAAATCACGACTTTCGGCGGTGCCTTGCTAAGAAGCCCGTCTCGTAATGGGGCTGCCAGAGTCCACTTTTGATCTAGTACTAGCGGTAAAATGTTTGGTTGAGTGACGACTCACTTAAAGGCAAGAAACTTTCAAACGATTCATACAAGCAATTACCGACCTTTAAAGAGACCCTTGTTCTTGAAATTCAAATGTGTAGTGACTCCATCACGAAATTCAATATAACCAATAGGGTGTTCAAGTATTTGTTGCAGAGAATTATATGCATTTATGGTCGTGTTTGCTTCAGACGCATTCAGAAAATCGTCAAATAATTCTCGAATCGACGTCATTGTTTCAATCTGCTCAAGTAACTAATAGTAAAATTGGTTGATGAATGTTGACATATGACGCAAACAGACGTGGGCAAAAATCGAGACGAAGAACGTACCTCAGTAGTGTAGGTGGTACTGTTACGTATCGCTCAACTTATACATCAGAAAACATACAAATCTTCTGCAGTTCGAGAAAGATCTGACTCGGAGTACGATGGTTCACTGATCAAACTGGGAACTTTGCTGACCGTTCGTACCAAATTGAATAGTAGATCGGATTGTCAGTTGAATTCTCAAATATACTCGAACACGATTTAATCTCAATTTTCTCTATACTCGGTTGACGCAAAATGTAACAAATCCACGACGAAACTACGTTTGCGATTTGACCAATGAAAAAGCGTATATTTATACCCCATTGTCCACGTTTCCATGGCATCAAATTGCTTTTGGAACCCAAGAAATGTTTGCAAGCTTTGATTCCACAGCCTCATCATCTGATTGGCTGAAATTATATTTACAGAAGTTCCCACATTGTCTCGAGTTTTCAACGCCAACACAATACCAGTCGGTCAACATCTTAATAAGTGAATTCAAATACACAATATGGCACAACCAGGCTATCCAGGATATCAGCAACCAGGGCAACAACCTTACCCTCCTCAGCAGGTAAGAGTTCTAATGGCGGCAAGTTCGTTCAATCTTCATATTTACTGACGTTATTCCACCATTTAGGGCTATCCTCCACAAGTATGTATTCGACATTTAATTGGAGCTTCTGCCTGCTTTTTCTTTTCGCACTATTTACACCACATCGCGCTGTTGTTTGCAACAATTGGCGAGATTTGATCATCCTTGACCAACACTCAACATTTGCTTTTTTTTCAACCGCAAAGGGGTATCCTCCTCAGCAACAGTATGCTCCTCCACCAGGCGCTCCGGGACAGCAACCATACGTAAGCGGCAGGGCCGCTCAACAACTTCTACAAACGATTGCTGAATTGTTTTCCTTGAAATAGTACCCACCACAACAGGGATACTACGCACCTCCTCCAGGTGCTCCTCAGCAATACGCTCCTCCTCCACAAGGATACGTAAGTATTACCATTTTGCAAATCTTGCTCATCTGTACACTAACGCGCAAATATTTTTAGTATGCCCCGCCACCAGCAGGCTATACCCCTCCCCCAGCTGGCTACCCACCAGCGCCATATCCAGGCCAAGCTGCTCCAGCTGGCTATCCACCTGCACAATATCCGGGACAGGCACCAGCACCATATCCAGGTCAGCAACCACCACCACAGCAACAATATTATGCAGCACCACCACCAAATGCACCAGGCTACCAACAACAGCCCTATTACCTTCCTCAACAGCCTGGATACGGCCCAACAAACGGGGTTCCTGCTACAGGCGGCGTTTACCAACAAGGTTACGCACAAGGTCCTCAAGTAGGATACACTAGCGGATACGCTAATACTACTTCGTTCTATGCAACGACTACACCGCCGCTAAGCAGTCAACAAGTATCGACGTACTGCAACCAGTTGAGAACTGCTATGAAGGGACTGGGCGCTGATCACAAAACTATAATCTCCGTACTGGGGAACTTGACACCCGAGCACGCTGCTCAGTTAGATGTAGCTTATAAAGCCTCTTTTGCTAAATTCTTGCATGAGGAGGTGAAATCTGAAACATCTGGGAACTACGGCCACCTCGCTGTCGCTTGTTGTATGAACTTGGCTGATTATGACGCCAAATGTTTGTATGATGCTATGGCTGGGCTTGGAACTGATGAAGATGCGCTTATCGAGATTTTAGTGAGTCAATGTTTTTACTTCTGTGTCAACAACATTGATCTTAACAAACGACTACAATAGGTTGGACGCACCAACGCTGAAATGATGGCCATTAAAGCCGCGTATGCTCGCATGTATAACAAGGATCTTGAGAAGGTCGTCAAGAGTGAAGTCGGTGGAAACTTTGAAAAGACTTTGGTTGTACTCTTGCAAGCTCATCGTGTTGAGACCCAAGAGAAGCTTGACCCGGCTGCAGACGTGCAAGCGCTATATGCTGCAGGAGAAGGTCGTATCGGTAAGTATTGTTGTTAGTGAAAGTTGCATTCATACGAGATAGCGCCAACCTTGTGTTTTTTTTGGTTGCTTCTTTAGGTTGCGACCCATTAATCTTCATCAGCATTCTGTGCAACAGAAGCGATGCACATTTACAGCAAGTATACGAGCTTTACATGAGAAACCACGGAAAGGACATTACCAAAGTAATCAAATCTGAAACTGGACACCATTTGGAAAAGACGCTGTTGGGCATCGTTGCCTCTACGAGAGACAGGCCAGCCTATATCGCTGAATTGATTGAGAAATCTATGGCTGGTGTTGGATGTAATGAACACGCGCTGACTCGATTGGTTGCACGTACGTATTGTGCATTCCAGCGATGTACACTCCATGTTTTTGTGCATGGGGCCCAAGCATGAAACTAATCAACACGTCATCAACCATAGGTCATCGTGATCCACGTGTAATGAGTCTCATCAAAGCAGCATACCAACGCTTGTATAACAAGACTCTCTAGTAAGTCATTGCGCCTCCTCATCAAACTCAGACTCCTCCACTAACATCCATTCAACTCGCAGTGCTCGAGTCCAATCTGAGACTGGCCACCACTTCCGCGAGTTGTTGGTCACCATCATTAAGGCTTAAAATTACGCTCTTTCCTGTACTGCAAGGGCTCGTTTGTTCTGAAATCATCAATAAATTATCTGTTTTGTTTCAAGAAGCCATTTGCCGTCAAGTGAGGGTGTTTGCGAGAAGACGCTATCGAGTTCTTAAGACGTGCTGAGTACCAATTTGCCATTATGGTCCTGCCTTGAATGAAGTTTCAATGCATTGTCTGCTCAGGCGACTCAGCACAGCTTCCATATAACTTTAGACACGCAAATAGGGTAACTAGATGTCACGATGTGACTTCAGATCACTTTATATGAGTAGGGGCAATCTTCAATACATTAACCCGGAATTGCGACTCATTCCTTATTCCGCAACCCTCATCTTCGATGTCTCCTCTCCAAACTTCACAATTTCCATAGGAGGACTAGCACCATGGCTCTTTGACCCCGTCTGCAGATTGACCTCATTGACCACTGTGAGAGGACAGGAATGTGAACCTCGCTGGGCAGCGAGTCTTCTTGTGTGGTGCCTCGCGCACAACTTTATAGAAGACGGTCATTCCACGACAAATCGTGCTGCTAGAATTGTGGTTGATCCAAGACCATACTTTGGCTGGGGTTCGTCTACAAACATCTTTGACAAGCTGGGAAGATTACAAGATAACAGGCTGTCGTTTGGGCCGTTCTACATGTCTACCATACTACTATTCACTTTCTATGGAATTGTAACAACCAGCTTTTGTATGCAACCAGGGTTGTTTTATGTTGGTGTCTTTTTCATGGCGAACATCAATAAATTATCTGTTTGTTTCAAGGACCCCTTTCCATTCAAAAGCTGTTCGAGAGCAGATTCTATCAATTTCAACAGTTCTTGGTTCTTGACGTGGTCTGGCCGTCGCTTTGGAACTGGAGCTGGCTTGCATGAGCTTTCGTTGCATGATCTGTTTTCGACACTTCCGCTTGTGATCGTCAACGTCGATAGAGGTCTAAACAGCGAGAACACGTGCAAAACGCCTGTATAATATAATATATAATCATCCTGACTCTTTAAGCAACGTGTTCTATCTCGCTAAACCTCACAACATACTCTGATCACACAAAAGACACCAGCGTCTTCATATACATATCAAGCATAGCAAGATGATGGTGACTAGTGAGACAACGCCATACGAAATATCGTCAGAGCAGGTCTTGGAAGCTCTACGGGGGAGATATCTCTTTACAATCCTAATCGACGTCACAACATTGAAACTTTCTGCATTCAACTCGAGTTATCTGCAGCTGCCTGGTTCTAGAGTGCTAGGCCGACTTCTCCATATCAAGCAAAACACTCCTGCGCAGGCAAGTCATATGCACTATTAGAGTTGTATTCTAGTTGAGAAGGAAGGAGATCTCTTTCATCAACATTTGGGGTGTTTGGGAGACGATAAAGCTTATCACAGACAAGCACCGTTATCTTTGGGAGATTATGAATGCAGAAAAGATGGATCATTTCATGGCCCTTGCTGATCTACCTGTTCATTATCTTGGTCTTGCGAAAGGGCTGGTTTGCTCTGTCGTGACCCCACCCAAACTCAAATTGCATGTGGTGCAAGCTCGCAGTAAAAACTTAAAACATATCAACTAACCCTGGCCTATCTTTCTATTCTTAGTCACTGACACCAGAACTGATTGCTGCTAATCTACCAACTGGCAAGATCATCTATTCATACATACGTTCTATTGCACCAATCACACACAATACTGAACTAACTCCCGTTCACCTTATAGTCCACGACCCACACTTTCTACGACGAGCTGGCCATGATATTATTGTATACGACGATATAGGTCGCCCTGATGGATTTGCAGCGATTGTATGTCAAGCACTCATACTCGAAGGTCGTTGTACCCAAGCTCATTATCTCAGAGGCGGGATACGAGACTTTGCCAAAAAGTACCCAATGCTTGTAAAGAGGATTGCAGTCCCACAACAGCATCCGCCGCAGCAACAATCATATACTTCTCAAGTCGTCGTACCTTCTCGATCGTCGTCGTCAGGGTCAACAACATCATCGTCTACAGGTGTCCCGACAAGTAACACTAGTGCAGCTGCTACCCTGTTTGCGTCTGATGCAAACACATCGTCAAGTGTCGAACCACTCACGAGTACATCATCGTCTGATAGTAGTATACCCGCAGTTCCTGCTCGAACGTCTAGTCTCGGTATCACTACCAATAATAGCAATAATAGTAACGGTTTGGGTGGACCGACTGAAGAAGTATTAAAGGCTCTTGGCAAGGATGTACACCCAACATCACTAAAAGAAGCCATCCAGGAGCCAATAGCTCAACCTTTACAGCAGCCTTACGTGACTCCATCTCGAAGATCGTCATTAAAAGAGTACAAGGTGCCTGCTCGAAACTCGTCGTTAATTGATACCACTCATATGAGCATGATGGGAGTCAACTCATTTGATGCGTTATGGACTGATTCTGATGCATCGTATGTAAACGAGTATCAGAATGGTCATGCAAATACTAGTAATAGCAATACGGCCGCTGGTAAACAAACCATATATGTACCCGAAGAAGGGTTCTCATTGCCCGCTGGGGATGAAGCTGCTCAAGACGATGAAGATACTGCTGCTACTTTATTGTCACTCTCGTTATCATCTTCACCATCAAATCAATCAGCTCAAGAAACGCAGGGGTACTTTGCTCAACAGCAGCAGATAGATAGACACGGATATCATGGCACAAACGGTCATATTAATGAACATGATGACGACGATGACGACCTATCAACTCTCACCATGATGAATACTCCAGAGCCCGTATTGGCCATAAAAGTAAAACAATTACATCTGGTAGATGCAGTTTGGTATGGCAAAGTAGTACCATTTGGAGATGTACCATTAGCCATTTTGGATAACTTCTTATATTTGGGATCATGTTTTGCTGCACGTCCAGATTTGTTGAGGCAAAACAAGATTACTCGTGTATTGAGGCTTGGATGGGGATTTGCTGAAATTGAACCGTATTATGAAGAGGAAATTGACGAAGAAATAGATGGAGAGATGGATGGTGACATAAGTAGTAGTGGAGTATTTATACCGTCATCGACATATCCGAATGGTGAAGCTAGTAGCAACAGCAGTAGTGTATTGTCGTCTTTACAGTCCTCGCCTAATACGTCGCCAGTCCTTCATCGTGCAACAATACCACCACAACAGCCGCAGCCGCAACAATATAATGAAAAGACTCGAAAGCCAACCAGAAGACGTATAGTAAAAAGACGCCACCAAATCCGATATTACGATTACCCTATCGAAGATGTCGCCACCGAACCCATTCGAGTGCTCTTTGAAGAAACCACATCTATACTAGAAGAAGCTCGATTAGCTGGTGAACGTGTACTCGTTCATTGTCATGCCGGTGTATCGAGGTCAAGTACGGTCGTGTTGGCATACCTTATGAAGTATCGAGGTATGAGCTTGTACGACGCGTGGAATCTTGTATATATAATTCGACCCATCGTACGACCGAATGATGGATTTGCTCGTGCTCTACAAGAATATGAGGTTGAGCTACTTGGAAAGCCGACTTCTAGTCTACCGATATTCTGGATGAGTGAGTCGTACTCTTACTACCTGGAATATTTGGAGTGGTATACGAGGCTGTATATGGCAGATCATTACAATCATAGTAGGGCTGCTAATGGTGGTGGTAAAGGAAGTAAAAATGGAAGTGCTGAGGAAGACGACGCTCTCATCCAAATGTTACATTATCAGTATGCCAGACTCAAGAATGGAGGTGAGCCTGACCGTAATGGAGGGAATCAAACTAGGATAGTGCTTCCACCACCAGCACCGACAGTCATGTTGCCCTCCGGTAGCAGCACGACATCGTCTTCTGCATCATCTGTCGTTTATTCTAGTACTGAAGGAGGTGAATTAGTCGATGATGATGATAGTGAGTCTGTAGTGGCAGTAACCGAAGTTCCTGGTGATGAGAGTGGTACAGGGGATGCTACAGCTGTCGATGTCAACACAACACCATCTATCAAACAATCACTTCAAACAGTAGAAGAATAATTATACAGTACAACAAAAAGTAGCATTCTGTTGTTTTTAACTACTACAGTAATCTATGTATATAAGGAAGGAAACAAAATGGGGACACATTCCACAACTACTCCTTGCAAATCACACACATATAAACATTAAGTTTTGACGCACCTAAATTCTTGAAATAAATCAATTGCTCAGAAATACTATACGGGGTATATTTTTGTTTGTTGTTGTGCTGACGACTACTACAAAGTGTTGTTGCTTTCTTTTTCCCATTCTAAATGACTTCCTCCCTTTTTTATCAGACTCAATAATGTTAAGCTCTATACACACATCCCCACTCTCACACTCCTAATATATCCTACATCTCTCTCCCTCTCCCAACTTTCCTCTATACAGACGTGATATGTATCGGCGTCTTAACACTCTTCCCAGCAAACGATTCAAGCCCTTCGCCTTCGTACGACACCAATGGTGAAATCTCAACCACATCCTCACTTCCCTCATCCCCATTGACAATACTACACCCAACAGCCTCCAAAAACCTCTTGTGCTGCTTCATAATATCACTCCTACTAGTATCTGGCGAATCACCATCAGGCGATCCAGGTGCGTTCTTCAATGGCGAGAATTCCTCTGCACGTGCGACTTGAAGCACGGCGACTTTGGTGGCATGTGGGAGTACATCAAAGATAAACATTTCGAGTTTTATACCATTTGGTTTATCGGGTGACACCATCTTGCCAGATGCCAAGTCAACGTGTTTGATTTTTTTTCGTGCTATGTGGTAGTCGAGTTTGCCTTCAAACTCTTCAGAGCATATCGTGGATAAAAAGTCTAGTGTGTAGAAATGGTTTGCAATGTTTGCCGCCTGGTATACCAATCCACCATTACTATCTCGTTCGGCGGATAAGGCAGCATCCATTTCCGAGTATTCCACAACCCCATATTTCCCATCCCTGATACATATGATACCAACTGGTTCGTTCGGTGCTGTTTTTGGTACGGCTTTACACCCCATTTCAGCATCCTTGGCGACACAATACCCCATAAACGTCGGATCAGCTACCTTTACAAGACAGTTGTCAACACAGTACGCATGTATATATGGGATTCCTCGCTTTGACAGGTCGGCAAGCACACCCTCTTTACGTAGCGCTGCATATATACCACCGTTACCATCTGGAGCTACAGCAGGCGTATACTCATTCTCCATGAATATTTTCCCGGTGCTGTCAAAAGCAGGTAGCACACCCTGTTCAAAAAACATTACATTCTCTGGAATCAAGCCAAAGTAACGGTGTTCCTTGAAATACGATTCAGTTGGTTTACGTGTTGGTCCAGACGTCATGACATACCACGGGATGATTACAGTGTTTTCGGGTTTGTTGAAGGTAGATTCGGCGACTTTTTGTAGGCGTGCGATTCGTTCTCCTTGTAGCTGGAAGAGAGATTTATGGGATGGGAGGAGAATGTCGTAGCATCCTTTGGGTGCTGATGAGCCGAGACGGGTTCCTTGACCACCTGCGAGGAGGATGAGGCCGACCTTGTTTTCAGAGATGAGTTTGAGGCCTTCGTGTTTCCATTTCTTGATCTGGTAGAAACGAAACGCGTCGGTGTGAGCGATGTTGTTTTTGTCAGGATTGCGAGAACCAAAGACCAATAGTGAAATCAATGATATCGCGAATGAATGATAAATTCCATAATATTCATCATCATATAACCCCATATCTCACAAGCACATACCTCATCAGCATTCCCAGTAATAGTACTATACACAGAATCAGATGGCAATGGTTTGATGCCCCCACCACCACCACTTACATCCTTGCTTCCACCACCAACAGTATTCTTGAATATCCTATTACATCTAGCAGGATCAATCCCACTCAATGCAGTCAATAAATCTGATTGTTTTTGCGAGTCGTCCTTGATGGAATCCCAGAATGTAAAGACATGGCCTTGTCCTGCTTCGTCAAAGATGGGCTTGAGTGCTGCGTATGATGACATTATAGGATTTATATACGTGGTGTTGTTCTCTTGATTTGCTCCACTTGAACAGCTGAGTTTGGAAATTTCAATGGAAATGTAAGATGTAAGATCAAGTCCCACGTGTCAACAGAACCTGGAACAGAACAAAAGGGCTTTAATTCACGATGATTTCAACCTCTATACTTCTATATGATATCTGATATTTCTAATAATATCTAATAGTGATGATATATGTAATATAATAATGATGATAACGTTATGACTATGATAACAAACTGTATATGATACAACTCACACCTCGTCTCTTATCTAATGACCTCCCCTTTCCAACACAAATCACGTCGACGATGCGGTACTGCTAGTACCACTACTCGTCGTCACCACACCACCACCGTTCATAATGCCATTCCCACTTCCATTTTGACCACTTGGTGCACTGGAAAAACTCCCAGTTCCATACCTCTCATTCTCATTCCACCCTCGTACAGCCCTCAGTATCGGAGAAGGCAAAATCCAACTATTCGCGAATTCAACCTCCCGTATATTACTACCAGCTAAATGTGGTGTTGCTCCCAACCCCGGCGAAGCGCCGATACTCCAGCCAGATACGCCAGGTGACAGCATCGGTGACGGCGGCTGCTGTGGGGTTGGTTCGAGCGTGAGCGGTGTAGGCGCCGTTATAGATGTCACGTATGGTGTTGAGCTTGATGGGATTTGATTATGAGACGTGGATGTGGATGTAGACGATGAGTTTGTTGATGAGGAACTACTACTATTGTTGCTGTTGCTTGTGTTTGTTGTTTGAGCGTTAATGGGAGGACTCCACGGCATAAACCTCGGTGATGCAGAGTATCCTCGATTCGATGATGGGCCTATTCCATAGGGTGATTCGGGTGGTGTGGGCACATTATTGTTTTGTAACTGCTGCTGTAGTTGCTGTTGATGTTGCTGCTGGTGCTGTTGCGATTGCATTGAGTGCTGTTGTTGGTGCTGCTGCTGCTGTTGCTGAATCGGCAGTACAATACTATCAGAGTCCGTGTTTGAAGTTAACAAGTCCGATACGGAAGGTAACTGATATGTCATACTCGGCGGCGGTAAATGGATTTCAGGTGGTGCACCGTCCTCTCTCGGAGACGGATGACGGTTCATTATACGTGGCGATGAAGGAGGCATAGACATGGTTTGAGTGGCTGTTGTCACTACTGTTCTAGGCGATTCTTCATGTACACTAGGATCATCGTGCATGCTTGTGGTAGCACTTCTCGGTGATTCAATGTTGCTGCTATTGTTGCGATGATGATGTTTATATGATTCGGGAGTTGCTTCGGATGTTGGTGAATCCTCGGTTTCGTCATCCTCACGGCGACTAACACGTATGCGGCTTCCAACATCTTCGTTATGTCTCGTTCTTCTCCCTCTTTTAAAACTGATGGAAAGCGTAGCATGGGCTGCTTTCACGTGTTTTTTGAGTGTCTCTGCACGGCCAAAGCGGCGGGGACATCCAGGACCTAAGGAACGAAATGTTTCAGTACAAAACAAACGGATGTAAAGTCGATCTCCTGAAACTTACAAGCGTAAGGCATAACGGTACTATGCGCACTCCTAATATGCCTCGAGCAGTGCGAAGATCTACTAAAATTCTTTCCACAAGTCGGGCAAACCGTGCTACCAACACTTGTACTCTTCTTCGCTTTTGGCGATGCCGGCACACTCGACGACGACGAAGACTCTTGTTGCAGTTGCGAATATTGCGTATTAGCAGCCAGCATTAGCATATCGTGAGGCGTAGACGGTTGTTTCTTGTTGACGCCAGCTCCAGTAGGATTCTTTCGTGACGTTTGAGCAACGTTAGAGCTCTCGTCCATGTACTCGTCACTATCATCCCCAGACTCGTCTCCGGATACATCATCGTCTTCTTCTGCATCTGGCTGCTGTTTTCTTGGTTGCTCTTGTTGTGGTTGCTGTTGTGGAATGGCACTAGGACAAAAGTTTCGGAGAGTTAGAACAAGCATGCATACATGTAAAACTGCACAAAAGATTCGCATTTACTCTGTTCTCTGCTCGTCTCCAGCAACAGGATTAGAGGCCAAAGGAAAGGCAAAGGCCAGCGTTTGATTCCTTGTATTGTTCAACCAGCTCGAGGGAGTAATAGGACCAAAAGTAGGAGGATCATTATTCGTTACAATTGCTAGGGCCATCTGTCTGCCCTGCTCTTGAAAGTGCTGTTGTTGACTGTTTCGCAACGGTTGCTGCTGTTGCTGCTCTGAAGGAGGGTATTTGGGACGCCGAATTGTGCCTAACTTCTGCGGGTGCATCATGTTCTGACTGTCCTAGCTATATCATCTCCTTCCTACTTATAAAACCCACTCCGCTTTTTTTACCCCCAACGTTTTTGAAGCTTTTGCACGTTGTCCAACTATTGGATGCAAAAAACAACTCTGCGAAACCATGAAACTAGAGCCGACCTCAGCGCTTTAATACAATGCGGTCTATACGATCACCGCGATCCATGCAATACACTCAGATCGGCGTCTGATCTTACTCTGTAGGATGCTAATGCGTATATTCTCACAAAACTTGAACTAGCCCTTCCTATGCAAAATTTCCGTTATATACATTAACTTTTTACATACCAGGCGGTCTCTCTCCACCGTCTCCCCCGCCTCGTCCCTGCATCATTGCTTCTTGCTGAAACTTGGCAAATTGTTGCTGAATCTTCAATTGAGCTGCTTGCTGCATTGGAAGAGCTCCACCCGGTGGGAGACTCATAGATGGTGGTGGTGGAGGTGGTGCATTACTACTCGGCATATTATTATTGTATGCTTGCATGCCAGGTGGCATGGTTGAGTTATTACTACTATCACTGGTACCGGGTGGGGCATCCCAATTTGGTGGCGGCTGATTGTTGTATCCTTGATTTCGTTGCTGCTGTTGTTGTTGCTGGTATTGTTGCGGAGGTGGTTGATGTTGTTGCGGTTGTTGGTTTTGTTGTGGAGATTGTTGATGTTGTTGCTGTTGATTCTGAGGCTGATATGGACTGTTACCACTGGGTCGTTGAGGACTGTCGCGATTCATTCCACTACTACTATTGCTAGATGATGATGGTGGAGCATTTCGTCGTGGACCTCCAAATCCAGGCAGTCGATTATTCGCCACTGGTTTGGTTCGTAATCCTGGCAATACTACATCGTCTAGACGTGGTTGATGAAGAACAAGAGTCAAGGTTTGCGAGCAAAAACGAAGTCCTGGAACTACAAATGACTGTACAAACACTCTTACCATCTTCATCATCCTCTTGCGTACTCCTATCAGCTTCAACTTTAACAGCCCCGGGAATCACACCAATAGGAACTGGAGCACCAGGAACCCTTCCATAAACACCAGGAGCCCAACTACCCTCTGCTCGATATCCGTATCCAAATCGATCCAACATGGTCTCTCCAACTCGATTTCTCGTCCAGAATCTCGTTGTATGGTCATTAGATCCTGATACAAGCACATGGCCCAATGGATGATAGTCTAGTGCCCAGACTTGTGATGGTTGACCTTGCAGTTCATGTGCATATTCTAGACCACCTATTGGGAAATCAGTTCCTACAGTCCAGAAATTGATGGCACCATCTGCACCTCCTGTTGTGAATTGCGTTTCGTGGATGGGATGCCATACTACGCCTGTTTTAATAAGCGTTGGAGAGTTGGGGTCACCGATACAACAAAAGAGGAGATAGAATGCCTCGATGCAACATTGCTTACAAGTAACATCCTTCTTGTGTGCTCGAACAGTTTGCAACTCCTTCAAAGTCCTGATATCGAATATCCGACAATTGTGATCTCGAGATCCAGTAATCAACCAATTTCCATTCTTGTTCCATTTTGCTGATGATATCGTGTTTTTGTGACCATGCCTGCAGGAGCAAAGAGGTTAGTATATTCGGAGAATCTAATGCTACCTGTTTTCTGGAAACAGCGCTTTCAGCGGGAAAACTTACAATGTAGCTAGATTTTTACCAGTCTTTGGATCCCATAACTTGACGAGATTATCTTTGGATCCTGTGACGAGGAGTGCTTTTGTAGGATGCCAATCTATACATTTAACATCCCAACCATGACCTAGTAAGATGAGATCAATGAATCGTTCGTAAATTTCCTGTAGGCTTTTTTTGCTCTTTAATCTCATCAGTAACCCCAATCGTGTGGGCATACCTTGAAGAACACATTCTTCAGTAGCTTGCTCAAAGTTCCATATCTTTGCTAACGAGTCATCACTGCATGATGCGAATTTCGAATCTGTTGGTGAAAAGCTAATTGTACAGGGTGTTTCGGTATAGGTGAGCAAAGCATTTATATGCATGGACTCTTGGATGTTCCGACTTCCGGAAATATTGTGAGCTCCCTCTCTCTCACAAAGTACTTACGCCAATTCGCGAATAGCTTCACGATGCCCCTGGAAAGCCTTCAAGTTATTCATATTCGATTGCCAGTATTTGATCATGCCTGAATGATCAGCAGTGACCATCCATGTATCGTTGTGAGACCATATCATGGCTCGAATTGCTGAATCGTGTGCCTACAAAGACAAACAAGTCAGCAGTGACTTTTATTATAGCATATGTCCGCAAATGAGCAGCGCTTCATCAGATAGAGTTCAAAACTGGCCTTTTTGCTACCAAAATTACTCAAACTCATCATGCCAGATGCCACGCATACCTGTAAGATTGTCTCGAAATTGAAGGTCAACCCATTCCATAAAGTGAATTCACCACTTTGTGCGCCCGTTACTAGACGTCGACCATCAGGCGTCCACTGTGAATATAGAAAATATTCATTAATCACCAATTATAGTGAATCTGCTTCCTACATTCACATACCTTGACGACATTGATGGGACATCGAACCTTGTTTGTCGACGTGTGAATGTATTTTGTCGTTATACCCGTAGTTGGGTTGTCTGGGTACATGCTAGGTGGGAGCATCTAATGGTGTATGGTTATAGATTGTCAGCAACCAATCCTTCATAGTGTAAGTAATGGGGCTGTTTTGGTTCGTCCAAACACCCTCCCATATCTTCACAACACCGCGTTCTTACATTGACTGTAAAATTTGGATCAGGCTGCATCAAATAAGTGTTCTTCTTGTTCTTTTGTGATGCTCTCAGCTACGACAAAAATTGCATAGAATGAGTTTCGCAAACAACCAAAAAAACACCATCCAATAACCGTCTACATGATAGAACTTACTTCGATCGCTCTCATCATTCCCGAATAATAATCAACCGTTCTCCTCTGCATTGATTTGCGTTGTCGCTTTTCGACTGGTTGATTTGGATGAAATAAGCCGGCAGCTCCTCCATATCGACGATATCCTGGAGGTAGCTCGCTCATAATCACTGATGGGTCACGTTCTCCGCCTCCATAGCCTCCTCTATAGCCCCCTCGCTGCATCTTTGCTAATATATATTTTGTTGGACGTTAGAAGTTGGCTGTTGGAGCTCAAGACAGTGGAGGGGCCGAACACGCTCTTTCTCACGAATGAAACCGTTTTCACGCGATCGACCGCGACATGTTCCAGAACGCTAAAATTTCTTGTTAAGATTTTTAATAGAATGCAAATCAAGCAATGTATTTTTATTTTTTTCAGGAACTTGAAACTAACTGTCCGCACCGCGTAACAGGGTAAAAAGGCCTTCCAGGTTCTCTTTTCAATCTCTCCAAGTATCTGCACATTTCCAATATGATCTCGAGATTGACCCACATACAAAACATCATAAAGAAAGCAAAGATCAAGAACACCACTATGATGAACTGGATATCAATCGAAGCTGCTCCATCAGGTAGCATTTAGCATCCCCATTACGGTACAACGACGTGGTGCGACTTTTGGGATTGGGTATCGTCTTCACTTCCGGTGTACTTGGTGAAACGGCTGGTGCTATACCGCGGTATTATTGGCCGGTATAGCGACGTGTAAAGCGATGTGTATTTTTTTTCTTGAAATGTAGTTTTATTAAACTGAAAAGAAGAAAGCACATCTAAAGTACTACTACAACCCTCAAAACACGTCCCCCTTCCTCATGCGAGCTGTCAGCTGCAGCCCCACACCCTTCATGATAGCGAACCCAATCCGGCGAAAAATGTTTGCGATGTGTAATGAAACATCGCAAGAATTGGCCAAACAACACCAACATAGTTACAGCTGCAGGCCGCAGGCGTAATCATGATGCTTCGTCGAACGGTGTGCTAGTTACCAAGTTTCAAAATCGTCCTATAAGTGGTGTAGAAGAGATCGGACTTCTTAATAGTATAAAAGTTTCTTGCCTGAAGTTTTCGGGGTTGTATTGTAGTTTGGATATATTCTGCCAAGCATGGGAGAAAAGAAAGTTAGCACTGGGAAGCCATGCCCACGCCATTCATATTAAGCTTTGAAAGCGACAGCAATATATATTTCAATGACTCCTACAATTTACTAATAAACGTTTGCACATCTTTTGCTAAAGCTTCTGGATTCTCCATTGCGCCAAAGTGACCACCACGTTCATGAACACTCCAGTGCCTAAATCGGTTCAAAAAAGGTCAGCAAAGAAGGCACTACAACCGGCGTAGCACCCAATCTCTTACTTCAAGTTATAATAACTCTCTACCCAATTCTTTGGGGGCTTGGAAAGCTCATTTGGGAAATTGGCCACACCGGTGGGAACCGTGACGTATGGCATTTTCTTTGAGCCAGATGGTTTACCAGCACTACGAGCTGCAGCAGCTGCAGCGGCTGCCTGAGCACCTGTTCCGATGCTTTCGTAATACAATCTCGTGCTTGAGGTAATTGACCCTATCAAGGCAATTTTTTTTGAATTTAATTGTGAGTGTCATCTTATTGAATCAACCTGGCGTTTTGAACACCAACCATTGATCCAGTAAATCATGACATTGTTGAGCAGAATATCCTTTGAGAAGGAGTTGCTCAAATCGCCGTGGCAATCGGACCATGAGTGGAACTATTCATGACTCGTGTTAGCCATGAACGAAAAATGGATTTGAAAATAGCTCAATGTCGTGCCTTTTCGATAATCCAAGCGGCGAGTCCGACAGCTAAATTGTTTTTGGATTAAAGTTAAGACTCCTGCTATTTTCATTTCATGTGCATGCCAAAACAAAGCTTGACATACGTGAGTCTGTAAGTCCATAACCCAATGTCTGTGGTTTAGTTCCCTGAATGGCCTGATAAGCCAATTCACCACCATTCGCATTAAACTTTGAAGCATCGTTCAAGCCCTTGTAGTCTTCTTTTGAGAGGAAGAAGAGTGGTCCAGTGTATTTCAGCTCGAGAATCTGCATTCTGTGAATCCAATTGGAGCTGTCGTGTCCCACGATACACAAGTTGATATGAATCGCTGTTTGACAACCAATGATGTTAAGCCATATTGAAACATTGCAGCCCACAATACTTCATACCTAGACAGTTCTTTGGGTAGTAGAGACCCAACGTTCGACATATCGACGAGCCCCAGTCTCCTCCTTGTGCGTAATAAGTCTTGTATCCAAGGCTACAAAGGAGAGCCGTTAGAAAGCTCGCCTTCTTAGCAAAAGACTAAATTGGTCTTGTCAAACAGTATATACTTGAACATGAGTTGGTGAACAGTGTCAGCGACCTTCTTGACTCCAAAACCCTTTCTCTTTGGAGCAGACGAGAAGCCGTAGCCAGGCAAAGAAGGAACGATCATATGGAATGCTGGTCCACTTTTCGGCTTTGTCAATAGTGGGATTAGCTTCCAAGCTTCGTAGAATGAACCAGGCCAACCTGTTTTCCAAGATAAAGGTTTTGTGTCAAAAATCAAAAGTGACGGATTCTGATATCTAAACAGCTCACCATGTAAAAATAGCAATGGTTTAGCATCAGCTCGTGGCGACTTGACATAGACGTAGTGGAGGTTGATACTACATTGTTGGTTTGATCCCAGTTAACGTGGAACGGATCAAGGCAAAGCAAAGTATACAAGAGCCAAACACAAAGCTTACTCAGTCTCAGGAATATACATCTTGAAATGATCATATTCGTTTACTAAATGAGAAAAAAGCAAGCGACATGAGTTCTGCCGTCCATTCTTGAATACATAAGCAACGACATACAGTGTATTTCCTGCTGCCTCCAGTTGTAAGAATTCTTCCAATAGTCGACCAACGATTTCATATACTGCAAGTTTGAGCCGTACGTCCAACCTGCGTCCGTGAGTTCTGTGGAAGGGAAATGTCACGGTTACCAACAGCTGGACAGAAGAACGAGGTTGAAGGAAATCATTGAAAGTGGTGTTCTTACCATCAGGAAAGCGAGTTTGAGCTAATCTTGTAGCTAAACGTGGAAAAAATAGTCTGTAAGCTTCGTGCAAAAACAAAACCACGCTTCCTTCACATCGATTACCCAAATCACCCAGAAGCTCGTCAGAGACATGGATTTTGAAAGGCACTGGCGTCCTTGGAGGCCCACGTGGTGACTCGCTAGCACACCCTTCGAATTGGAATACGTCTGCCATCGTTTAAGCTTTTCAGTACAAACGACATAACTTCCAACCGAATTGTTTCATACTATCAGATTTATTTCCAAGTGTAAAAATGCTCTATAATTTTTCAAATCGTTAGACTTCAACCCTTCGTACTTAAGATCGCACATATGAGAATTTGTAGAATCTCATCAACCAAATCAAGCACGGATTGCCAACCGCTGATTCAATTCTCATTTGTCACCGATAGAAATCTATATTTCAGAGCTCGTCACTTCAAGGCTGCGTCATCCCTTTCTCTACCGCGTTGCGTCCGATTCGCAATGTATGACTGAGCAAAAAATGTGTGAAAAACGATTCACAACTCTTTAAGATACGCAAAAGGAGGAAAAGACCTCTGAAACACCAACGAGGTACTCCAGACAGGGCCCCAAACTCAATCAGCCTTGCTATCGACGACCACCACCGCACTCCTACATTCACTCTGACTCTGCCCACCACAAAGTGACTCAGTCTCGAATCAAGCAACGTCACTGAATTCTTATTAGGAATTGTAAAAAGCTCAGTCGACGACCACAACCCAACGCTCAATAAGAAACTGAAAATGTCTCCTATAATGGCAGCAGCAATCGACATGGCAGCTATTGCCATGGCCCTCTAGACATTTGAAAGAAAACACACCTTTTTCATATATAGTCGGCCATAACCTCTCTCCTATTTTAAAATCAACCAATGGGTCCCTTCTCTAGTAACAACTCCACTGAACTCTCTTCTCATGCTATCCATGTCTCTGAATCAATTGCAAATAGAACCATCGTCGTCGAAAATCTTATCGGTAAGAAGAATCCTCGTCTCGTCTGTCACAAGAGGCACCTCCGTGCTCATTTCTATCTTCTCTTTGATCCAGATATCGCAACAGGACTAATTGACTCTTGCTGGCCAAACCAATCCATATCGTCTAAAACGAAACTGGTGCCACTTCGACGATTCCTTCAGGAAATCCTTCGACGATCTCGAACATCATTCTCCACTCTTCAATTAGCCCTCTTATATCTAGTCCGTCTTCGTAATGTATTAAAGTCATCGTCACAAACAGCACAAACTCAATCACCACCACCATCATCATCGACTGCAACCACCACCACCAATGTACATTCTGAAATTGCATCGGCTCTTACCGGGTCACAGGACAAGGCACCATCTCCATCCATCTGTGGACGACGCATGTTTTTCTCGGCCTTGGTAGTAGCTGCCAAATATCTCCAAGATCGAAACTACTCCAATAAGGCATGGTCCAAAATCGCTGGTCTATCTATAGCAGAAGTCAATACCAATGAGCGGGAATTCCTAACTGCTATCGATTATAATCTCTATGTATCGCACCATACCTTTGCTACTTGGTCATCAGCTCTGATGGTCAAGGCCACTGGTAGTATCAAGAATAGTGGCAACATAGTAGAAAGTCGAGAACAGGTCTTTCAAGCACCAGTATCTAGTAGCCATAGTAGTATTAACAGCACCAGCAGCACTAGTAATGGTCCAACGTTTACCATGATGACCATAAACACGTCACATACGGCCACGCCATCATACTTGCCATCACCCAAAGAGCCATCTGATACCAACACAACAACCATGTCATCAAGTCCCATCACTGATGAACTGTATAGCATAGCATTCACATCGCCGGAATCTCCGTCAGCTTCTAGCATCGAATCATCATCACCAACCCAACAAAGTAACAAACGAAGATTCGATGACGATAGTAGAGACACCGTATCACCATCATCATACGTATCCATGATGTCCATTCAACCACCTACATGTCGGGATTTGCAACTGCTTGATACCCGTAGGAGTAAGAGGATGAGACTTGAGGTCTCAGTAGTATAGGTCAATATGGGGATCTTCTCGTTGTTGAGGAGACGTTGAAATCTGGACGATATTCAATTATATTTTTCATTGTCACCCAGTAGTTATAAATTGTTCTTGTCTCGGCTTCAAATAAAATTTCATAAACTTTCAATGAAAGTGAGTGTTGAAATGTTTCTGATCTCGATCTCAAAGTGATAGTATCATGAAGAGAGATACAGCCACTTTGTAAAAGCGAAGTTTAGGATCTCCATCTTGAAATGTTCGTCGAGATTCCACCAAAGTTCAACAAACTCAGACTCAAAGAAAGACGCAAATGTCAAAAAGACTGAGAATTCAAGAGCAAGTGATGGTTACGGAGACGTTGACATAGAGTAGGAAGCTTCTGTTCCAAACTAAATTTTAGAGGTAGCGACCGACGTTGTCTCAAACAGCAAGGGTATCGGCCAGCCGAAGCTGTGTGTGAATCTGAAGCCTCTTATTGTTATCATATATAATTACAACCTTTTTTACAACCTCAACTGCAATTTTAGTTTTCTAATGCGATATATCAAACAACACCCCACTCAACGTTGCCGATTCCTCGTCAAAACATCCGCAGTCATGATTCTTGCTGATGAGGCTCTACTCTTAATCCACCTCGTCATGGCGCCTGTACTCTCAACTCCTACTCGATATACTAACGTGAAGAGTGTATGTGAGTCGCAACGTTCTGGTACTTTGAGGTTACAAAGAGCATCTTACACTCTTTTTCAGTTTCATCCAATGACTGAGTGAAATCAGACTTTTCAGTTCGTAGTCTGCTGGTTTGTGTATAGTCCATAATAAGTTGAATTCGTTCCTTGAATGTCTGTTCATGAGTTTCGTGTCAGTTCACACGTGTAGGAACAGAAATACATGTTCAAAGTACTTGCATCAGATAGGATTCTCGACAAGGTTGCATCAACCACCCTATAGGTGTAGAGTACTCGGTTAATGGTAAGCAAGTGCATAGCGATTGTACACTCTGTTCTTACAGATTGACAATTCGAATGCCAAATTCATAAAAGTATGGACACAGATGATGTATATTGACAGCCGTTGGAGCAGCCTGAAGGTCTTCACGCACACGAGCAGAGTAGAATTTGGGCAGGTCCAGTTCGACATAGTTGCTAAGTTATAACGAGTGAGCTCGTTATGATACATTGAATCAAATAAATGGAGGTTTTACTGTATAGCTAATGTCTCGGCCATCCAGTAAGGCAGTTCCACTCGCGTGTTTGCTGGTAACTAGATTTTGAAGCAAATGTTTGGGTTGATGATGGTTTGGTATGATGAAGGAGGAATGACAAGAGAAATGGTAGATCTTGATTGTAATGTATATGATGGTCATGATTGCACATACGTCGGCTTCATTGTTTCCGTCGAGAAATCCGTAGCCTGGAACTGGGTAGGCGAAAAAGCAAGGAACCCTCTATGCAAGACGGCATGGATGGTTAGAAGAATACAGTCTTAGGAATTTCAAACAAAGCGTGTACCTGCTGATCTGCTAGAATAGACTCTATATCAAAGTAAGCCGATCCCATATTGAGGAGTGTTTGTGAGGAACGTGATGAGAACGAGCTTTGAGTTGGAAGTAGGACAACACGAGTTCGTGTGTGCCATAGGAACTAGGCTTTATTGTGTTATAGAATCCAAGCAAATCATGCCAAACCGAGCCAAAATCACGGATCAAGATGTGGATCTGGGATGAATTAACGGTCTTTGTCATTTTAGGACGTGCATTTACATGTATAGAATGCAATGCGAGATACTCGAGCTCAGCCTGTAGGTTCAACTTATTGGCATGACCGTGTTTCCATTTTTTCGTGGTTTCTTTTTTTTCTGTTTCGCCCCGAAGAGGACATTACCGTAAATCAAACCCATTGTGCAAGTAGATAGCAGCAAGACAAGGATATCCTGTGCTGCCAGCTCTCTACGTCATCTCCCTAGTCGCTTCTAGTAGTCTGTGAAAGCCAAAGGTCGTTGGCTCATACCCGAGCATCATTTCGTGGCTTCTGCGAGAGATACCTCCAGCCAGCATCAAACCACTACTAGGCCTTTTGACCCAAAGCACCACTCATCTGTACATTGCCTCCTCATCAACATGTAAGCTTATTCTCTCTTAGCAAAGTCATCAACCATTTCAATTTATAAGTGCTCGGGAGACACCCAGTGCATGTCGTCCCTTTATTCAGCGAACAGCCAATTTTGATTTGATGCATTCTTTTAGGCAAGCACGAGAGTCCAGACCCTCCCCTGTATCTAAATCTCTAGATTACAACGATGGTCGGGTTACGCCGCCACCTCATGTCAACAGTCATCATGAAAACAACATACATCCAAACGATACCTACGAGGTACACCAAAGCGATCATTCTAGAGACCACTCTCGCTACCAACAGCCTCACCCTCATCACTACCCATCACTTCCATACCCACCGATTCAAATGATACCAACAAACGACAACAACGCTCACCACTACCCTCCATCACAAGGCCAATACTATGCATATCCACTAGGCTACTCCCAAAACCCATACCCACACTATCCTCAACCAATGTATAATCATCCTGCATACAACCAGCAATACCCTCAACATCACCAATACAGCCAGCCAATGTATAATCCATCATACTATCCTAGCGCACCCCCAACCCCCATACCACCACCACTCAATCATCCACAGAGTGGCATGGATCAACGGATACATGACAACTCGATACCAATGATTGCTCCCGTTCCAACAAAGGTCGTAAAGCCTAAACGGGCTGTCAAGAAGGATACCGATGATGACTCGGCATCAGATCATGGCACGAATGATACTGGGACTGGCAAGATATATAGGTGCGAGTATCCTGGTTGTGACAAGATCGTAAGTGTGTTTCGTGTGTGTTCTGATCAAACCTCTGAACCTAATATATCAAACTCTTGCTAGTTTGGACGTCTATATAATCTCAAATCACACACAACGTCCCATACTGATGCCAGGCCATACAAGTGTGAATTCTGTGAAAAGGAGTTCAAGTAAGCTGTTCTTGCTTGTAGGCGAACTCTCAAGTATCTTGTAACAAATCTGACCATTCTGTCTCCTTTACTTAGACGTACTGCTGATTTGAAGCGTCACATTCGCTCCATTCACAGCGACAATCGACCCTTCAAGTGTGAATCATGTGGTGAAGCCTTTGCTCGCTCTGATGTCTATGTAAGACTTCAAAACGTTCATCGCTATTGAGATTCAACAGCTGATCAAACTTGCAATATAGAACAAGCACGTCGAAAAGTGCGCCCCGGGAACCCTATCAGTCGGCAGGAAGCGTGCTCAACCCTACAATATCAAACAAAAGAGGGAAGCAGAGGCAGAAGCTTATCGCTCTGCAAGTTCCTCAAATCATGAAACAGGAGGTGGGCCTGATCGAATGGCTATACTGGCCGAAGCTTCGTCGGCTCTATCACACAGCACCGAAGGCCATCAACCGGATATTGTATATGGCCAAGACACATATCAGGTTGGGTCTTCAAAGGATGATGAGCAAGAGAGACAGGATGAACAACAGCAGCAACATCAACATCATCAGCAGCCACAAAAGCAACAACAAGGATATCAAAATGATTGGAATTCGTATTAGGGTCTTTTTCGTAATAAGTCTTGACGTTGAAAGTTTGCTTTATAGTAATTTCCATCTGTACCGTAGTTGTGTCTTTTATTCCATATTGCTTACATATATATCACTGTCTCTGCAGAAATGCTCGACGACTGTGTTTGTGTGCCTGGTTGTTTGAGCAGTATCATTTGTATAATATTGGTAGAATTAACACTGCCTCGGCCGCAGCAAAAACGAATCGCAGCGGCATTCCATTTCTCTACCTTCAAACTTCAAAGTAGCAAAAAAGCTCACAGCAAACGAGAAGACCACATCCCAAGCAACAACCATGTCTTCAATCATTGGAAAGATTACTCACGACATCAAGAAGACCGTCCAAAGCACCGGTCTTCTCCAAAACGAGCACGCACAGCTGAATGTCTTTCTCGTTGAATCCAAGGTATGTGTGTTTCTGCCCAACATTCAAAGACCGCGAACATGAATTTCTTATTTTTCTACTTTTATAGGAGTATATACGTATCGCTAAAACACTCTCGACCCAGAACTTGCTTGGTATGTTGTGAATTCGCGCTCATCAAAAACCGAAAGATGGAATTTTGGGGTTGACGACGCAATATCGTTTCTAGTCTCCAAAGCTCGCGAGGCATGGACAAAAAAGCAGGGCGAAGACCTGCAGGATATCCTCGGAACGCATCTAAGTGCTATTGATACCGTGCGTCTGCTACCCAAACACACAAGTCAGACAGACAGACACCTTAAATCTAACTCTTGTTTGCTTTTCTCTAGTCAACAGCAGACGCAACATCCCACTTCTCAGACTCGCTCCACACTTCTCGCGAGCGCATCAAAACGTGCCGTGCCAAAGAAGACGCACTCTACACCCTAAAGAAACGTCGTGATAAACTTAAAGCGGAACTTGATGCCGCACACAAGAAGAATACAACGCCGAGTGGCAATGTGCAGGCCGAGTTGGGGATGGTTGAGAATCAGGTGCTGGGAGAAGAGAGTGAGTTGGAGGGGTTTAAGAGGGCGCAGTTTAAGAGTGTGTTGGTAGAGCAGGCTGATGCGTTTAGTGCGTTGGCGAAGAAGGTGTGTGTTACTTAAGAGTAGAGCATGTTGGTGTGGTTTGTGTTGGACTTTAGGCATTTGGGCAATTGGATTCTAAATTGACTTTTTTCGCTTTTGCTAGCTTGAAATCATTGCTACCTTCACTCGTCACCTTGGTGAGCAAATCCCGCAAGGAAACCCGCCGCCTGGACAACCGTTACCTAAATTCGCTGGTAGGCCACCCATTTCCATATTTTCATCAAACTCTCTTCCATTCTTTCTTCCACTCATTCCGTTTTTTGCAACCATCACAGGCTCAAACGTGACATCCCAAATAATGGCCGACTTCAACCGCGCAATGCTCCCACTCCTGCAATCCCAACCCGCTGCAGGCGCTTCCATCGCTTCAATTCCCAGCAACCTGTCTCTAAGCGCTCCCCAGCAACCAACGATGGGACCTCCAAGTCCGTTAATGAGTCATCAGCCACAGTTTAATGGCCAGCCTGGATTCCAGCCTCCTGTGAATGGTATACAGCAGCAGCAACAGCCTTATGGAGCGCCAAATGGTCAGGCTTATGCTAATGGCACCCCGAATGTAATTGGAGCAGCACCATATGGAGCATCCAACGGAGTAGCAGCACCATACGGATACAGCAACGCTCCACAACCACAAGTGATGAACGGTATTCCACCCTTCACTGGATCGCTAGGACAGCCTGCGAGGGAGTCTACTCAAGCGCCTGGACCGGTAGCTACATCGCCACAACAACCTGATACGTATACTGATGTATCTGCTCCTCTGCCTGTATCTGTACCAGCTGCCACTCAACCTGAACCTGCATCAGCACCACCTGCACATGTAGCTGTTGAAGTTGCGCATGTTGATCAAGCTCCAGTGGTTCCGGCGGGAAACCCACCATCATATGATACGTCTGTAGCTCCTTCCGCACCCCCGTCGTTATAGAAATATTGTTTAGAGATGTAATTTTGATTGGTTTTGGCATAGCAACGTGATAATTGTGGTATAAAATTTTCGTGTTTTTTTGAGGATGCGAACGTCCAGAGAGCAATGGCGTATTAGAACTGTTATGCACGCTGATATAGATGGTCAAACGATGTGGTTTCCCAGCGTGATTCAGCAGATCATCAAGTCGGTATATTCTGTGTCACATACCTGTGTTTTCGTCACTTTGGTCACGATAAGGGCAGAGCAGGCACAAGGCATCATAGAACGTGGAAGGGTGAAGCTTGCAATGGTATGTGTGCTAGTGTAAATAGCGATCTAGCCAGCTCATCTGTCGTCTTTCGATCTTCCATTCGTCCTGTAATCCGAGTTTGCTCGCGAGCTTCGCCTGATATCAAAACACACGTCATACACCTTTTAACAATCATCATCATCTTCCTTTGTATCCAGGCATCATCCGTTCCCGAGAGTCTGAAGTCTGCAGGTGCCATAAACTCCTCCCAACACAACACATTGCTAGATCTCGGCCAACAAAAACAAGCACCATCAACCACAACAGAAGACAATGTCGAGCACCCTCTCGGCAACCCTACAAGCAAGGAATTATCAGCTACAACATTGAATGCACCTCCACCCGCTAACGGTGATGAGAAGGGCCGCATTGTTGAAGACGATGTCAGAGACGAGGTTGATAAGGATGAGATCCTAGAGCCCACTATTAGTGTATGGTCTGGAACGGGACTTGTTATTGGCCTGGTATGTTGGTGACTGCTTTATAAATCAGAATCATCGCTCTTCTTTAAACGCCCGAGTTGTGTTATTGAAGTGATGCTGACATTGTCGATTTTAGATGATTGGATCTGGAATCTTTGCTACCCCCGGCAAAGTTATACGAAGTGTGGGCAGTATAGGTGTGGCTTTGATGCTGTGGGTGCTTGGAGGCATATTTACATTCTGTGGCACTTTCTCGTATATTGAGATGGGGGTTATGCTGCCGAGATCTGGTGGAGAGCAGGCATATTTGGATGTTGCGTTCAGGTAAAATAAGAGTTAATGTATTATTGGCTTTGTTTTAAGTGATTCTAATCTATTGTTTATGTAGAACCCCCAGAGCTTTTGTATCCTTTCTCTTTTGCTGGGCCAGTATATTCTGTATACGTCCCGGGAGTATTGCAGCCGAAGGAAGCGTCATTGGCCGATACATCCAGTTCGCATACTTTGGAAGCGATATCGGAGACCCAAACACTGCGAGATATATCGGCCTTGGTGCACTTACGATCATCGCTATTATTACTTCATTGTCTAGTAAATGGGCTATTCGCATCCATGATGTGTTTGTCGGGATTAAAGTCATGACGCTGGTGTTGATTTCGATTACCGGGATTGTGGTTGCGAGTGGAGGTACAAAGGTGCCGTTATCGGGAAACTTTAATAATGCGTGGACAAATACGAGTAATAATGGTGGTGCGTATGCTCATGCACTATTTCAAATCTTCTGGAGGTATGTCGTTCGTTCCACGTCGTTTATAAGTCTACTTTCTGAAAATGTAACCTTTTTGATACCCTAGTTACGATGGATGGAACAACCTCAATTACGCAACCTCCGAACTCATAAACCCACGCAAAAATCTCCCCATCGCCGCAACAACCGGAATCACAATCGTAACCATACTATACATCCTCGCCAACATATCCTACATTGCTGTCGTGCCACTCGCCACCATCTTGCAGGGCAACGCTGTACTCGCTGCTCAATGGGGCACGCTGGTATTCGGTAATACGTTTGGTGGACAAGTGCTTCCTGCTTTGGTTGCGATAAGTACGTTTGGTGCTGCTATGGCGTCCACGTTTTCGGGATCCAGGGTGTTGCATATTACGGCGAGGTAAGGGCTTCGTTGGTTGTCATGTTAGCCAATCCAGTAGTTTCTGATGACTTTTTTTGCTTTAGAGCTGGATATCTGCCATTTGGAAAGACGCTTTCGCATTTGAACAGGGTTACTCATACGCCTGGTATACTCATCAATGTCAGAGGTTATGTTGGATTATCCATAGTTTTGACTCGTGTCTTTTTTTGGTTAGTGAATGCGTTGATAATGAACTGGATCATGGTCGTCATTCTCTTAATGGCTCCTCCAGTTGGACCGATCTTTGACTTTTTATTGGATCTGGTCGGATACCCTGGTAAGTGGTTGTTTGAACGATTCGACGTCAAAGCCTTGCCGTTTTTGTCATCTTCTTCGTTATTCTAATGGCTTTTTAATCACTAACATCCCATTCCCTCTCATTAGCGTACGTTCCTTTGCCACCGTGGTTCAATATTATGCGCAAACCCTGACCTGTTGGTTTTTTTATAGTTGGGTCTTTTACACACTCAGTGTCATTGGCCTTATCGTCATGAGAAAGACGATGGCGGATGTGATTAGGCCATTCAAAGTGTGGCTTCCAGGTACTGTGGTGGTTTGAAGAACCGTTCTGTAATTATTCCCTTGATTTTTTAATCATTTTTCCATCTCTTCAGTCGCCTACTTTTTCTTGATTGCTGGGTTCTTCCAATTTGTTATGCCGTTTGTGCCATGTAAGGCTAGTCTTGTTGACGATCTTGTATATCGTTTTTGCTAACTAGGGCTTTGATGTTCTTTACCACAGATGGAACTTCAGAGTACCCTTATTATTTACCGCCAGTTGTTGGATGGTGTTTTATGCTATCCGGCATCCCTGCTTGTAAGTTATTTGCAGTTGGTTTGGTTGGAACTAGTGGTTTCGACAGTTGACTAATCCTCGTATCCTTGTCCAGACTTTGCTTTCGTGTACTGGAAGGAGGATGCATCATTGGATCTCAAGTACTCGTAATCATTGGATATCCAGTACTCGTAGATTAAGGGAAAGGAATATTTGTAGTTTCCCGACAAGGCTTTCTGTATTTTTTGAACCGCAAGAATAATAATTGAACAAGAATCTATCAAGCACTACTGTATGATCAAACGAACTTGTAGACTGCTACATCGACATCGATTAGGCAAAACCTCATGTTGCCCCGACAACTCGAGACCCCTGTTTCTAGTGCAACCTCAAAAAAGCGCTGAATAACGAGATTTCGACGCAGACAGAGTTTAGAAGCCCTCGGTTCCTTCCAAAAGCATGCATCTTGCATATATGAGTACTAGTAGCGTTTGTTACTTGCAACAACCTTCGAGAAAGTAGAGCTTATCAGGACTTTATCTGTTTTTCCACGTCAATCGTGCGACACCGGACGAACTACTGCCTATACCCTTTGGC